AGGTCGGCGGGTGCCAGGTCGGCGGGTGCCAGGTCGGCGGGTGCCAGGTCGGCGGGTGCTAGGTCGGTGGGTGCTAGGTCGGTGGGTGCTAGGTCGGCGGGTGCTAGGTCGGTGGGTGCTAGGTCGGTGGGTGCTAGGTCGGCGGGTGCTAGGTCGGCGGGTGCCAGGTCGGCGGGTGCTAGGTCGGCGGGTGCTAGGTCGGTGGGTGCTAGGTCGGCGGTTGCTAGGTCGGTGGGTTCTAGGTCGGTGGGTGCTAGGTCGGCGGGTGCTAGGTCGGCGGGTGCTAGGTCGGCGGGTGCTAGGTCGGCGGGTGCCAGGTCGGCGGGTGCCAGGTCGGCGGGTGCCAGGTCGGCGGGTGCTAGGTCGGCGGGTGCTAGGTCGGTGGGTGCTAGGTCGGCGGGTGCCAGGTCGGTGGGTGCTAGGTCGGCGGGTGCTAGGTCGGCGGGTGCTAGGTCGGCGGGTGCTAGGTCGGCGGGTGCCAGGTCGGCGGATGCCAGGTCGGCGGGTGCTAGGTCGGCGGGTGCTAGGTCGGCGGGTGCTAGGTCGGCGGGTGCCAGGTCGGCGGGTGCCAGGTCGGCGGGTGCTAGGTCGGTGGGTGCTAGGTCGGTGGGTGCTAGGTCGGCGGGTGCTAGGTCGGCGGGTGCTAGGTCGGCGGGTGCTAGGTCGGCGGGTGCTAGGTCGGCGGGTGCTAGGTCGGCGGGTGCTAGGTCGGCGGGTGCTAGGTCGGCGGGTGCTAGGTCGGTGGGTGCTAGGTCGGCGGGTGCTCGGTCGGCGGGTGCTAGGTCGGTGGGTGCTAGGTCGGCGGGTGCTAGGTCGGCGGGTGCTAGGACGGCGGGTGCCAGGTCGGCGGGTGCCAGGTCGGCGGGTGCTAGGTCGGCGGGTGCTAGGTCGGCGGGTGCTAGGTCGGCGGGTGCCAGGTCGGCGGGTGCTAGGTCGGTGGGTGCTAGGTCGGCGGGTGCTAGGTCGGCGGGTGCTAGGTCGGCGGGTGCCAGGTCGGCGGGTGCCAGGTCGGCGGGTGCTAGGTCGGTGGGTGCTAGGTCGGTGGGTGCTAGGTCGGTGGGTGCTAGGTCGGTGGGTGCTAGGTCGGCGGGTGCCAGGTCGGCGGGTGCCAGGTCGGCGGGTGCCAGGTCGGCGGGTGCTAGGTCGGTGGGTGCTAGGTCGGCGGGTGCCAGGTCGGCGGGTGCTAGGTCGGTGGGTGCTAGGTCGGTGGGTGCTAGGTCGGCGGGTGCTAGGTCGGCGGGTGCCAGGTCGGCGGTAGCTAGGTCGGTGGGTGCTAGGTCGGCGGTTGCTAGGTCGGTGGGTTCTAGGTCGGTGGGTGCTAGGTCGGTGGATTCTAGGTCGGCGGGTGCTAGGTCGGTGGGTGCTTGGTCGGCGGATGCTAGGTCGTTAGGTGCTAGGTCGGTGGGTGCTTGGTCGGCGGGTGCCAGGTCGGCGGGTGCTAGGTCGGTGGGTGCTAGGTCGGCGGGTGCTAGGTCGGCGGGTGCTAGGTCGGCGGGTGCTAGGTCGGCGGGTGCTAGGTCGGCGGGTGCTAGGTCGGCGGGTGCTAGGTCGGCGGGTGCCAGGTCGGCGGGTGCTAGGTCGGTGGGTGCTAGGTCGGTGGGTGCTAGGTCGGCGGTTGCTAGGTCGGTGGGTTCTAGGTCGGTGGGTGCTAGGTCGGTGGATTCTAGGTCGGCGGGTGCTAGGTCGGTGGGTGCCAGGTCGGCGGATGCTAGGTCGTTAGGTGCTAGGTCGGTGGGTGCTTGGTCGGCGGGTGCCAGGTCGGCGGGTGCCAGGTCGGCGGGTGCCAGGTCGGCGGGTGCCAGGTCGGCGGGTGCTAGGTCGGTGGGTGCTAGGTCGGCGGGTGCTAGGTCGGCGGGTGCTAGGTCGGTGGGTGCTAGGTCGGTGGGTGCTAGGTCGGCGGGTGCTAGGTCGGTGGGTGCTAGGTCGGTGGGTGCTAGGTCGGCGGGTGCTAGGTCGGCGGGTGCTAGGTCGGCGGGTGCTAGGTCGGTGGGTGCTAGGTCGGCGGTTGCTAGGTCGGTGGGTTCTAGGTCGGTGGGTGCTAGGTCGGTGGATTCTAGGTCGGCGGGTGCTAGGTCGGTGGGTGCCAGGTCGGCGGATGCTAGGTCGTTAGGTGCTAGGTCGGTGGGTGCTTGGTCGGCGGGTGCCAGGTCGGCGGGTGCTAGGTCGGTGGGTGCTAGGTCGGCGGGTGCTAGGTCGGCGGGTGCTAGGTCGGCGGGTGCTAGGTCGGCGGGTGCTAGGTCGGCGGGTGCCAGGTCGGCGGGTGCCAGGTCGGCGGGTGCTAGGTCGGTGGGTGCTAGGTCGGTGGGTGCTAAGTCGGCGGGTGCTAGGTCGGCGGGTGCCAGGTCGGCGGGTGCTAGGTCGGCGGGTGCTAGGTCGGTGGGTGCTAGGTCGGCGGTTGCTAGGTCGGTGGGTTCTAGGTCGGTGGGTGCTAGGTCGGCGGGTGCTAGGTCGGCGGGTGCTAGGTCGGCGGGTGCTAGGTCGGCGGGTGCCAGGTCGGCGGGTGCCAGGTCGGCGGGTGCCAGGTCGGCGGGTGCTAGGTCGGCGGGTGCTAGGTCGGTGGGTGCTAGGTCGGCGGGTGCCAGGTCGGTGGGTGCTAGGTCGGCGGGTGCTAGGTCGGCGGGTGCTAGGTCGGCGGGTGCTAGGTCGGCGGGTGCTAGGTCGGCGGGTGCCAGGTCGGCGGGTGCCAGGTCGGCGGGTGCTAGGTCGGCGGGTGCTAGGTCGGCGGGTGCTAGGTCGGCGGGTGCCAGGTCGGCGGGTGCCAGGTCGGCGGGTGCTAGGTCGGTGGGTGCTAGGTCGGTGGGTGCTAGGTCGGCGGGTGCTAGGTCGGCGGGTGCTAGATCGGCGGGTGCTAGGTCGGCGGGTGCTAGGTCGGCGGGTGCTAGGTCGGCGGGTGCTAGGTCGGCGGGTGCTAGGTCGGCGGGTGCTAGGTCGGTGGGTGCTAGGTCGGCGGGTGCTCGGTCGGCGGGTGCTAGGTCGGTGGGTGCTAGGTCGGCGGGTGCTAGGTCGGCGGGTGCTCGGTCGGCGGGTGCCAGGTCGGCGGGTGCCAGGTCGGCGGGTGCTAGGTCGGCGGGTGCTAGGTCGGCGGGTGCTAGGTCGGCGGGTGCCAGGTCGGCGGGTGCCAGGTCGGCGGGTGCTAGGTCGGTGGGTGCTAGGTCGGCGGGTGCCAGGTCGGCGGGTGCTAGGTCGGTGGGTGCTAGGTCGGTGGGTGCTAAGTCGGCGGGTGCTAGGTCGGCGGGTGCCAGGTCGGCGGTAGCTAGGTCGGTGGGTGCTAGGTCGGCGGTTGCTAGGTCGGTGGGTTCTAGGTCGGTGGGTGCTAGGTCGGTGGATTCTAGGTCGGCGGGTGCTAGGTCGGTGGGTGCTTGGTCGGCGGATGCTAGGTCGTTAGGTGCTAGGTCGGTGGGTGCTTGGTCGGCGGGTGCCAGGTCGGCGGGTGCTAGGTCGGTGGGTGCTAGGTCGGCGGGTGCTAGGTCGGCGGGTGCTAGGTCGGTGGGTGCTAGGTCGGTGGGTGCTAAGTCGGCGGGTGCTAGGTCGGCGGGTGCCAGGTCGGCGGTAGCTAGGTCGGTGGGTGCTAGGTCGGCGGGTGCCAGGTCGGCGGGTGCTAGGTCGGTGGGTGCTAGGTCGGTGGGTGCTAGGTCGGTGGATTCTAGGTCGGCGGGTGCCAGGTCGGCGGGTGCTAGGTCGGTGGGTGCTAGGTCGGTGGGTGCTTGGTCGGCGGGTGCCAGGTCGGCGGGTGCTAGGTCGGTGGGTGCTAGGTCGGCGGGTGCTTGGTCGGCGGGTGCTAGGTCGGCGGGTGCTAGGTCGGCGGGTGCTAGGTCGGCGGGTGCTAGGTCGGCGGGTGCTAGGTCGGCGGGTGCCAGGTCGGTGGGTGCTAGGTCGGCGGGTGCTCGGTCGGCGGGTGCTAGGTCGGTGGGTGCTAGGTCGGCGGGTGCTAGGTCGGCGGGTGCTAGGTCGGCGGGTGCCAGGTCGGCGGGTGCCAGGTCGGCGGGTGCTAGGTCGGCGGGTGCTAGGTCGGCGGGTGCTAGGTCGGCGGGTGCCAGGTCGGCGGGTGCCAGGTCGGCGGGTGCTAGGTCGGTGGGTGCTAGGTCGGCGGGTGCTAGGTCGGCGGGTGCTAGGTCGGTGGGTGCTAGGTCGGTGGGTGCTAAGTCGGCGGGTGCTAGGTCGGCGGGAGCCAGGTCGGCGGTAGCTAGGTCGGTGGGTGCTAGGTCGGCGGTTGCTAGGTCGGCGGGTGCTACGTCGGCGGGTGCTAGGTCGGTGGATTCTAGGTCGGCGGGTGCCAGGTCGGCGGGTGCCAGGTCGGCGGGTGCTAGGTCGGTGGGTGCTAGGTCGGTGGGTGCTAGGTCGGCGGGTGCTAGGTCGGCGGGTGCTAGGTCGGCGGGTGACTAGGTCGGCGGGTGCTAGGTCGGTGGGTGCTAGGTCGGCGGGTGCTAGGTCGGTGGGTGCTAGGTCGGCGGGTGCTAGGTCGGCGGGTGACTAGGTCGGCGGGTGACTAGGTCGGCGGGTGCTAGGTCGGCGGGTGCTAGGTCGGCGGGTGCTAGGTCGGCGGGTGCTAGGTCGGCGGGTGCTAGGTCGGCGGGTGCTAGGTCGGCGGGTGCTAGGTCGGCGGGTGACTAGGTCGGTGGGTGCTAGGTCGGCGGGTGCTAGGTCGGTGGGTGCTACGTCGGCGGGTGCTAGGTCGGCGGGTGACTAGGTCGGCGGGTGCCAGGTCGGCGGGTGCCAGGTCGGCGGGTGCTAGGTCGGTGGGTGCTAGGTCGGTGGGTGCTAGGTCGGTGGGTGCTAGGTCGGCAGGTGCTAGGTCGGCGGGTGCTAGGTCGGCGGGTGACTAGGTCGGCGGGTGCTAGGTCGGTGGGTGCTAGGTCGGCGGGTGCTAGGTCGGTGGGTGCTAGGTCGGCGGGTGCTAGGTCGGCGGGTGCTAGGTCGGCGGGTGCTAGGTCGGCGGGTGCTAGGTCGGCGGGTGCTAGGTCGGTGGGTGCCAGGTCGGCGGCTCTTCTTCATTCAGCGTCGTCCGATCTTCTGTTGTTAAAGTGCATGTCGTTCTTTTCCATTCCAGCATGCTTGACAAAAGAACAATAATGCTTGGCGTTGCCGCACTGACAAATGCACTCCCCACGTACACCACTTAGCCAACCAGCAGCAACGAACAGCTAATTTCTTCCCGATACCCGCCGATAATGATGAAACGGTTATCTACCGGCAGTGCAAATGCGAGGCTATATACATGCATGTGCAGCGCGTCTCCCCAGCTGCTGTGGCTTAGGAGGCGGCCGCCCACTCAGACGACCGCCCTCTTAACTTCAAACCCTGGTGCGGACCCATGGGTCACTGGGGCACACTGGCATGCGTGTAAGACGCGTCCTACCGCACCGCCTTCTTGCTTGTTCTTTCCTTACCCGCAACTGGGTCCTGTGCAACGGTTACCTTAGGGTACACACCTTACGTACTGCACGTCGGCTTTCGCCCATGTCTGCAGCTCTATCGCACATGGCATCCAAAACAACAACAGAGCGAAGGCATGTTTATCCAAAGCAACAACACAGCAAAACATGGCACGCGTCCAAACCGCTTTTCTGTTCCTGAACTTAACCATGGACCTAACCAGAGGTAAACAAAAGGTATTGTACAAACGAGGAAAGCTTTAGGAGCGAGAATGATACCCGCATGCCCTGCCGCGCGGGCAACCTCCTTCGCCTCCTTGTGCCTCTCTCGCCCATCCCAGCCACCCATGAAGCCCGCAGCACACCAATAACGGTCCCTAAGTCACGGGACCGTCATCAGTCGACCCCCTCTCTCTCTCTCTTTCTCTCTCTCTCGCACACACATGCACTCACACACAATCACACATGGACTGTGGCTCCTCACACTCCAACCCCAGTCCACGACACTCCTACCACACCAAACCATCTCGGGAGGTCACTAGTCCACCACCGCGCCACTCACCACTACTCCACTCGCATGACAGGAAGAAGAAGACGAACGGACGCTTCCACGGATTCCACCCACGAGCTCCATTTAGGGAAAAAGAGGTACCGTACCCGCCGCCCCCAGCACGCTTCCGTACACATACCAGGCACGTAAGACCTACGGCTCTTCCGAGGGCTCTAAACACGTAATAATCCAACACAACAAAGGGTACGAAAGGTACAAGTACTTGATAGCCGAGCCTTGCAAGCGATAGCGGTTACGTTACGGCATCTCTGCTCCCCTCGCATAAACAGTCCCTCCAGCTTCAGGGCAGGGCAGGGAAGCGCTGCAGATGCAGGTGCTGCCGCTAGCCCTACCTCCACAGTCGTTCCATCCACGTTGTCCTTCGGCACACGTTGCATGTTTCCACGCACACACGCAGCCCATTTGACGTACCACACCCACACCCACACCAACACCAGCCATACCAAGTATACCAAAAGAATACAGGCAATGCTGCCTCACACTCTACGGTCTGTTCTCGCATTTTGGCATTCCCTGCTATCGCACGTTCATTGGGTACACGTTGGGAATTGAGTTTAGAGAGGTCCCGCTGGCTGGCGGGCGGGTAGCGGACCTAATCACGCAACTGCAAAGATTCCCCCTTCAGGCAGCATCACAGCAGCAGCAGCAGCAGCTAAAGGGCTGGGGAGCCGGCATGGGTAAGGCACAAAGGAACAACGAGCGGTTGGGCCTAACAAAAGTGGCCACATGCAATCTACAACCCCCATTCGCAACCTTTGTTCCTCCGCAAGGTGCCACAGATAGGAGCAGTCCTCAGCCGTGCACGGCCAGACAGTCCTCCGCCTGCTACCAGCCGGCTCCGCAGTCGGGAACTGCGATACAAAGCAAGCAAGCAGGTAAGGAGAGGAGTCGATGTGTAGCGACGACTAGAGGCGACGCATCAAAGCGGTTTCCGCTGGATGCCGGGCACAGGTTGACGGGCGGGGAGCTAGCTAAGCAAAGGAACGGCTCATCCGAGGCATCCAGCTTGTGCAAGTGCCATGATGCGCGTAGCTATAATGAACGAATGAACGAACGAACGCACGTACCTTCGAAGGAGTTGGGCACCACACCCGCATCGCCCGCCGCATCTCCTCCCTCAGCCGGCTGCTGCTCCCCGTTGCCACCACCGGGCCCGCAGGGCAGCAGCACACCAAACACCTGTTGCCCCTGCCCCTGCTGATGGAGATGGTAGTGGTGGTGGTAATAGTGTGGCTGCTGCTGCTGTGACGGAGGTGTTAGCAGCTGGTGTTGGCGGAAGTTACCGGTTGCAGGGTTGACTGCCGCCGCCGCCGCGGCTGCTGCTGCTGCTGCTGCCTGGGAAACCCCGGCAGCGGCAGCGGCCGCTGCTGCTGCTGGCAGCTGCGGCAACAGCTGCGCGCGAGAGTGCTGCGCCGACGGGGGCTGCCGCTGCTGCCGCTGCTGCTGCTGCCGCCCCCGCTGCTGCTGCTGCATGGGAACCCCCGCCTGCTGCTGCTGCTGGTGCTGTCGGGGCTCATCACCCTCCTCCTCCTTCTCCTCTTCCTCATCATCATCATCTTGCTCCTGTTCCTGTACCCATTGCGTTCGTCGCTGCTGCTGCTGCATGCCTGCCGCTCCCAGCTGCTCTTCCTCTCCACCGCCCCCACCTCCACCTGCCTCACCCGCTGTCCCTCCCGCCTCCGCAAACCCCCGCATGGTCCGAATGATGTTCCGCAGTGCCTCATTCTGCGCCTCCACCGCCGCCACCCGCGCCTCCAGCAGCTCGATGTGCGCCTGCTGCTGCCCCAGCTGCCCCTCCAGGGTGGTGACGTAGCGCTTCTTGCGCTCGCGGGCCTGCTGGGCTGACACGCGGTTTCGCAGGAGCCTGGAGGGGCAGAAGGGGGAATAGGGGGGGTAAGGAGGGAGGAGAAGGATGACAAGGGCAGGAGAAGCGGGGTGAAACAGCCGGACATGGTGAAGCGACACGGACTGATGGACGAATGGGCGATGGTAAGAAGATAAGGAGCCGCGCAGCCCAGCCGCATGCTCACCTCTTCAGCCTCCGTGCGTCCTTGTCCCCCCCTCCGCCGCCGCCTCCGCCCCCCGCCGCCAGCCTCGCAGTCAGCACCCGCTCCTGCTCCTCGGGACTCAGTCGCGAAAGCTCCAGCTCTCCTTCCGACTGCTCGCCGGCGCCACCGCCCTCCTCGTCATCCGTGTTGGGGGCGGAGGCATCCGCCGCCCAGTGAAACCCACCACCGCTGCCACCACCGCCACCATTGCTACTGTAGTGATTGCTGCGATGCCGCTTTGCACCGCCACCGCCACCGCCACCGCCACCGCCACCGCCACCGCCGCCGGCGCCGGTGACGTGACCTGATCCCAGTCCCGAGCTCGTTGCCACTGCTGCCATGGCTGCTGCTGCTGCGGCTGCGGCTGTTGGGGATTGTGCTGCAGTGGGGGATTGGGGCTGCTGTTGCTTCTTCTGGCGAGCTCGGCCCGCGGCAGCTCGCTGCGCACGCGTCCTGGCTAGCTCCAGCTCACCGCGCTGGAATGGCGTGAGGCCGGAAAGTGGCTGCTGGGATAAGCCGAGCTCGAATCGAAAGGGTTGGGGTTCGTTTTGCAGGACTGATGAGGTTGGGGCGGAAGGCGATAGAGGTTGCGATAGATGTTGGTGGTGGCCTGCTGCTGCTGGAAGGAAGGACTCGGAAGCGAAGGCAGCAGCAGCTTGCGCGGAACCTGCGTATTTGCCAGACAACAGAAACGTAAAGCACGCAGAGTTAATTATTTGTCGTAGATATATAGGTGTGCGCTTTTTGTAGGTTGGTTGGTGTTGCAATTACAGCGTTGATTACTGACCTGTCGTCGTCACAGGTGCTTGATGACGTGAGGGTGCTCCGCGGGACGTTTGGAATTCAGGCATTGTTCCCTGTGGTGATGCCAAAGCTTTGCTCGATCGCGTGCGGAAGGCAATGCCCAGGTCGCTTGCGTCAGTCCTTGTAACGAGTGAGGCCATTCGGGCGTGTTGCGCCGAGCGACGAAAGTAATTTGCGAAGTATTAGGCGTAGGAAAGCAGTCTAGTGTAAATAAAATAACGAGGTATGACGGTATCGGTGTTTGCTGTGTACCGAGATGCGTGTTGTCTGCACTTCGCCTAACAGCCTTACGATGCCAGGCTTCGGAGCGGGCGGGACTGAATCATTGGCTTCGTCAATTCTATTGGTCGGTTTGGCGCCCGAAATCCGTTCCTGTTGATAGCTTGTATATGTTGGTTACAATGGGTTCCTGGCTCGTACATATCCTCGGAAGTCGGAACCCTATGATTGCCGGATGCCCGGAGGGATCATTTCGGAGCGTTGCGCTAACCAGTCAAAGCATCTTCAGAGCAATGTTTTAATGCTTCATACCTCACAACATTTTAATCTCTGCATGAATTCTAACACTCAAAGATTTGTTGTCGCGTGCATGCATACCGTACATGGCAGGATGCCTCGCCTGGGGACGCGGGCTGCAGTAACACGCAGACTCGGTTTATTTCTCTCTCTGTTAGCTCATGTAGCTGGGTTGCAAGTGCTTGAAAAGGCTTACACTTCGCATTTGCGGTGTTGCAATGCTTGGTCTGTCTGGCACGACATACTGAACTTCGCCGTAAAAGGCGAGAGACAGAATAACTGCTGCCTTAAACAATGCAAGCGGCTGATCTACAATGGGTTCGTGAGTTCAAGGGTACGATGTGGTTACATGGCCTCAATGCGTGCCAATGCGCGAAACTGTCACAGGTCATAAGGAAATAAACACCACGCATTAGGGCGTGAGCAGCGTCCCAGCTGCTAAAGAAATATTGCATATTCAAGCCACGGCAAAACCCTTTCCAAGGTATGCATGTATGATGCATGAACTACAGCATGCCAACCTCACACAACTTCTCGCTCCTAAGGACTATCTCTAAACCCTTACCTCCATTCTCGGCAATACACCGGTTACTCTAGCTGCTTAAATTTCCTCAACACGGTCCCACCAGAAGTTCTCATCGCGGCAAATGCCAGCGTTCGCTTTACCCCCACCTCTCCCCAATCCTTACCCCAACACCTGCTTATCCGGAAACTCTCTATACCACACACCCTACCCCCCCAAAGCCTCCCATCCTCCGCCCAATCCTCGCTCAACACCATTCCTCCCTGCCTTCCGTACCTCTCCATCCGGCTCTGCAAACATCCGAAACTTCTCAAACCCAGCACGCAACCCCTAGCCCATGCTCGCCACCCTACTACCGCCTCCAATCCACTCACACGCCACTCGCTCTACATGCCCCCTTTCTCTCCCACGCTACCCCTCACACTATCGCATTACCCTCTACGTTCCCTAACCTCGTCTCACTCCCCGTCCTAAACCCCATCCAACTTCCATCCTTCACACGAACCCCCAATGCAGCTTCCATCACACAGGGCCCCTACCAGTCGCTGCTGCCCTGCTCACCACCTTCACTCCGGCAGGTTGCGGACCTGACGACGAAGACAGTCCCGTCTTCCTCACCTTGGCCAGGAACGCAGCAGTCGGTCGCATGAAGCTAGGACCTCCGCGTCCTCCCCCGCTGCCGCTGTCCGGCCGACTCCCGGAAACAGGATGCGCCACCCCTCCTGTGGTGGCGGCGGTTGCTGCTGCCTCCGCCGCTGCCGCCGCTGCCTTTGCGGCTTTGGAGCAGGAGCAAGCGTGAACCCACACGGGATGAGCATGATTGGCCTTTACATGACCGGCCCGTGCCTCCGCATGTGCCGTCATGGCGTCAGCAGCATGCGCAGAACCACAGCCCCCACAACCAGCGATGCTGCCGCTACCACAACTGCTGCTGCAGCTGCTCGGATGGTGCTGCTGCGGCTGCTGATGATGGCTGCTGCATGGGTGCTTGGATGCTAAGCCACCAGCAGCAGCAACCGAAGCAGTGGTGGTGGTGCTGCAAACAGGGCTGCTGCTGCTGCCGCTGCCACCCGGCGGTTGCTGCTGCAGCGGTGACGGCGACCGAGACCTTAGCTCCGCAAGCAAGAAGGAGGAGGACGGCGCCATGCAGCTGGCCGGGTGTTGGTGTTGGTGCTGATGAGATGTTCTGCGTCCTGCAGGCTGTGTTGGAGGCCGTACGATTACAGCCCTCGCCGCCAACCGGGGCACCACCTTGGGTGTTGTGTTGCAGCGGCCCCCTCGTTGCAGGGCGGGGGATGCGGGACTCGGACCCAGACGAATCGGGCTGCTCGTCGCGCGCAAGCGGGATGGATGCCGAGGAGATGTGGAACGGCAGGCTGCAGCGCTAGAGTGAGCTAGGGCCGAAGCTTGTGAGGATAAAGCTGCTGCTGACGCCGGTGTCATCGTTGTGGCCGGCGTCGTCATTACCGCTTCCGCCGCAGCTTCGTCGCCACCGGTATCTGCACGGCAGTCGCCAGGCTGGCAATCGTCGGCAGCCTGAACGACGTCGGAGGGTTGATCGTGAACTTGATCGTGGATTCGATCATCATGAGCCGGCATGTGCATGCAACCAATGCGAGCCTCCGCTGCCGCCGCTGCTGCAGCCGTCAAGGAGTCAACCGCAGCAGTCTCGGCCACAACAGCAGCAGCGCCAGCTGAGGACGCTTCCACAACCCCCGCCGCAGCCTCTTCCTCGTCCTCTTTTTCCGCCTCCCCTTCCTCCACAACACCGGTTGCCGGAGACGCACCCGAGACGCAATCCACCTGTCTCTCCTGCTGTTCGCATCGTGGGGAAAACGACACGTCAAGCGCCGCATTTTCATCGTCAACCAGAGACATGAAGCTGCACCCGTTGTTATCCAAGCGGGCAGAACTGCTTGCAACCAAAACCTCACAATCCTCTCCGCTCGTACCACTCGCAACAGCACTGTCAGACCCGCTGCCCTCGCCCTCGCAGCTCTCCTCCTCCGCAGCTGCCAGCGGGTTGTCAACAACCTGCATCCGTCTTAGCGAGGACCGCGAGGCACCCAAGGGCGGTGTGACCGGCGGCTGGGGACTGGGGGCGCAGGAGCTGCATGGGACCTGAGGAGACAGCAAGGGCGGCAGCATCTCGGCCCCCGCACCGCCCCAAGCGGCGGTGGGCCCAGAAAGAGGGCTGCTAGGACTGATGGGGATGTTGCTGTTGTTGTCGTCCTGGCAATGTGTCGTCGTCGTCGTCGTCGTCGTCGTCACAACGCATGACACCAAGGAGGACATGTCCTCGCTTGTCGTACGGCGGAGGTGCTTGTCGTTGCATGGCAAGGCAGGCGGAGAGGCCAAGTGGTGGCAGCTCCGCAAGGGGCTTCCACAGTCGGCGCTGCTGGGCTCTTCCGCAGCATCATCCACCGGCGACGGCTCCATGCGTGTCCGAACCGCGAGACGGCTGATTCCGCTGCTGCTGTGGATGCGGCAGATGGAGGAAGGGGAGCAGGCGCCGCCGCCCAGGGCCTTGGAGACAAGCGAAGGGGAGGCGCTAGCAGAAGCGGGGAGGCCGCAGCAGTGAGCCAGCTCACAGCGACAGCCGCCGTCACTGCTGCTGCTGCTGCCCCGGACGTCCTTGCTCCCTTGCTCCTCATGCTGGCTATGCTGGATGGGGTGGCAGTGGCTCGAGGGGTGGTGACAGGACCGCCGGCAGGTGCAGCACCCGCAGCCTGCAATGTTGTTTCCAGCAGCTGTGTGGAACACAGCCTGGTTGTGATCATCCTGGCTAGTTCCGGTAATGTTGGTACAATGATGACCGCCGCCACAGCAGTGGTGGTGGTGGTGATGTTGGTGCTGGTGCTGGTGCTGGCAGCTGCCTTCAACGGTATGGCGCCGCCCAAGAAGCCCCCCATGCAGGCTGCGTTCCTCCTCCAACAACGGCCAGCAGCGGGGGAGACCGCTGGCGGTGGCGGCGGCGGCGGCGGAGGAGGAGGAGGTGCAAGAGGATGAAAGCCCAGGAGCAGTCCGAATGGAGTTGCTGGAGGAGTTGAGGGGGAAGGCAGGTTGCGGCCAGTAGCTGGGGAGGGCGCCTGCAGTGCCGCCAGAGGATGTAACACTGCAGGAACGACCGCATCTGGCTTCGGTGGTGCCTGCGGTGGTGGTGGTGGTGGTGGTGGTGATTGGGTTTCCAAAGCCGTAGCTCTGCTGCTGCAGCTGTTGCTGTAGCTGTTGTAGCTGCTGGATACTTTGCTGCTGCAGAGACACGTGCGGAAGGGACGCCATAGCTCCGCCGCTGTTGCAAGGAGTGTGGCAGAACGCGCGGTTTGGAGCCTCCAAGGTGTTGTGATGGTTTACTTGTAACCCGTACCCAAGTGATTGCACAGTGGCAGCAAAGACAGCAGGCGACGGAGACGGGTCAGGCGGTTGCTTTAGCCGAGTGTTGGTGAGGGAGCCAGGGGGCACAGCACAGCTAAAGGCGGGGTTGCAGGCTGCCGCTGTCAAGGCGGCTGATTCCTCATCAGGAGACCGCTGGAGAGGGAACTGTTGGGGCCAGCAGGCCGCATGGGGGATGCTGGGCGGCCCCACAAAGGGGCTCGGAGGATAGCTCCCAATGGAGCGGTTCCCAAAGATGGATCCGCTCCCGCCGCTGATAGAGGTGCCCTCGAACGCATGAGGGAAGGAAGTATCGGACATGTCCGAGGGCCCGGAGCTGCCAATGGTAGCGGCACGAGAAGGGAAGCTGTAGCTGCTGCCGCTGGTGCTGCTGTTGGGAGCCTGGGGGACGCAGGCGTGTGGTGAGTCCGGAGCGCATGGGGCTATCGGCCTGGCAACGGAACCTGAGGCTATCGGCGACAGCGGAAAGAGACGGAGCGTGGGCATGGTCTTCTCATCAGCAGCACCACCGAGGGTGACGGAAGGAGATGCCGGCGAGGAGGTGTAGCAACCCGTCGTGAAGCCCAGTGGTGGTGGTGTTGCGGGTGTCACCCGCCCACCAGCAGTCGCCGCAGCGCTGCCTCCTTTGCAGGTCGTCATCACAGGGCTTGAGGACGCATTCGAGGCCGTCGCTGCCACCGCCGCCGCCGCAGCAGCAGCCCTGACAGTCGCCGCAGCTCCCGCAGCAAACGCCGCCGCCAGCACCGGCAGCGGCGGCTGCGGCAGGCACGGATCGCAAGACGAGTCGGCCGGGGCGCCAGCAGCAGCAATCCTCGTCCTCGTCTGACGGATTGCAGATGCACCCTCGAACGCTAGATTTCGTCGCACATCAAAGCCGCCTAGCGGCATGACGACAGCGGAGGTAGCAATAGCCGCTTCCCGGGTGCCCAGCTGAGACCTCCTGAGGCCCCCCAAATGGCCGGGCGACCTAGGGCTGCCGCTAGGACTGGTTCCAGCTTTCGGCGTTGCAGCCCCCGTCGGCGTTGCGCACTTGCCAGCAGCACTTGGGGTGGTGGTGGTGGCCCAAGGGCCAAGACAAAGGCTGGGGCTGATGCTTCTAAGAGGGCTGAAGCTGGGGTTGACTGCAGAGCCTTGGGAAAGCCGTTGTTGTTGTTGCTGCTGGGGTTGCGGTTCGAAATGCTGAGAAGAAGAGGTAGCGGAACGGCTGAAGGTCCGAAGCGGTGTGACACGTAATGGTACCGGCCTGTAAGTGCCTGTAAACACGTCCGAGCCTCCGGCATGGAAGTTGGAGGCTTCCGCTGAAGAGTCGTCACCGTCCGTATCAGCAGGGCTTCCGTACAAGCTATTGGTGTGTACGGTAACCGTCGTACGGTTGAGAATGGAATCCGCGGAATGTCCGCCGCCGGGTGCATGCCCACTGAGGGGACTCTGCTGGTGGTGGTGATGGTGGAGGTGGTGGTGGTGAGGGGGGTAGTGGTGGAGGGCGCGACGAGAGGGGCTTCGAAGGACTTCTCTGTGGTGGTTCTGGTGGTGGTGCGGAGCAACAGGACTCTGCGGACGATTGCCCTCTTGCTGTTGTTGTTGCGTGTTGGATTCCGGTCGGTACACTTGGTGTTTGCAGCGGCCCATATGCTCCTCCTGCGTCTGTCTCCGGTGCGGGCGGATGCTCAGATGACGGAGGTAGTGCCGCGCTACTCGGCAAACGGTGGTCGTCGTTGTCGCAGGGGCGGTTCGCTGTACAGAGGGTGGCGGTCAGGGAGGGCAAGTGGTGGGGTGTCAGGAATGGAGAAAGCAGAGGAGGAAAGACGGATAAAGACGCTTCAAGCGGATGTAACGGAAGAAACTTGCGACGGGAGCTGGCAAGCCGTCTGAGATCTACCGTTGCGCATGACTCCGTTTATACCTCCATCCATACCTCCATACCTTCGCACCCGATTCCTTACATGCCAGCAAACACCCTGCCAGCCCAGACGTACCTCCTCCGCTGCCGGGACGTGTGCAAGGGCAGGCACTGGGGCGGGCTGGGGCTCAGGCGCCGCGGGTGTAGGCACGGGCTCGGGCTCAGGCTTCTTCCTGGGCACGGGCGCGGTGCTCGCGGTTTGCATCTGCGCCATTTGCATTCGACCGTAGCCGGGAGCGGGGCCGTAGCGCGCTAGGGAGAGGTAGTGAGGCTGCTGCTGCTGCTGTTGCAGATGCGGGGGAAAATGCAGTTGGGGATCTGGGAGCTGCTGTGGGTGCGGTTGCTGCGGCTGCTGCTGCTGCTGCCAGTTCTGCCGTTGCTGCTGCTGGCAATCGCGGGGCTGTTGCTGTTGCTCCTGATGCTGTTGTTGTTCATTCTGTTCTTGGGAGGACTGGCTGCTGACAACGCCGGCCTGGTTGCTCCCTGATCCTCCGTCCTGCTGCTGTGGCTGCTCGTGCTTCTTGCTTTCTTCCGGCGACTGCGGCTGCGACTGAGCGCTAGGCTCAGACTTCTGGGGTTCCGACTCCTGCTGCTCCGGCTGCTGCGGTTGTTGTAGCGGTTGGGTCTGCTGTGGAGGTTGCTGCTGGGGTTCTTGGGGCTGACAAGGCTGGGGCAGCTGCTCCGGAGCGTCGCAGCGTTCGAATGGCTGAGTGGAGGTGCAGGCGGATGATGGAGTCGCGGAAGCCGCGGAGGTGGAGGCGGGAGCAGGCGCCGAGGCCTGGGTCGCCTAACGAGGGCGTTTAGGGTGGGGGTTCGTAGGGAGAGAGGGATGGAGAGGCGCGTCAAGGGATGAAGTAAGGCGTGGGGCTTATACGCCTTTCCAAAGATGTTGACCAGCTTCACAAGGAAGCGGCGATGCCACTAGGCTGCTCCTATCGCTGAGGCACAGCTGTGCGGACCAGACTTATGCTGCCGGGCATAAGCCGCTGGACATTCATTCCGTATGTGCAACCTAGCAAACCCCGAGCCTACCTCCTGAGGTGGTTGAGGCGGGATCTCAGCGGGGCGCCGCCTGGGGACAGGCGCGGTTGATGCGGTCTGAGAGTATTGAGGACGCGGGCAGGTATCCGGGCTGGGAGGCACGTAGGCCTGTCGCTGTTGTTGTGGTGGTGGCGGTGGTGGTGTAGCCGGTGCTGCTGGTGCTGGGTCAGCGACAGCAGGCGATACCTGAGGACGAATGCGCCCACACGTATTGTTAAATCTTACAACTGTATAACGTAAAATGTGCTTTAAAGGTATGAGACCATGTGAAGACGCAAAAGCAGCATAATAGTCAACCGGTACGCACCACGGGAGTTGATGGTGCAACGGGCGCTGGACCAAGACTCTCTTCATTGGCCTCCTTGCGATGCCTACGGGGGTGTTGTGCAGGTTCAAGGTCATAAAGACTATGAAGCGGAGGAGAGGCGCCTTGCGCTTTGGAAGCAGTGCAACGGGCAATGTCGCCGAGGATGCGTACCGTAGCGTTGCGAGGCAGCGTCGATACTGGTAATAATAGCATGCTGCACTCCCAGCAGCTCCTGCTGTCACAGCAATTGCCAAAGCCGCTTGTTCCAATAAGGAACCTCTGCGTCCTGACATGGCTGACATACAGTTTATGCGTTTGCTTCAAGCGGTGTTAGAAAACCTATCTTCTTATTAGCAATGGTACTTACTATTTGCACATTTGTCAGTAGATAAGCCAGTCCATGACAGGGAGAGGCACGAGACATTCGCCAGGCTCCCGTACACTACGTACGGTAGCCTATTGCAGCTGTCTGCAGGACAGGCCAAAACCAAAGGGCAATTATATACAACTCATGCCGTTGTATATACAATTGTGCACTCCATCAGTAAGTCCGCATCCCAAGGACAAGCGCAAACGGCTGAGAGTCCGAACGGGCCATTTCGTCCACTCTTTGAGTCTACATCACAGTAAGAACGAGTTATTGAGATCTCATAATAGCATTCCTGGAAAATTACGGGGTTATTACGGTGTCTCCACAACAACATTGCTCCAGAATATGAACTGCACTTTCATATGTACCCATTAGTGGTAGTTGCAACGCATAGAGTAGCCCGTTTGCATGAAACAGCACGCGAAGTGTGAAAGGTCAAGACGCTTGCCACGGCCTACAGCATGTTTTCAATTCATCCATCTACAGGACAAAAAATGTCCCTTAGGCTACATACCATAATGCCTTCCAAGAACACGTTTCAACGTATTCACATAAACCCAGGCTCGTGTCATGACAAAAGTCTTGCCCGCTCCCCCGCTCCCCCGGCTACCCATTGACCAGCACGTTTGTGGCTCTGCCCATTGGCAGACGAGGCCGATGTGGCACATCGGCTCCAACCACACGGCCAAAGCTGCACAGCCGCTCTGCCGTGATGGCTCCAGGATATGTACAGCCGCGAATCTGAGAGAGGAACGGAGCGATGCTGTTCGCTGCCGGGTCCAATTGCCTCCTCAGAGTTGCTGGGGGGTCGGAGGCAGGGTAAAAATACGGAAAACTGACGAACTGGATGACGGGGCTTCTCCATGGGTTGCTATTTGAACCCGGCAGGGTGGGGACTGGGCAGGGGGAAGTCCTGTCCACCAGATGGGGTGTAGGAAGGAAGGACGGAAGGAAGGAAGGCGCGAGCGGGATGTGCTTCAGGCGCTGCAGCTGGCTGCTGTGTTTACGTCAGCGCGTTGGTGGTCGCCGTGGGAGCCGTGGGGGCGGAGGAGGGAGAGATGGGGACGAGGGCGGGGCGGAGCACGCGTGGAGGAACCTCCCCTTGCCGGCGTGGAGTAGGAGAGTGGCAGCCGCAGGCGGCGGCAGCGGCAGCGGCACCGTGAATCCGTTGTACTCTGCCGCATTGAAAAAGCAACCAGCACAGTCGAGAAGACCGCGATGGTGAAGAAGGGGAAATGCTGCCGCCGCCGCTCACCGCATGCTGCCACGCGTCCTCGGCTGCGGCTTCACCCCCTCCGCCTGCGCCGCCGGGGTCGGCACCTCCCTCATCCTCGCGCCCGCCGCCCTCGTCGAGTCCCCGTACAAGTACCTCTCCTCGCCTGACGCCGATGCCGCCGCACCATCTGCATCGCTCTCGCCGCCATCTCCATCTCCATCCACGTACGACAGCAGCTCGGCTGCCCCTGCAGCAGCAGCCGTCGCCTTCCCGCCGTGCTGCACTGCCCCCCCAACAAAGCTTCCTCCTCCCCCACCACCACCCTCCACCTCCACCTCCTCATTACCAAACTCCAAAGGCATCAGTAGCGCCCCCGAACTGTTATCATGTCTAGGCCCCTGCCCATGCAGTTGCTGCCCTTGCTGGCCATGCTGCCCCTGCCTGGCTAGCTCACCCGTCATGGCTGCCCCCAACATCCTGCCCATCCCCATCCCCAACCCCAGGTCCCCTCCCAACCCCAGTTGCGGTACAGCAGCAGCAGCAACAGCAGCAGCAGCGGCGGCGGGCAGTATGTTTCCCAGCGGCAGCTCCAGCACCCGCCCCCCCACCCGCGCAGGCTGGTCGGGGTCATGGGTGACCCACACCAGCGCCGCACCGCAACCCGACAACACCCGTTCCATCCTGGAGCCGGGAGGGCAGGAGAGGGGTAAGAAGGAATCAACCAACTGACTTAGGGAGAAGGCGTCAACATGGGTTGCAACATGCGAGCCAGGGTTCATGGCAGGTTACCGTGGGAGGAAGGGTGCATGGCGAGGCAGGAGAGGTTACTCCCGCGTCCCCACTGCCACCCCAGCGCAGGTCCCTCCTCCCCTGCCCTTCCCCCCTCCCGCCCCCCGCCCTCCCGTCTCAACCTGAGCACCGCCGCCGGGTCGCATGCCGAGGTGGGCTCGTCCAGCAGCAGCACGTGCGGACCCAGCGCCACACTAATGGCCACACACAGCCGCTGAGCCTGGCCGCCCTGGGGGGGTAAGAATAAGGGCGGCGGGGAGGAAGGGGAGAAAAAGAGCAAGTTGCGGGGAGGGGGAGAGGGGGTGAAAGGAAGGGCAGGAGGCGGGGAACAGGGGACGAGGGGAAGATGGGGTGGGCCTGTCAGGACGGCTCCGCTGTGAGGTTTCCCTCCCGACGATCCAGGCCTATAGCTGCTTGCTGCTCCCCTTAGGACTCCGCCAGCTGGAGCAATTTACCTCCCACCACCCAGCCCACCCCCACCTCGCCCACCCTCATCCCGCCCCCACCACCCATCTCACACCCACCCCGCCCGCCCGCCTCACCGACAGCTCGCCCCACTGCTGGTTCAGCACCGCCTGCTCCAGACCCAGTGCATGCACCAGTGCAGGCAGGTCGCCGCGCGGGCGGCCCCGTTGCGCACTGAACCGCTGAGCGCTGAAGTACAGCTCCGCCGGGGTGCCACGTAGGCTGCTGGCGCGGCTCTGGGGCACGTACGACACCGCGGTGCGCCAGGCGGGGTAGCCGAGCTGCGCGGGGGAACTGCCCTGGAGCAGCAGGGAGCCGCCCTGGAGCGATGGAGGAAGGATGGAGGATGGAGGGAGGCAGGGGGCGGAGAGGAGTGATTACGGAGAGTGATATTTTGGTTTGGTAAGAATGAGGAAGTGGTTGTGGTGGTGGTGGATAGTAGCCGATAGCGAAAAGTGCCGAGGCAGGCTGGATGGAATGATGTGATCGAATAGAGCCGGTTATGGGACCTGCATGTTTTGCACCAGCCCTATGCCTACCTCTAAGTGATCAAGTCCTGCTATGGCGCGTAGCAGGAGTGACTTGCCAACGCCGCTGGGACCTCGAACGAACAAGATTTCTCCATGCTCCAAGGAAAAAGAGACATTGGTCAAGACGCTGCGATCTGCGATGTCGCGTCGCAAGCCTCTGACCTCTAGCAATGGCATTCTGTTTCCTTCGCTGCCTAACGCTAGGGCCGCAGTTCAGGTAAGTGCATTGGGGCTAAGATATGCAAGGGTCTTGGAACAGAACTCTTACAAGTCCAAAGAGTACCAAGCAGCCCAGCTAGTGCGCACCTTTCAAGCAATCTGGACGCGTCCTTGTCTGCTCCGAAGCCTGCTGGGCAACAGCGGTTAGTAGCTTAGTACCCCTTTGTAGCTTGGTACGCCACTGGACCATTAACGCGATATTGCTTCATTAGTCACAGTCAGCCAGATATAGGTGTTGGTAAATGCTTTTTCGCGTGGCCGCATGTGACGTTGATGGCGGTTGACGGATGGACGGACGAGGAAGCAGACATAACTATGCGGGTCTTAGCTACCATAATGTAATTGATTACTTCGTGCGTCATTGCAACGGTACTTAGTTCAGGAGACCGGGTACACCAACTACTTGCTTACAATGCGACAACAGTACATGCTTGCAGCCATGGAGCAGGACCCCTTGCAAGCTCTACGGCAAGTAAGCAAAGTTTCCATACTTCACTGTATCATTTCGTAGCCTGTACCTCCCTAAAACGCCCTACAGGTCAGCCATTAGAGTAATCAGTAGTGCCTTGATTGCAGCTAGCAAAACCAGCTCAACTACTCCAATCCGTCAAACACCCTATTGCAACATACACCTCCCTAGCACCACACTACTACGCAGCGCAGCTACAAACCATGCGCCACATCAGGGTGCCAACCCCGGAGAATGGCGGATACATGTATGCAGCTAAGGAGCAAAAGACACTGTGAAAGGTATAACTAGCTAAACTGGAGGGATGTAAAGACGATGATGCAAAGGTGAAAGACATGCAAAGGGGTTAAACACGCAGCAACAATATCCATTTAAGTACGTTACGGTAATCAGATAGCTACACACGTGGCGCCGGACCCCACTCGACTCACTGTCCGGTGGAACACAAGGGCAGGGGCTCAGTCGCTTCAGTCTTCCAGCAACGCCACTTCAACCTTGCCGCAAGAACCACATGATGCATCATTAGAAGAAAAAAAGTCACCGGCAGATTCCCTGCCATCTGCTAGCTACACACTCGCTACGTTACCTCCCTCCCAGCGCTAAAACGGTACGCAGCACCTAACCTCCGTACACGGTACGCAGCACCTAACTTATGTACATGGTATGTAGCACCTGAACTGGAGGCTCCCGGGGCCGCCTCGTCGTCCCAGCAGCAGCAGCATCAGCAGCACGCACTGCGGTTCCCCCACCGCACCCCTCCATACGCGTTCACGCTTCACCTCACGCTGAACACGCTAATGACTTACATTGCCCCAACCTCCCTCCTCCCTCCTCCCTCCCTCCTCCCTCCCAGCCTCCTCACCCTCCTCACCACCCCCGCCCTCCTCCCACATACACTGCGCCCGCTGCCGCCTCCGGCCCCAGCACCTCCGGCTCCGCGGGCCCGAACCTCCCGGGCGCCGGCAGCCAGGCGGCGGGGAAGTGCGGGTCGGGGGGCTCCCCCGCAATCATACCCGCAAGCACACGCCCGCAGCTGAAGGTCCGCGTCATGCCGTGACCGCTGAAACCCGCAGCCAGGAACTGCCCCCGCCGACCCGGCACCGGACCCACGAAGGGGAAGCGGTCCTGCGTGAATCCCAGGATACCGCTCCACTCCGCCTCGAACTGCAGACCGGGGGCGGCGCGACTGCTGCTGCCGTTGCTGCTACTGCCGTTACTGACGCTGTGGTGGTTGCTTCCGCTGCTACTGCTAGTAGCAGTAGCAGCGGAAGCAGTGGCCGTACCGAACACATGCGGGAAGTGTCGCGGGAGGTAGGCATGCAGCTCCTGTCGTACCCGCTCGTCCAGAGTCGCATCGTCGTACACACCCCATTCCACCCCCGGCACCACATCCCTGAAACCGCCCACCACCACCCTCCCGTCCTCCCTCCGAGACCAATACACGTAGCCGCCACGCGCGTAGAACGCTGCGTCCAAGTTGAATGCACCCGGCGGAGGTTCCGATGGCAGAAGCAGACCGTTATTACCGTTGTAACCGTTGGCGGTCGATGCCGTTGGTGATGTCGTACGGCGGAGGCTTTCGTACGGCGCCTTGGTAGCTGCCACGTGATTCCGTACGGGCACCAGTGCGGTTCGTAGCTCGGGGAGGAGGGAGGAGCCGTACGCGTTTGTGCAGTGCAGCACTCGGCGCGCTAGCAGCTGGCGGCCGCATTCGGTGCTCACCTGGGGGGGGGAGAGGAAGGGGAGGAGGAGGGAGGAGGGAGAGGAGGGGGGAGGAGGATGAAGAGGAAACGACTAACTGACCATGCATTAAGGCGTCATCATGGTTGGCTGAGGAGGTGTAGGAGGAGGAAGATGAGGAGGCAAAGAGGAAGGGAGTACAGTGTTAAAGCACCTTCCTGCCTGCCTGACAGTTCAGTGCTTTGCCTCTTCACCCCCCCACCTTCATTCCCCCACCTGCAGCAGCGGAGTGGAGTCGGGGTCCAGTGGCTCGGATAGCGGAGCCTGTGAGGGGGGGTGGTTGGGGGCTTGAGGTGAGGTGAGGCATTGGGGCGGAGTGAGACCATGGTGGTGGGGATATGGTCCCGCCGCCACCAGGGGGCCGCTGCTGCTGCTCAACCCGCTCCGCTACGCTTACACACACCCCCAACCCATTGGTTATTCTTCTTTTCCACCCACCTGAAGTGCCGAGGGCCGCACGGGCACGATGTTGTTTGCCGCCGCCGTACCTCCACCACCGCCTCCTCCTCCCTGCCTGCCCACCACCACCTCCTTCGGCAGCCGCACCCCCTCCCCCAGCGGGGTCACCGCCGTAACCCGCGTGTGCTCCGAAACCACAAAGCCCCCACCTCCCCCTCCGCCTCCGCCTCTTCCCCCCGCGGTTCCCCCTCCCCTTCCCCCTCCCCCTCCTCCGCCCCCCTCAGCTGCTGCCAGCCGGGCGAGGGCAGCCACCAGCCGAGCCGCCCACACCCGCGACACCCCCGGCTGCCGTACCGCCCCGCCCCGGTAGGTGTCGCAGCCCAGCAGGGCGGAGGTCTGGCGGCGGGAGAGCGGGTGCGCGTCGGTGAGGAAACCGAACTGGTTGGGGGGCGGGGGGGGGGGGTGAGTGAGGGGGTGAGGAAGGGGGTGAGGAAGGGGGTGAGGAAGGGGGTGATGTTAATAGGACGCTCAATAATATTAACCATCTGTCCTTGTCCTAAAGTTGGTTAGCTGAGAGGGCTGGGGCTGCGCATGCGGAGGCGAAGGAGGGCATGGGGCGGAGGAGCCCGGGTAGCACAGCAGGGGACCCTCCCCCCTACCTGCTGCCCCCACCTGCTCCTCTGACCCCCCTCCACCTCCCCTCCACCTCCCCTCCTCCTCCTCCCCCCCCCCAAAACCAACCCCCCACCTCCTGCATGGTCCTCAGCTCCCGCAGCTGCAGCTCCATCTCCTCCTCGCTCTCACACACATGCAGCCCGCCCTCACTGAAGGGCGCCCACCGCACCTCCTCCGCCAGCCCCGCCCCCCGGATGCAGCCCACCAGCTCGGCCAGGCAGCGCTGCTCGAAGGCCATCATGCGGCCGGTCTCGGAGGCGCCGTAGCGGGCGACGGTGCGGCACCAGGGGGCGTTGAGACTGGGGGGAGGCGGGGTGAGGAGGTGGTTGGGGGGAAAGGGAGGTGAGGAGAGAGGTGCTGAAGGGACGGGGAAGTGAAAGGGGAGGAGGAAGAGGAAAAACACCTCACAAATGCCTGCAGTTATGGGTGCGGGCGCATGTTGTTCTGTTGGATGCCCGTACGACGGAGCGGGTAAACAAGCCTTTGCTGCAAGTAGTGCATGTTGCCTTTGCGTGCTGTGTGCCACCTGCTTGGTAGCATTTGCCTCCTCCCCCACCCAACCCCAGCACTCCCCGCTCCCTCCCCTCCCGCCCCCGCCATCCCCCAACTCACGCGGGCCACAGCAGCCCCCCGTTGCGACCGGTAGCTCCGTGGCTCAGCTGCCGGGCCTCTAGCAGCACCACCTGGGGGAGAGGGGGAGGGGAGCGAGGAGGCGGGGGAGGTGGGGGGTAAAAAAACTATAATGAGACACTTACGTAGGAGGGGGAGGGTAGGCGAGTGAGGGGGAGAGGGAGGAGGAGGTGGGAGATAGGGGCATGCAACCATAAGGCTATCTATGGCAACCTGAGCCTCGGCGGGGGGGGAGGTGAAAACACACACACGACGCTATGTGGTCAGTACAGTACCTACAGTCAACGCAGCTTCTGTTTCTTGTTAACACAAACCGCCCACACAAACCGCACCTGCAGGTCGGGTCGTAGCTTACGCAGGTGGTAAGCAGCGCTGACGCCCGAGATACCTCCGCCGATGATTACCACATCCGCGACAGGCGGAAGAGAGGGGCGTCGGGCACCGTTGGAGGCGGAGGCAGGCCGCGGCGGGGCGGGCTTGGAGGCGCCTGGGAAGGCTTTGAGCCAGTAGGGCTGGGTGGGGTTGAGGACGGGCGTCGGCAGCGGTGGCATCTTGAAGGACTGTGCAGCCGCAGCCGTGGCTGGGCGCGCTGAAAGATGGTTGGGTCTTGTGCCGAGGAGGGGTTGACGGTAAATGAACGTCTTGATGAAGAGTAAAAGAACTTGATGTGTCCGACCATAAATGGTAAGGAAATATATTTTTATTGTGTGTGATGTGTGCGGTTGGAACGCATATATGACGTCGTTTGCGTTGTTGGAGTGACGACTCGGCGTTGCGTCGGATTTTGGTGACGAGTCAGCAGAGCAGGTATATGTGCGTTATGAGTATTGGTGTAAGTATTACTTACTAGATGGCGTGCTAGGAAACTGTTATGGCGTAAGATTGTTTACGATGTCCTCTACTACAACTTGCTCCAATATATTCGGCCTGGTAACTGCTATCCTAATCATCAACCTGTCCAGTCGTAGCTTGCAAACCAATGCTTTCTTTTATGACGCTTCTACGTCAGTATACAAAAAAGGCGGACAGAGAACATAGGTGTTGCGCTTGGATGGCATCACATCTGGGGTCGAACAAACCCAAGCAAGACAACAGTCATTTGCAAGATAAAGCTCTCTGGCCCGCAGTTTTCATTCCCTTTGTCGGTAGGCCTTCTGGCCAAACGATATTTCTCCGCCCTGAAAGGTTGATAGAGGAGTAATCCAACATCGGAATACTTACTCGAGAAAAGAAAAGCCACACCTGACATGATAGTACCAGATGCATTTACACATATGGAGCTTGCGCACGGCTGCAAAGCTTTTTTCCAGAGCAATTTGACGTCAAGAGAAACATAAGCGGACACCCAGCTTGTTAACATCATAGGAAAATTATTATTTACTTTCAAGCTAATGGCAATCATCATCGAACACGATACCAACCTAGCTAGGTTCAGGTGGATCCAATATTTTAAATGGACGTCTCGGATCCGTTTCTTAACGGACGTCCTCGTCCCTCTGTTGCAACCCAAACAAGCCAGGAAACAATTTACGCTGCACGCTGTGTGTTTAGTAAGCTTCCGGACCAGCTGTCGCAGCTGCAGCAAAACAACGGCTTGCAGTCACTGATTGTGCACCTCATTAATGCAAGGTCGCTGGCATAGGTCTATATCCTAGCAAATGTCTTGAAGGATAAAATTACTAGGGGTAACATTTATTTTTCGGCATTCGACAACAAGCTACATCGACAGTCGGCGCATGCAAGCAGATGGCAACAAGTCCGCCTCCAAGGGGTCAATGCAACGCCTTCAGGAAGCGCGATAGGAAGAGCGAGTATGAACAGCAGCTGGAAGAGGATGGCGGCTCTTTCTTTGGTATGCTGAGAAAAGTAGATGACGCCATCTGCTCTTCTAGGCAAGAACAGGACCCACGGCAACAACCGTCTCCCACACACCTCCCAACTGTTAAAGCATCCCAGAAGAGCCGGCAACGACATATGTTGGCACAAGGAGTCCGAGACTCTACCACATCCCAGGCGTTGCCAACAAGGAAGGCTGCTAAGGAGGTAGCAGCTTCGCAGCGGCTTTCAAGCCAACAAACTGCTGCTAGCAAGAATATGGATGCTGCTGACATGGAGGTGGCAGACAACCAACCTAAATTTCTCCCCGACCGCAACGCTGCAGCACAACCAGCTGTCAACTCCCAAGCAGCTTCAACCGCTGCGGGGTTGGAGGCGGGGGCTTTCAACGGCCAGGTGGCTTCTCTTCAGATGAGGCTGCCATCGCTTCAGCCAGAGCTGGACACTGCAAGGGGGGAAGCTCATGTTGCGCATGCAATGGTTGTAGCCATAAGCCGTAGGCTTATGGACACCCAGAAAGCCGCTGCGGCTGCCAAATCAGAAGCTGCCGCAAAGCACCAGGAGTTGGAGGCCAAGGCGGCGGATGCACACGCGGTCGCAGCAGCCGCACAAGATGAGGCGAGAGCTCTTAAGACGGCCCTGGCTGCCACTCAAGCCGAACTTTCAGCAGCTAAACGAGCAGTGGCGGCGGCGAGCGGCGACGCTGCGATAGCCCAGGATCAGGCGGCGGCGGCCCATGCATCTTTGGCAGCGCTTCGAGTAGAGTTCGCGGTGGTGAAGGAAGAGCGGGACGCCGCAATTGGAGATGCTACCGCTGCTCGGGCGGAGGCATCCGAGGCGTGGAGCAATGCGAACCCTGCCCAAGAGGCACTGACAGCCCTTCGTCGGGAATTCTCAGCTCTGCAACAACAGCGAACCACGTTGGCGGCGGAGGTGGCAGCGGCGCGGGACAAGTTGGAAGTTTCGCGGTCGTCTGAGGCGGATGTTCACAAGCAGCTCGCCGTGCTCCAGAATGCATACGCCTCAGCAACCGCGGAGCTGGCGGCGTCCCGGAAGGCTACCGATGCTGGCAAGCAACTCTCACTGCTGCAGAACGCGTATACCGCGGCAACATCGGAGCTGACAGCGGCACGAAAGGCAGTTGCGACTTCACAAGCGGCGCAGACAGACCTTTCCAAGCGGATCTCTGCGCTGCAGAACGCACATGCCGCGGCAACGGCAGAGGCGGCAATGGCACACGCAGAAGCCGAAGCGACGCAAGAGGCACTCCATGCTGCTCGTGAGGACGCCGCGGCGCTGCGAGCCGAGTTGTCCGCTGTCCAAGCGTCCGAAGCTGCGGCCACGGCTGAAGCGGCAGCAGCACATGACAGCCTGGCGGCCGTACAACGCGACATGGAGGCCCTTCACGAAATCGTGGCTGCCGTTCGCGAGGAGCTTTCGGAAGCTCAGCAGGCAGCGGTGGTGGCAAGGGACGCCGCCGCAACAGCCCAGGCTCAAGCATCCAAGTCCGAGGCGGAGACGGGCGCGCTTCGTGTGGAGCTGTCAGCGGCGCAGGAGGCGCAGGCCGCTGCGATTGCGGATGCAGCCACCGCACGTGAAGAAGCTTCAGAGGCACGGAGCAACGCACGCGCTGCTCAGGAGGCGGCAACAGCCCTTCGCGCTGAGCTCTCGGCTCTGCAACTTGAGCACGGTACGATGACGGCAGTAGTGTCAGCAGCGGTGGAGAAGGTTGCCGCCGCTGAGGCAGCCGAGGCAGCGGTCGGCGAGGCGTTGCTAGAGATGCAGGCTGCACGTGACGTTGCAACAGCAAACGCAACAACCGCACGGGCAGAGGTTGCAGCAGCACGCAGAGAGATGGAGACGGTCATGACGAGCCTTCGCCTGGAGCTGTCCGCTGGGCAGCGCGAGCGCACCGCGTTGGCGGCGAAGTTGGCGGCGGCACACCAGGCGGCTGAGGCTTCCAGCTCGGACGAGGCGGAGCTCCGCCGGCAGCTGTCGCAGCTGCAAGATGCGCACACCATGGAAACAGTGGCGGCGGCAACGATGCAAGCTGCCTTGGAGGCGGCTCGTGCGGACGTGGCGGCTATGCGAGCTGAGCTGTCTGCGGCTCAGGAGTCCAAAGCTGCTGCCATGGCTGAAGCAGCAGCAGCACGCGACGGCATGGCAAACGCGCAGCTTGAGATGGAGGCATTCCTGGAGGCCCTGGCCACTGCTCGTGAAGATGTTCTTAAGGCTCAACAGACAGCAGCCGTGGCAAGGGATGACGCGGCAATAGCCCGGGACAAGGTGTCCAAGGCTAAGGCGAAGACGGCCACTCTTCGGACGCAGCTCTCCAAGGCCAAGGAGGACCGGGCCGCAGCAGCTGCGGAAGCAATCGCTGCGCGGGAAGTGCTGGAAGCTCTTCGTCTGGAACTTTCTGCTCTGCAGCTTGCACGCACTACAGTTGCCGGAGAAGCGGCGGCGGCGGTAGACATAGTCATCGCTGTTGAGGCGGCAGAGGCCGCAATCCGTAAGGAGCTGTCCTCGACGCAGGATGCACGCGCCGTGGCAGAAGAGCAGGCAATGGCCGCATGCGGAGAGGTAGTAGCTGCACGGAACGAGCTGGAGGCGACACAGGCTGTTGCGACATCCCTTCTCCAGGAGCTGTCATTGATGCAGGTCGAGCGGGACACGTTGGCGGCGCAGGTGGCGGCTGCACGGGAAGAGGCCGAGGCTTCCAAGTCAGTCGAGGCAGCGGTTTCCAGGCAACTGTCGGAGCTGCAGGATGCACACACCGCGGCAACGGCAGAGCTGGCAACGGCACGTGTGGCGGCGGCAACGACGCAGACTGCCTTGGAGGCTGCTCGTGCGGCCGTAGCGGCCGTACAAGCTGAACTGTCAGCAGCCCAAGAATCCAGTGTTGCTGCCATGGCTGAAGCTGGAGCAGCACACGACAGCATGGCAGCCGCCCAGCGTAAGACGGCATCTCTCCAGAAGGAGCTTGATGCCGCCCGCGCAGAGCTTCTGGCGACCGACGAGGCCGCCGCTGCGGCGGCAGCGGCGGCAAAGCGCGACATCGCAGCAGCCCGAGATCAAGCGGCCAAGGCGCAGGCGATGATGGCCGCTCTTCGTACGGAGCTGTCGTTGAAGGAGAAGGGGCATGCTGCATCATTCGCGGACGCAACCTCCGCACGGGCCAACGCCGACGCTGCCCAAGAGGCTGTGACGGAACTTCACCAGAAGCTGTCAGCTATGCAGCGTGAGCGCGACACGTTGGCGGCGAAGTTGGCGGCGGCACACCAGGCGGCTGAGGCTTCCAGCTCGGACGAGGCGGAGCTCCGCCGGCAGCTGTCGCAGCTGCAGGATGCGCACACCATGGAAACAGTGGCGGCGGCGACGACGCAAGCTGCCTTGGAGGCTGCTCGTGCGGACGTGGCTACCATGCGAGCTGAGCTGTCTGCGGCTCAGGAGTCCAAAGCTGCTGCCATCGCTGAAGCAGCAGCAGCACGCGACGGCATGGCAAACGCGCAGCTTGAGAGAGATGCTCTTCAAGAAGCCATGGCTGTCGCTCGCGCAGAGCTTTCGGCAGAGCAGCAAGCAGCGGCGGCGGCTGCAACGGTAGCCAAGAGCGACAGTGACATGGTCCGGGAGCCGGCGGCAAACGCCCATGCGGCCCTGGAGGCACTGCGAGTCGAGCTCGCGGTGGCGCAGAAAGAGCGGGCCGCCGCAGGTGCAGCCGGCGCCGCGGCGGAGGCCTCCAATGCACGGAGCAACGCCAACCCCACTCAGGAGGCGCTGACAGCCCTTCAACAAGAGCTGTCGGCTGTGCAGCATGAGCGCGACACGCTAGCGGCGGAGGTGGCGGCGGCACGGACCCAGCTGGAGAACGAGAAGGCGACAGCAGCAGCCATGTTCGAGATGTTTACGGCTAACCGGCTTGCACTGGCCGAGCACGCTGCACAAGCGGCATCCGCGCAGGCGCAACGGACAGCCGCACGGGAAGCGGCGCAGGCGGCTGAGTTGGCACTCCGCGCGGAGCTATCTGCTGCCAATAATACCTTGGCTGCGGCGCTGAATGAGTTGGCAGCCGCACAGAAGGCTGCCATGGCTGCCAAGGACGAGCTTCTCATGCTCAATATCTGCCTAGACATGGCACGCAAGGAGCTCTCGTCCACGCAGGCTACTGCAACGGCCGCGGCTGCTGCGGCTGAAGCAGCACTGGCTAGCGCACGAGACGAGGCGGCATCTGCCCGTGCTGTCGCCGCTGGGGCCCATACGGCGCTGCAGGACGCACAGCGAGCTGCGGCGCTTGAGCGGGAGAAAGCCGAGGAGCTTGTCGGGCGGTTCGCAGCCGGGCTGTCCGCGAAGCAGGAGGAGCTGGACCGCGCGTTGGAGGGGCACGCGCAGGAGCTGGAGCAGCTGCTGGCACATCTGCCCGCCGTAGCTGCAGACGGGGTGCTGCGCTTGGCCCGCCTCGTGGCACTTGGCGGGACCCTGGTAGGTGGCCAGCTGCCCGCAGCAGCGCACGAGCTGTACCCGGGTATGCAAGTAGTCGGTGACCAGGCTGCAGCCCAGCAGCCGCTGCAACTGCTGCCTGCGGCGGCGGAGTCGGGGCTGGGACCGTTAGGACCTGCGCTCATGTCAGGCCCGGCGGTACAAGGGCAACAAGGCCTGCCGGTGGCGCCTTCCCTGCCAACACCGGAGTTGGCAATGCCAGTCCCTCCGGTTGAGCCGCGAACAAAACCGGCGAAGGGCCAACCGCTGGCGCTACCGTCAAGCCGCCAACGGGCAGTGTTGGCTTCGCTGGTACAGAATGCTGTCGCCTCGGCACTACCGACCTTGCCGGCTCCCGCGCCAGCAAAGCCCGTCAGCGCGCGCCTGCCGCCGCAGCTCCTGGTGCATGGCAGCACCAAGCCGGCGGAGGAAGTAGCCCCTGCAGAGCAGCCGCGACGCAGGCTGAAAATCAAGCTGGCGCTGAGGCCGACGCAGCAGCAGCAGCCACTGCAGCAGCCGGAGGGGCCCAGCTCAGTGAACCCAGCAGCACTCAGCGTTCTCGCGGACGCCGCCGCTGAGGCAGGGTCGTCGGAGGGAGCAGGCAGGAAGCGCGACAGGGCGGCTGGAGGCGGCGACCGGCCACATGCAATAGACGCGCTTGCGGATGCGGCAGTGGCACAGCTGGCGACGATGGCGGACGGTGGAGGCAAGGGACGCGGCGGCAAGCGGGCCAAAGCCAACCATTAAGCGGCTGCAGCGGGCTCGAATAGCGGGCTCGAAAGGTGAAGCTAAAACGACAAGAGGGCAGTTGCTTAACATGGGCACAGGGGGTGTAAATGGGTGATGTAGGATGCTGGAGGGTGGCATGGAGCATGGATATGAGCGACAGCAGGCACGCAGGTGACAGCGACAGGCAGGCGACGCGGCTGGCAGGGGTTTGCAGGCAGGCAGGTAGGCTTGGCTGCGTTTTGGCTACATAGCGTTACCTAGTAATGTGACAGGGATAGACGCGCAATTTACGTAGTATCATAATACGATTCATACTATGCTCTGCAAAGCAGTGGTAGCGGGTTATGCCAGATAGAGCGGTTAGGCATGCTGCCCTCATGCAGGAAGAGCATGAGGGCTAGGCGAAGGGCGGCAGTTAGGCTGCTGTGGCCGTGACGCTAGGTGGTTGCCCCTGAGACACTGGGGCTCCTTCGCTAGGCGCCTTTAAGTGGCAAGATGAAATTAGGTATTATAGGAATCTTTCGTACATGTGGCTTTCAGACGTCACGGTCTATTCACGTGAAAATCAGTTTTTGGCGGAGTGGCTTCTGACGGTTAGGGGGGTATCCCGTAGTGGGGGTATAGGATGCCCCTAGCTACGCATGAACCTTAGCTTTCCTGTACTCCAGCTGTGGGGCTGCACGCCCGTACTCTAGCTTTGAAATTCGGTAGGCATTGCGGGGGAGGGTGAGCGCGCTGGGACCGGACGTGCTTGTGCCATACCTGTACGACATCCCGGCAGATGCACGGTAACGCCCGTCTGCGTGTGTCGTCCCGGATGCGCCTGACCGTACTCCACGCCCTCCACAAGGCTTCATGTTAGCAGAATGGCCGTTTGTCATGCGCTGCACCTCCGCCATCTTGTCCATTCGGTGTGACGGTCTAAGCCATCCTCTGCTCTGGGTCTGCCAGACCTCCCAGCTAAAAAATTGTTATTTTATTTACATTACATGTTTACCGTATACTGTGCATTGGCTAAGACGCGGCTACAGGAAACGTTGCTTATGCTTTACGATGGGAAGCGACGTGTTTCTTAGGGCGGAGGCTCGGAAAGGCAAACTTGTGACAGCTGCACTATGTGCTCCACGCCTACACAATCCCGGTGCATCAACGTTAGGTGGCTATCATGAAACTTAACCGCCGGAGCACGTACGGACGGCAGTTGACGCCTGCATTGTAGCGTCTAGCGTGCCACGCGTTACATTAACAACAGTAATTCCTGTGAAATGATAACACTTTTTAACCTGTGTCGTCGGTGCATGTAACAGCTGTCACTATTTGCAACCTTTTTGGGAATGCAGACTGCCGGGAACCGGTTAAAGCCTTGCTTATATCGCCTTTGGCACGCCGTTGAGACCAGTCCAGTAGCGCGACTAACAACACAGTCTGGAGCTGCTTTGGTTCAGGCAGAGTCGAGTCCGTCGTCGCAGCCCCTTCCCGGCTATAAGCGCCTTAACTTATGTAATGCCGTAAATGATGCGATGCTTATTGCTCTTGACACAAACGAAAGGTATGTTCGCCCTGGGCTAGGGCTTGCGAACGCTCGCCATGTTGTCCATCCGACGTGGAGCACACTCTGTGATGGCGTAGGTCCTACGTTTTCGGCGAAGACGTAGCATTCGGCGGAGTCTTTCGCTGCACCGTGGGGCTTTTAGAACGCTTTGGCAAGGAACGCGTCTTCAACACTCCTCTGTCAGAACAGGTGCGGTGGCGTTGACGTTACAGCTGAATGCGGTGTTTGTTTTTATAGTTTTGGACTAGTTAAGGCTAAACAAGTTAACGAGCTGAGACGTGGTCAAGGAGCTTCAAATGGGTGTTGCGTTTTGCGTATCCTAGCATACCCGGACTTAAAGGTCTTCTGTTCGCACTTCAATAACATTTACCAGCGTGTACCTGTTAATGCATCGCTACGGACGTGTTGGTCCTCGAGGTTGCGCCATCCCGTCCGATTGTAACGAAGCCGAGTCCACCCTCCCTCACCACGCGCGCATCTTCTTTCGCAGGGCATCGTTGGCTTCGGTGTGGGCTTGGCCTCGCAAGGCCACACCGCGGTGGCTGAGATCCAGTTCGCCGACTACATCTTCCCGGCATTCGATCAGCTGGTCAATGAGGTGCGGGGATGGGACCGCGCTAGCTGCTCGGGGCCAACCGCTGGAAGCATTTGGCACGGAGGGCCTGGAGGGATGAGGATGAGGCTAAAGACGAGATGGGGAGCTTGCTGTGTGGTGCCCTGCCCCCTCCTCCCCTCTCACCCCGTCTCCCACCCAGACTATCCTTACCATCCTGCCGGCTCCTCCCCTCCACCGGACCTTCCGCCCCTTCCCTCACGCCCCATCACCCTCCACCGCCCCCAGGCCGCCAAGTACCGCTACCGCAGCGGCGGCGGTTTCAACTGCGGCGGCCTCACGGTGCGGGCGCCGTACGGTGGGTGGTTGGCGAGTTGGTTGGGAGTTCGTACACACGTTGAGGAACGGAGTGTTCGTTGGTGTACGACAGCATGTAGGGGTCTACCGGTCTGGAGCTGCACTGGGCCACTGATGTGGGCCGCGTCTGGCCCCCTCGTCCCCCCCTACCTTGCCTTGCCTTGCCTGGGATTTCTTATCCCACCGGGGCCTTACCTCCCTCGCTTGCTCGCTCCCTCGTTCCTCTCCTCCCCTCCTCCCTCCCCCACCGCACCCTGCAGGTGCGGTGGGGCACGGCGGCCACTACCACAGCCAGAGCCCCGAGGCCTTCTTCACGCACGTGAGGCTGGGAGGGGGCCATGGGGGGGCTGAGAGGAGGGCTACGGGGGGGGCACGAATGCTTGGGTGATAACCGATAAGGTGTGGGCTGTCCCCCTGCTAACAGACATGCACCCTAACCGTGTACCCCCCTCTCTCCCTGTCTTGCCTCGCTCTGTTCCCACCTCCTTCCCACCAACCGCCACCTCCTTCCCACCTCCTCCCCACCTTCCCCCCCACCCGGCCCCAGGTTCCCGGCCTCAAGGTGGTGGTGCCCAGCAGCCCAACGGAGGCCAAGGGTGGGTCGCCGGGGGGGTGGGGGCAGGGGGTGGGGAGGGCACTGGGGGAGTTGACACACTGGAGGGGTGGGAGTGGCAGCCTTGAATGACACTGGGCACTTCCTCTTCATGTCAGGTGGCCTGTCATGTCATGTCAGGGGTTATGTGGATCGACGGCACATCACCAGCTCACCACCCCTGAAGCCCCACCTCAACCATCAACCACCCCTCACACCCCTCACCCCCCCCACCACCCCCACCACCCCACCCCTGCTCAGGTCTGCTGCTAGCTGCCATTCGGGAGCCCGACCCGGTGGTGTTCTTCGAGCCCAAGATGATGTGAGGGGGGGGACGGAGGGGGAGGGAAGGAGGGGTGGAGTGGGGAAGGAAAGGAAGTGTGGAGCACAGCGGAGCGCAGTCGCAAATCCGCACCCTTGAAGTGTCCGCATACCACGATTCATGGATGCCTGCTTAGTGCTTACCGAGACGACTTGAGGAAGCAGCTGACTCCAGCTGCCCCTCAAAACCCGCCGCAACGACCTCTTCGTCCCCAAACACACACACGCCTCGCGGCCAGTTATTTTAGCACACCTCCCGCCGCCCCTCCCCTCCCCTCCCCTCCCCATCCGCTCCCCTCCGTGTGCCACCACCCGCCAGGTATCGTACGGCGGTGGAGGATGTCCCGGAGGCAGGTGCAGGGGGGGGGGAGGGGGGGGGAAGGGAGGGGGGAGGGAGAAACTAGTTGACCGGGACACAGACACAGACAAGCGTGGGGCACAACTGGAGTGTGAGGCCTGTCCTCCTGTCTTCCTGTCTTCCTTCCTCCCCACGCCTGGCCTCCTGCCGCTACTGCCCCCGGGGGGGGGATGCATCCGTGTCCCTCCCGCCTCAACCCTTCCCCTTCTCTTTACCCTCTCCGCACCCCCCTCTCCCACTCCCCCCTCTCCCCCCCCCCCGCCCCAGGGTGACTTCATGTTACCTCTGGGGGAGGCGAGGGTGCTGCGCGAGGGGGGCGACATCACCCTGGTGGGATGGGGGCAGCAGGTGGGTGGGGTGTGGGTGGGGTGTGTTAAAATAACTGGCCGCGAGTAGGAACATACTGGGATGTGGGTGGGGTGTGTGTGTGTGGGGGGGGGGGGGCGCAGCAGCGGAGGAGATGAGGGCATTCGGATGAGGCCGGCTGTGTCCATGCGACTGCTCGTTTGTTGCTCCGTCCTCCTCCCTCCTCACCACCGCTGCACGGCTGCAGCCATGAAATGCTGCTCGCGCCCCCCTCCGATCCTTGCCTTCCCGCTCCTCCCACTGCCACCACCACCTGCTCTGCCACTTCCTCTTCTTCCTCCGTCAACGCCGCCTCCTCCAAACCGCCCCTCCCCGCTTCCCTCCCCACCCACCCACCCCCCACCCACCCACCCGCCCGCCCGCAGGTGAAGGTGTTGCTGCAGGCGGCTGACCAGCTGCAGTCGGCGGAGGGGGTGGGCTGCGAGGTGATCGACCTGCGCACCCTGGCACCCTGGGTGGGTGGGTGGGTGGGTTGGGGGTTGAAAAGGGGGGTGTCGAAGACGGATTTGGGCGGTGCGGGATGGGCCGCAATGGCGGATGGAGCATGGCCACATGCGCAGTAAACACCATCCGCCCAAAACACACCTCGCCTCGTCCCTCCCCCCCCCAGGACTCCGAGACCGTGTGTGCCTCCGTGAGCCGCACGGGCCGGCTGCTGGTGGCGCATGAGGCGCCGCTGACGGCGGGGTTCGGAGCGGAGGTGGCGGCAACGGTGGCCAACAGGTGAATCCCACGTGGAGGGTAGTAGCTAGATGCGGGTTGGATCCGCAAAGTGAGCTGGCAGGAAACACGTGACGCCCCCGCCTCCCTCCCTCACCGCCTCCCTCCACATCTACCCCCCACACACACACCCGCAATTGGACTCCCTCCCCCCCAGGTGTTTCACGCGGTTGGAGTCGCCCCCGGTGCGTGTGTGCGGCGCCGACACGCCCTTCCCGCTGGTGTTTGAGCCCGTGTACCTTCCTGGGGTGGAGCGGGTGATGGAGGGGGTGCGGCAGGCCCTGGAGTTCTGAGGCGGCAGGCGGGGGAGGGGCGGGGGGAGGGGGCGTGCATGTTGGGGGTTGGGGGGGCGCGGTGGATATACGCACGCACGCGCTGATGCTGGGCTGAGGCTTTCGCTTTGTGGCTTGTTATAACAGGAGTGGGTATGTTGTTGGGTTTATTCAGGTAAATCCGCAACGGATGGTAAGCATGGTAAGAAGTAAAAGACGTGCGGGAAAGACGACAGGGACAATAAGTCAGGGTCTTGCGCCGGAGGCGATGTTGCTGTTAAAAGACCCCTGCTGTAAATATATAGCCAATATAGATACAGCGGGTAGTGCGGTAACCGGAGGGAAGAGGTTGCTGGGTACTGACAAGATGTTGAGATTTAGTTGGCAAAGTTGTGTGTGTTTTCATGATCTCCGTTGTACGGTTGCTTGCTTGGTTGCTTCTCGGAAGGGCTCTCGCCGTCTGTATCAAAGTGTTCCCGTACCATACTCTTTTTTGTTGTACAGTAGCTGCGGTCGTGTTGTACAATAGTGTACCTGTACGTATTACTACCGTACAGCTGTTGTAGCTTTATTTATCGAAGGAAGTCAAGGCTCGTGTTTATACCCCATGGATTTATCCTGTAGAGCAACGGTTTTGGTTGTGCGGCTAATAGACTTGATAAGGTGTGTAGCGCTGGGGACCTGGGGTGGTATCTGTATGGTATGAAGGTGCGCAGGTGATGGGAGGGAAGACCTCCAACAACCGGACAGCCCTCTAACCGGACACCCATGTAACCGAACACCTGGCTAACTGGGACACCTCAAAAGTTGAGACGCGCGAAGCCATTACGTTTGGCACAGGAAGCGTGTCGACAGGTGGCGGATGGATGAGCATCTAACATGTAGATAGGGTAGATAGGGCGCAGCGAAGGCAACGTTACAAGGTGATACGTCAATACATTTGAAAGGTCTTGTATGCTTTGCTTATGATGCGTTATCAGCACAATCGGTACGACTGATTGTGACTTCAGATGGACTCTGATGCGCACAGCAACGGCAAGCATGACGCACTCTTACATGCATAGCTCAGCACCTTAACTTGAGGGAGGTCTCTAAGCAGCTCTTGTTGTGCGCGGTAATATCGGCAGTCGACAGGCAAGGTCAAACCACCTGTGACTGTGCGTCGTCTTTGGACCCATACGGCTTAGCAACTTCGTGTCTGAGCTGTGCAAAGGGGGTATACCATCGCATAGGTAGGTGCTCTAAAGACAAAATAGCCTTTCCAGTACCGTTACATGCCACTCTCAATCGGCATAGGTAGCGCCTTCATCCCTATTGCTTTCTAATAAGGAAGCCTTCACTTGTCTTAGTCTTTTATATCCTGCCTCACCTGTAAAAGGGAGCTTCCCGTCTTCTTGTCTTCCATGCGCGTCGCTGGTGCCGCGCTGCTGCCGCATCAACTTCAACGCCTTCCTTACTCCCTGCCACAGGACCTTCCCTCAGCAGGCATCCCAGGCCACGTCACCCTTCCCTCCAGCCACCAACGCCCCATCTCCATCCATCTTCCAGCCCATCCTCCGCATCCCCACCCATGTCCCTGCTATCCGAGGGCGCTCGGGTGCGGCTGGTAGGCCTCACCGCCCGCCCCGCCCTCAACGGCGCTGAGGGGGTGGTGGTGGCCGCGCCTCAGGGCGACCCGCCGCGCTACCCGGTACGCCTGCTTCACCCGCCCGAGGCGGTTGCCGCACATCCCGAGGGAGTCAAGGTCAAACGAGACAACCTGGAAATCGATGCAGACCGGTCCGCTGCCGGCAAGCAGGACACGAGTAAGGACAAGAGCGCGCCCAAGCAGCAGCAGCCTGCAGCCGGCAAGGCCAAGAACAGCGGCAAAAGCGGCGCGGATCAAATCCTGAGTCCGCAAATCCGGCTGGCTACGTGCCGCAAAACCGCGGAGATATTCCTGGACGCCCTTGACGCGGATGCCTACCCAGCAGAGGCGATGGAGGGCATCTTCGGCGTCCGCATGAACTGCGCGGGAGGCCAGAGGAAGGTGGACAGCGACCTGAGCACCTGGCCCATGGGGAACCTCACCTTCGGCGCTTGGATCACGATCCGGAACTGGTTTTTTGAAGATCGCATGATGGCGGCGTACGAATTGGGACCGGACGAGCAGGACAAGCTGCAGGAGATGGCGAAGCGAGCCGCGGCGGAGTTTGTGGAGGAGATTGCGAGGGTGCTGGTGCAGGGGCGAATGCCGCAGTGGTACGAGGAGCAGCTGCGGAAGCTGCAGCGGGAGGGGCGGCAGAGCTATTACGTGATGGAGATTGTACGGCGGAAGTTCCAGGGGATTCCGTACGACACGGTGATGCTGGATCGGCTGGCTGGGAGGGCGTGAGGAGGAGGAGGAGGAGGGGGGGAGGGGGCGGGGGAAGAGGACGGGAAGGAGGCATGAGGGAGCGAGGGGTGAGGGAAGTGAAAACGATGCGATATCGACGTGTGCCGCCGCTGCGACATCGGGAGGTGTGTCATGATTATCCGTGACGACTTGGGGCTCCTCAGTCCTCACACATCGTGTTGTTGTTGTGCTAGTGGTAGTTGACACGGGAAAGTGCGATGTCAGGGCGCGGAGGGATGTACCATAGTCGGTGTTTTGTTGCTGCTGCTGCTGCGAAATGTAAAGAGGGCGAATCGGTGCTTGGCCGATTCCCGCATGACACATCCTGTAGCTGCTATTGTGGTTATTGTTGTCCTTCGCCTGTTGTTCACATGATGTGTTGCATGAGCGCGGTACTCCATTAGAGAGATGCATGACCTCGCTCACACCCCCTTGCATGTTGCTGTCTTTCATTGACGTTTCGGACATCTGCCATGCATCTAACCTGTTATTATCTAGGCTTGAAGCAGACCGTCCGCTTTGTTGTCGCGGCGGATGACAAGAACTGGGTTTCAAACCGCTCTGCGTAAAGAACTGTTCGCCGCGGTCGCGGTGCTGGTGTTAAGAAAACTGGCCGCGAGTAGGAACGTACTGGGATGTCGGAAGATGAAGTCCCCACGCGGTGCTGGTGTGTACGGCGGTGCGTTGCCTTGCTGTACGAATATCTGGAATGTTCTGTTGTACAGATATTGAGTTGTACACATGTTGTAACTAGGAACAGCTAGAGGACCAAGCGTTCCAAACAGCTTTTAAGAGAAGCCGCAAGGCCTGCAGCATTATGTAGATCTTATGGGCCCAGAAAGCCCTGCTGCATTGTACTACATGCCTGCCATATTGTACTACACAACAGTGTACGACAAGAGGAAGCCCACTGCACCCGGGTAGTTAAGAAGTACGACAGTCCGCCACACAACCGCAACCTACCAACCGCAGCCACAAATATGACAAGAAAAGAAGGACCCGATTGCTGTACCACCCCTGCTTTTCCTTTTAGGGAACCACTGTAACGGTCCTTCATTCACCCCTGCACCTGCACCTCTTGCTGTCAGCCTGTGGCACCGCCGCCGCCGCCCTCCCGCTCCTTGCACGACACCCCTTGTTGGTGGCACTGCTGCCTCCGCCTAAGCTGTGTCCAGGCCACCCTACCTCTGAAGTCGCCACCACCTCCTACTGCAGTGTCGGTCACTCTACCTCTGAACCACCCCTACCTACACCTTGCTCTCAGCTCCCTTGTACGACACACCCTTGTCCGCTCCCTTGTTGTTGTGCGGCCGCTTGCCAGCGGCGGTGCTGCCGCTGGGGCCGCCTGAGCTGCCCGGGCCGCCTGCTGCTGCTGGGGTGGTGGTGAGGAGGTGGGGGTCTCCGTCGCCCTCCGCAAGAATATCAACCTGAGGGGAAGGGGAGGAGGAGGAGGGGTAAAGACAAGGTTCATGCCGCTGCTCCCAGACCGACCCGTGTAACCACCGAACCTTCCCCTAGCTCCCCCACCTCCTTCCCCCCCCACCCCCCACCCCACTATCACACCACACATTGGATATCTTATTTCCCACCCCCCCACCCCCCGTCCCCCCCTACCCACCTGCGGTGTGAGCGCCCGCGCCCTGTCCCGCGGGTAGCACCAGTGGAGCCCCGTGTAGAACAGCGCGCACAGGGTCTGGGAGGGGGGAGGAGGGGGGGGTGGGGGAAGCATGAAACAACCGTATCCTTAGCAGGCCAACGCGCAGACACATGCATCATCAGAACATGCGCAGGTAAGAGCTCTCAAGCGCCGGGTCAGCGCGCTCCTATCCCCATTGCCTTGCCCCAAACCTGTGGTCTCCTATGGTTCGGTACGGTCTTTGACTCCCCCCCACCCTCCCTCCCCCCCCTCCGAAACCCACCCAGGGCACCACCATGAACAACAGCATGGCGTCCCCCAGCGCTCGGGCCTTGGCGAGGTCGGGAGGGGGGCCTGGCAGGGGGGGGAAGGATGGGGGGTAGGGGGGGGTAGGGGGGGAGGGAACGTTGGTGAGGGGCCGCTGCAGTGACGGTATGGGTTTGGCCCCACTTCTCCCTTCCGTCTGTCCCCTCACTCCCCCAACTCCCCCATGCCCCTATACACCACTAAACACACACGCACACCCGTTTCCTTAACACACACACACACGCACACACCTGCTGTGGACGTGTTGTGGCTGTCGCAGGCGCCCTCCCCGCCGGCCACACCGCTGAACCCGAACCAGCGCTCAGCAGCCATTCCCACCAGGGGGGCGCCCAGGGCGGAGATGGCGCCTGGGGGGGAGGGGTTGGGGAGGGGGGTCAAAGACCATACCAAACCATAGGAGACCACAGGTTAGGGCAAAGCAAGCAAGGGGGGGAGGGGGGGGGCCGGATGGATGGACACCCCATTGTTGCCTCCCTTCTCTGCTGCGCCTGGAGCCGACATTCCTAGTTCCCTCCTGCCCTCGCTTCTGGCGCCGTCATACCAGGAATTGCTCTCACGACGCCAAACCTTACCCCCCCATCCCCCCCCCTCACCCTCGAACGACCTGTCGAAGGCGTACACCAGGTTCCTCATGTCGGGCGGCACGATCTCAGCGAACACGGGGTTGTTGCAGGCGGGGGCAGCCCAGCTGGTTAGCACGCCTGGGGGGGGGGAGGGGGGAGAGGGAGAGGGGGGAGCGGGGGGTAGAATAAACCAAAACACAAAGTTTGGGGGGGGGGTCAAGGAGGAACCAGCCCGTTCTGCTGGAAACCACCGCAAGAGAGGGCACCCCCTGCCCGACTCTCCCTGTACTGCTGCGGTTCCCTGACCTAGCCCAACATACACAACGGGGGCACACCACACAGCGTTGGCTCCTACTCGCGGCCAATGTTCTTAACACACCATACCCTCCCCTTCGCCCGCCCACCACGTCCCACCCTTTGTGACCATGAGTACTGCATACCCCGCTGCGGTGGCGGGTGTGGCGGTGAGGGGCATGCCCCGCAGCATCAGCACACTTAGCGGCACGCCGATACCCACACTGAACTGCGAGGGGCGGGGCGGGGGGGGGGATCGGGGGTCAAAGACCATATTAAACGATAGGAAACCACAGGTTAGGGCAAGACAACGTGGGGGGGGGGGCGGGCGGGAGTGTTCCATGACAAAGCAGACCGATGAGTGAAGCCACCCCGCCCCCACCTGCACCAGCGCCACGCGCCCATGGTTGGGGTATTTCTCCGCCACTCGGTCTCCCAGCCACCCGCCCACCAGCGCCCCCGCCGCCGTGCCGCCCAGCAGCAGCGCCATCAGCGAGGAGGCGGCGACATCGCTGAATCCCAGCAGCTGCAGGTACAGAGTGAGGAAGACGAGCGCGTTCCAGGGGGTGGAGCCCACGATACCCTGGGGTGCGGGGGGGTGGGTGGGTTTGGGGGGAGGGAAAAGGGGGCGAGGGTAAGGAGAAAGAGAAGGGAGCATGCCTCGATTGCCGCTTCGTCACTCACCTGCCCCTGGGGTCCCATCCCTCCCTCCCACCGGGCTACCCGCGCCCAACCCAGCTACCAACGCAAGCCCACCCGCCCACGAAGCCCACCTGCAGTATGATGATGAGGAAGGTGGGGGTGCTGATCATACGCCACAGCCGCCGCCACGTTAGCGCCCCGCCGCCCCCACCGCCGCCTCCACCCCCGTGGTAGCCGTGCCCTCCACCGCCTCCGCCGGTGCTGCTTCCGAGCACCGCCGCCGCCGTCGCCGCTGCCGCCTCGCAGCCCCCACCCTCCACTGCACACCCCGAAACCACCGGCTGCAGCAGCAGCCGCTGCCGCTCCTCCTCCTCCTCGTCAGCACCGTCTGCGCCTTCACCCGCCGCCTCAATTACCTCTCCACCAACACCACCACCTGCCTTTCGGGCGGTAAGGCCACCACCAGCAGCACCACCAGTAGCAGCTGCATACCGGCGATAACTCGCCGCCGCCGCCTTCCACTCATCACCCTCCTCCTCCTTGTCCTCCTTCTCCACCTCCTTCTCCGCCTCCTCCTTCGCCGCCACTGAAGGGCCGCCGCCGCCGCCGCATTGGTCCTTACGCGGCGAGCGACGGCGAGTGCGACGAATCAGTGGCCGACGGGGACTGGGCAGCAGCCGCTGCTGCTCTCGAGCCGTGGGAGACACGTCGGCGCTGCTGCCACCCTCCCAGCCGCCGCCACCGCCGCCGCCGCCACCGCCGTCAGAGTCGCCCTCATAGTACGGCCCCTCACGTCTCCCTCCCCCACTCGAGTGCCGTCGTCGCACCACCAATGGCTCGGTCTCCCAACCGTCGGAACGCGGCTCGTCGCGCTCGTCGTCATGGTCGTCCTCGACCGACCCACGGGTCACATCCGAGTCGGCAGTGCTGACCCGTGGGTCATGGCGCGTGCGATGCTGCCGAGGGGACGCCGGAGGCGCCGCAACCGCCGCCGCCACTGCTGCTGAACCCAACTCGGGATCTGCTTGCGATTGCTGCTGCAGCTGTTGCTGCTGCTGCTTGATAAGCTCGTTGCCAGCCGGGTTCCTGTCGGGTTGTTGTGCTGCGGAGGCGGGACCACCTCCGGGGTTGCCTGGGTTGCGCTGACGCGCCTCCCTTCGCTGTTGGCCACGTCCTCCCCCTCCGCCTCCCCCTCCCCGCCCCCATCTCAGCAGCCCCCACCGCTGCCCGGCATGCGGGGGCGGGGGCGGGGGCGGGTCGCGGGTGCTGTTGGGGCGGGTGTGTGGGGGAGGTGCTGCCTGGGCGCCCCGCATGCGGTGGTGCCGGGTGGGGTCCACCGCTAGGAGCAGGGTGAAGGCGCCGATGGCGAAGGAGACTGGGGTGGGGAGGGGAGGGGGGGGGGGAGGTGTAATGAGATGAAGTGTGTGTGTATTCAATAGACTGGCAACGGCAGTGGGTTTAATGAGGTTGGGTTACTGGCGTGGCAATGCATACAGCGGTCCACAACAAACAAATGTAGGTGTATATGTGAGTGTACAGTAACAGTAACATACACATACACACATTGCACACATGCACGCAGAGTGACCCACGGGTCACACACCCCCTCCCCCACCTGCCCCCACTGCCATGAACGCCAGCCGCCAGCCCTCCAGCCCCAGCGGACTCATGCCGCCCAGATTGGTCGCGAACACCGACCCCAGCATGCCGCCGGTGGCACCTGGGGGGGGAGGAGAAGGGGGAGGGGAGGGGGAGCGTGTGTGTTTTTCCTCACATCTGTACAGCGCATTGGCGTCTTTAGTTAATAACGCAGGTGTACGTATTTGGTCGCCACCGTTACATGCAGCCGTGTGTGTATACAGACATCTGTACATAGCCCCCTGCGCTTACGCCTCCACCTCCTCCACCTCCCGGTAGCTGTGACCTACCCCCCCCCTTTTCATCCCCCAACCCCAACCTCCCCCCTACCCGTCAGCATGAGTGTTCCGAACGCCTCCCCCCGCTGTGTTGCCGTGTAGTAGTCGGCCACCAGCGACTGGCTGTTGGGTATGATGAGCGAGAGGCCGATGCCGTTGAAGGCCCACGCGGAGATGCCCTTGGGGGGACAAAGACCATACCAAACCATAGGAGACCACAAGTTAGGGCAAGACAATGGGGATAGGAGCGGCAGGGTGCCACAAAAACAAAAATGGGTTAGTGGTCCCTACCGATACCGAGTCCAGGGCGGCGATGAAACAGCGACCCTCCAGCGATCGAGCTGACTGCTGGTTGTTGTAGTTGTCTACTATTAGTGTCTTGATGTCAAAAAACGTCACCAAGGCCCCACATGTGCTCGGGCATGACAAAAAACAGGACCGAAAACGTATGTTATTAGCAGAGTACAAGCAATCTAGCGATACGGGGATTTGTGAAGCATAGATTTACCTATGCGATGGATGGATGCCATTGGAGCCGCCAGCAAATTGCACGAATGGGCGAAGGGAAGGGCAAGGGAGAGGCAACAGGATGGTTAAGTTGGGTGCATCTAGGAAGCAGAAAAGCGGACAGAGCATAGGAGCCAGGAATGCGGAGTATATGCGAAGGGGCCTTGGTGACTACGAAGAGGTTGGTATGTACCTGTAGTAGAGGAGTAAGGTTAGGGATGTACAATGGGATAAAGCAAACAATGGGTCAAGACAAAGGATGTATAAGTTAAAAGCCCGAATGCGGATCCGCTGCAGTGCGGATGTGCTGTGCGTCGTGCAACACCACGCGACACGCGACAATGCAAGTGAAACCCCTAGTCGTTTCCCTCCTTTCGGAGTTTCACGACGGACATATGCGAGTGCCTCCGGCCCATCCCTTGGGGGGAGGGGGGGAGGCAGGCGGGGGTGCAAGAGGGAGGGAGAAGGACGCGTCAGCGGGAGAACTCTCTTGGGTCTTGGCCCCGCCGCCGCCACCGCCCCCCTGCCCGCATGCCCCGCCCTGCAATCCGACACCACCACCCCCACCCCCACCCCCCCACCTGCTTCACGGTGGTAGCAAACGCGAATGCGGTGCAGAAGAATCCCCAGATGGCGCACCCCACGAACAGCACCGACACGCGGTCGTAGAAGTGACCCTGAGGAGGGGGGGAGGGGTGGGGAGGGGGGCGGAGGAGGAGGGGAGGAGACTTCCAGCAGCGAAATTAACATAACATGAGCTAGGAACGACGGAAGGCAAGGCGAGGGCGAGTTTGCAGGTGCGCGAAATGACCCGTGGGTCATCCACGTCGCACTTGCATTTACTCCCCTGCCTTCCCCCCTCCCACCCACCGCCAGCCCCCCCAGCGGGCTCGCCACCGCCTGCACCAGCGCCCGCGCGAAGGTGATGAGGCCCAGCTGGTGAGGACCCGCGCGGAATGCGCAGCCCAGCGGGCGGGACAGCGCGGGCACGATCTGCTCGTCCATGCGCTCCATCACACTGACCTGGACAGGGGGGAGCAGAGAGGGGGGAGCGTAGGGGAGCGGAGGGGGTAATATAGATGCTGGTCAAAAGGTTCCGCATTTGGCTGGATTATAGGAATGCGCATGGCCATACTTGTTGGGTAAGTTCCGTTGGGTAAGTTCCGACGTGGGGGCGCGGGAGGCGGAACAACAAGGAACCACCACACCCCCCTCCCTCAGTCAGTTAGTTGTTTCCTCTTTACCCCTCCCAATGCCATCCACTTCCCTCACCAGATTGATGAGGGCTATGGTTCGGCGGCGCTGGGCCAGGAAGGCGGCGTAGGCGGAGGAGGGGGAGGGGGAGGAGGCGGAGGGGCGGCGCGGGGCAGCGGCAGCAGGTGGGCGGCTGTTGCTGTTGCTGCTGTGCTGCCGCTGCAGCTGCCCGCGTTGGGTGACGCTGGGGCTGTGGCTTTGGTTGTGGCTGAGGTTGCGACGGAGGAGGAGGGGGGCGTGGGAGGCGGAGGAGGAAGCGGGGGAGATGGAGGCGGGGGAGGTGGGGGAGGTGGGGTCCAGGGAGGATGTGCGGGGAACGGGTGGGGTGGCGGTGGGAGCCGAGGCGCCGGTAGCGGTGAAGCAGCGGCGCTTGGATGCGGAGGAGGGGAGGGCTGCGGGACTGGAGGGCTGAGGGGAGAGGGGCTTGCTGGAGGTCTCGGAGGGGGCAGCATCAGCGGTTGGTGCTGCTTGTGCTGCTTGTGGCGGCGCGGAGGCAGCAGTGGGCAGCAGGAGGCTTCCGGGGGAGGAGGCGGCGTGGGGCGGCATCAGCCAGGGAGGAGGGGGGCTCGCGTCGCGGCTGCTGCCGTCGCCTCCGCCGCCTTCAACATCAATACCACCGTCACCGCTGCCGGTAATAGCGGCAGTAGCAGTGGGGGCAGGAGCAGCAGGGGTGCTGCCGAGATGAAGGGAGGAGGGCGGCAGGAGCGGCGACCGCTCGTCAAGGAGTGCTGCTGCTCCTGCTGCCGTTGGAGCCGCATCAGCGCCGGCTTCGACGTCAGCAGCAGCAGCAGTTGCCGCTGCTGCATGTTGCAGGAAGTGTGAAGAGACGGAGGGCTGAGGGACGGCGTGACGGGGCATGGCGGATAGGAGGGATGCCGTCGCTTCGTTTACTTCTTTCGGGAGCAGGAACCCAGCTGGAAGAGCCGAGCCAATGTGTAGAGAGCAGACTATTCAAGCTTGAATTTTCCGAAAGTGCTTAACTTTGAGGATGCCGGGTAAAGACTGGCTAGCAGTTATAGTGTCTTGGCTGCTTTGCCTCGCGATCTTTGGAGGACGGTGGTGTTCGTTCCGACAACCGGTGCCCTTCGAGCACGCTGTTAATCCCACACGAAGCTGGATCGACTAACAGCTACTCGTGCTCTGTTTGGGTCTTCTAGACATCTCTAGGTGCCGACCTAGGGTGCGGCAGACGAGAACAGGAACTGCTAGGGCCTGTATTTTTGCCAGGCTGTGAGGAACTTGCCGCAGCCTCGGAGGGTGCGCCAAGTGATCTGTGTGTGCGGTTGTTTCTCTGTGTAGGCTATGTGTGCTGTAAAGTGGAATGGGGGCCCTTGGTGCTGATAATAAACTAACCGTAAAATGCCACAATCTACGGCTTGGGCTTGGGAGGCCCGCGGGACCGTCTGACGCAGCTTTCCTTGTAAAGCGACATTTCTTTTCTTTCCTTTTCTACAGGGATTGCCCAGCTGCAGTACATGGATAAATGTGTGCGCAGTGCCTTGGTGCGCTTGTTGCGGTTTGGCGTGAAAGCTGACAAGGGCGGTTATTAGGACACCACAGCACTCCGTAATGAGGTGTGAAAGGATAACCCAATTCAGCCGTTTTGTCTATTCCTACCAAAACTCCAGGAAGACTGAAGTTGTCTGTGCAGCAGCAGCTGGTGGTGTTGGAAGCCTTCGAGGTAGGTTCACAAATTGATGTGCGTTATGCCGCGCCACGTAACCCGCTTGCGAGCAGTGCAGTAGGCGGTGTCTCGGTTCGGCCAACTGGGTCAACGCCCTTCTCCTGCATCACCCGTGTTCCCTCATAGGGAACCGTTGTAACGGTCATTCATTCACCTCTCTTATCTATCCAGTTTGGTGGCATGCAATCCAGCTCAGAAGCACCCTTGCGGGGTTGTACACGCGCGGTGCGTGACTGCGGGGGAGGCCCTGACTGCCAGGGAGGCTCTTTGGGGGGAGGGGTTACGGCAGATGCAATGCCGGGGCAATGAGGGAACGGGTAGGGGAGAAGGGCAGGGCTGGTACAGGTACGTACGGAAGAGCGGGTATGCGGGTCGGCTTTCCCTTGCCTTCCGGCTTGGGATAACTGTAGCGGTCATATTCATTCAGGCACAGGACGTACGGGAACTGCCAAAAGGACTGTGTTCAGGGGAACTGATGGTGGCCGCAATCTTCCTGGCTTGGCGTCCTAAAGCCGTGACGTGGCAGGGTCCGTGCAGCAAAAGCATGCGCAGATGTCTCCCGATGCGACACGTGAGAGCCTCGCGCTGGATGATGTCTGCAACAGTACAAAGAATGCACTGCTTGTTTCACCACGAAAGGTAGCTAATCAAGCGTAGCTTGCGGTTTCGACGGTCGTTCATATATTGTGAGACCCATGGACCTCCAGGCTGCAAAACCCATCGCGCGCGCAGCCAAAGATAATTAGCAACAGGTAAAAGGATATTAGGTCTTGTGGTAATGCCCTGTTGGCATACGTCGGGTGAGCGGCAAGTTCACGTATAGAAGTGATTCCAACTTTGCTAAGGGTGCACACGGCTATGAACAGCTGTATTATGTTCGCAAATAACGCGAAAATGACCGCTGGGAATACTGGTACCTTTTTGGTTGGCGTTGCCTGTCGTTCATCCTTGCATGGGTTAGCGAAACCAACCAGCTGCAAGAGCGCGTTGCTCGAAATCTTTGTCCAGGCCACATACAAAATTTTATTATTGTTGTCGGGGCTATGTAGGCAGCGTCCATATGCTAACGTCTTGGTGACTATGGTTTGAATCATTACAGCGACAGGTCGGGAAAATCAGCACCAAGCTTGTGCTCAAAGCTGTTCCAACCTGTTCCCTTATTTATACCAGCCACTACGCTGTGCATGTCCGCTAAGATGATGGCAAGGCGTTTTTCGCCCGGCCAGTGCTTAACATCTTGCGCAGGGAGTTGCCTTCCTTGAGATTGCCCAATATAATCTTAACTTATCAGCAGCGCAGCAACCGCGTGGGTTACAGCCGTATGCATTGCAGCCTGAAGGTAAGCAGCTACTTACTCGTTCAGGATTTTCGTAGGTTTTGCCTACAGAGTCTGTATATGAGGTTTCTACTGGTAAACTGTGTTCTTGTTACTCACAGGGAAGCACGTAGAGCTGTCGGATGGATAAGGGCCGAGTAAGCCGGACCTTCCAAAGGGACGCGAGCGGCCTATCTCGCATCCTTAAGAAGGATGTTGGAGATACCGGTGCTAAACAACGTCGCGGTGATGCAAAGCCACCTTGGCGGCCTGCTGGTCGCGTTGAAAAGGTCGACGACGCAGACGAGAATGGAACATTAAGTCCTATTGGCAGTCCTCGGAGTGCAGCAGCGCATTACTTCGCACATATACCTCAGTGGCCCTCTGTGCCCCTTGAGCAGCCCACGGTTTCTGGCGCAAGCTCGTCTGGGAACCGTCCGAACCTGCCTGCATCCAGCAGCCAGGCACGTGACAGGGCTGCCTCCCCGCAGCACCTTCTCTACGCCCCCAGCGTGCACAGTAGCTTTGTTAGCAGCGTTGCAGCAGCTCTAGATGCCAAGGCTGCCGCTAACGCCTTGCCGACTGCTCCCGCCATTAGGCGGCTCAGTTCTGGTGCAGCTGTCGGAGCAGGGCCAGCCAAAGGTCGGCCGCATGCAGCCACACGACAGTCGACACTGTTCACCGCTGACGGGAACCGGGTCAGCGCACACACAGAGGGGCTGTACGTGCGGCCCAGAGCAGCTGAGGCATGTATGGTTGATTCGCGTGAGCAGTCACTCCAGCAGCAGCAGCCTATTGGAGTCGGTCGGTATGGCGACGGACCGCGACCACCGGCAAGCAACCCTGCCATGCCCTACGAAGCACAGCTGCAGCGACTAGGCACAGCAGCGGCACAACCCACATGGTACGGCTCAGCTACCCCCAACGCTCACGCAGCCATTACTCCCAACGCCCATGCTTACGAGGCTCCACCCATTGCCCCGGAGGAGGCCGCCGCGAAGCCTCGCAACGTCCCCAGCCTGCGACAGGACCTCCGGAGGCTTGCCGAGCAGCGAAACGAAGAGCCTTGTGAGATGGCCTTTCCCACGGCGCGCAGCATCCCTCAGGTGTGGCATGAGAACACCTCTGGCCAGCAGCCGCTGGGTCGGAGCCAGCAGCCAAACCTTACGTTTCAGGTGCATGCAGCTGCTGCCGCCCCTCCCCCCGGTCCAATCGGAGGAGCGCTGAGACCCTTCCAGGAGCCGGCTATCAACGGCGTTATTGGCGTCAGCGGAGTTGGTGCACGGGCTGCAGGACTAGCAGGTAGTAAGAGCATTCTGGCCGGCGTCAACAAGGCGGCCCCAGGCGGGCCATCTGCGCCAGGCGTAGACGCAGCTGCTGCAGCACAGCGCGGCCCTGGATCCGCGCGAGGAGGGGGCAGCAACCCACGCATGCCACAGCAAACGCAGCGTGCTTCCGCAGAAACGCCAGTTCCGGCATCTGCTTCTCGGCCGTCCTCAGTCCCGGCACGCAATGCAGGTGGCCGGGAGCCTTCCAACACGCGGCAGCGTGCTAGGCCAGCGGCCAACGCTGCTGCCGTTGCAGCCGCAACCGCCGGTGGTAGCTACGCCGCAGCAAACCGCGGCCGTGTCGCCGCCACCGCTGGCGGCGGAGGCGGAGGCTATGCTCAACGCTACCAGTCAAGGAAAAGCACGCCTGCGGAGGAACATACCGCGACAGACATTCCTGCGGAGAGCCCTGTCGAGATCTCCGACTTGCTGCAGCAGAGGGCGCAGGAGCAGCAGCATGGGCACGGGCACGGGCATGGGCATCAGCACTTCGACTCCAACACCGCCGCCACTGATGTGCCGCTGTCGTTGTTCGCACGGTTACCGAGCGCAGCTGCGGAGCACCTGGTGGTGACGCCCTTCATGGCTCCTAGTGAAGGACGTCGAGAGCAACACCAACAACAACAACAGCAGCCACAGTCGCAGCTGCAACCTCAGCATTCCGGGCAGCGGTTAGATCAGGCGGACTCGGGACGTGCATTCGGAGCGAGCCAATGGCGGTACAACGACTCCCCGATGTCGGTTCTCACGGATGTTCAGGCACTGCAATCGGGCGGCGGCGTTGATTTCGGGGCGGCTGGACCCAGCGCTCCAGGCTCGCCTGGCGCTGCACGGTCGCTGTCACGTCAGGCCTCTACTGCGAGTGCCGTGGCGCTCCTGCCGCCACCCACCTACCAGGCGCCGCGTGCTTCGCCGTACAATGCTGGTGGAGCGGCTGCATGGTCGCCCTTTGCTCCAGGTGCGGCTGGGATTGTGTGTTGCCCGATGTGCCGCCCCTCCCAGCTTCTCTCAGCCTATCATTTTGGCCCGTGGCTCGCTCCTATGCCCTTGGCGCGTTCAGTGATGCCATACGTGGTGCATAGGCATTCTGCTCTCTTTCCTTGGCCATCACTTGAAGGATTAATCCTCTCAATGCACCTGCAGGCCGTGCCGACAACCCAGCCAACATGCAGCGGTCCAACTTTGCACACCTCGCGGAGTCACCGTCTTCCACAAACGGCCCACTCAGCGACCACCGATACATTCGGCGATCGTACAACGCCCCCGCCTATTCTCCGCCCTCCAAGCTATCCTCAGTCGGCCCTCTTCTGGCGGCTGGCAACGACAGCGAAGGCAGCATGCCTGGCGGCTCGGTCCACAGCAGCGGCAAAGCCAACTGGACAGCCACATCCAGTGCTCCGGGCGCTTCAGGGTCCGCACAGCGCCGGTCCCGTAACACACCGGATCGCCTCCACCGCAGCCCGCCCGGCAGCCGCTGCAAGAACGACGACGAGGGGGACAGCGCCGGCCGCCATGCACCGCACGCTACCGGTGATCAAGCGGCAACCACCAGCTGCGAGAGCGCCGCCGAGCCGGTGGTCCTACCTGAGGAGCCCGCAGACGTGGCGCCCGCCTCGCCCGGGGTTGTGCGGCCTTGTACCGTCTCCTCGGAACACGCGCCGGTTGCTGTAGTGCCTGACCGTCCGTCTTCCGACGGTTCCTCGGGTACGTCGAACGACAGCGACGAGGAACCTGCATCCGAATCGTCGACGTCTAGCTCCTCGCTGTACGTGGTACGCAGCATTTTGGGCAATGGTCGACGGCTGCCTGTCGCGGCGGCTTCTGAGAGGAGCCCCGGGCAGCTTCAGCCGCGGGTGTCACCTCCTCGTGAACCTGCCGCAGCAACTGCAGGTCCTGCTACGTCAGCCAGCCACGCTGTGGCCCCCATTAAGGCGGACTCGAGCCAGGTGTTGGCGCATGAGATAACTCGCGCGGCCGCGGAATTCGAGGAGTTGCAACGCGACCACGTGGAGGCTGTTCAGCAGCTACTGCTCCCCACGCCACCGGTGCAGCGGAGCCTCCCGAAGCAGCTCAGCGTGCCATCGCGCCCATCGGGCAGCGGAGCCTCCTCCCCTGCTTCCTCCGTGGGCAGCGTCCATACACCCGCACGCCACCAGGAGCCCCCTGACGTCTGTCCGAGCGCCCCGGACGCGCTGTCTCCTGGAGGGCCAGGAAGCTGTTGCAGCGGTACAAATCGGCCAGCACAGGCTCGGGTTCCCGCCCTGGTTTTGCCGCGGAAAGACCCGGAACAAGGCCTGTCTTTGCTGCCTTTGGCGGCGATATTGGACAGCGATTCGTCTACGTTGAGGGAGGGTGACAGCACGGACTTGATTGATGCCATGCTGGCGGCAACGGCTGAAGCGCAGGTGCAATCTGGGTTGCATGCGGACCGGCGGCAGAGTCTTGCGGCTGGATCCGCCAGCAACGCCCAGGTCCGGGATGCAGCTGCTGCGGCGGTGCTGGAGCACGGCAGTCGCTTTCCGGAGCCCTTCACGTCGATGGGTGATCACGCGTTCGACATTCCCGGGTACGAGGCCGCCTTGCAGGAGATTGCGGCGGCAGTTGGATCGCCCGGCTCGCATGGAACACGGTCAGGTGCAGGTCCAAGGCCGTTTGACTTGGAGCGAGAGTGGCTTGAGAGCCAGGTAGGGGGCTGACATCTTGGGTGCGGGTGCTGCTGTAAGGTTTGTCCGTGCCAGTTCTGTCGACGCTGGGGTGTACGCGCAGTTCGACATGGGTCATGCTATTGTGCCGTTTCCGTGTTGTCACAATCCTCGCTAATGCCCATGCAGGCCGCTCACTCGCCATTCGGTTACGCCGACGATGCCGAGTACCAGAACTCCCAAAGCGGGGTGACGGGCGCTGACGAGGAGGACTTGGTGGCGGAGGTGGACAATGCCGGCGACGCTGGTGGCTTCCCTGCTGTGGAGGGAGAGCCCTGGCTGGACCCATGGTCGTTGCAGGACCGGCAAGGGGAGCCGTGCGGGGTAGACTGCGGCGGCGGAGAGGACGTGCAGCAGCAAGAAGAGGTGCTTGCGGAGCTGCTGCGGTGGGTCGCTTGGCTTGTCTCCGAGTGTTGTCTCGACAGGGACTGCGGGCGAACGGGCATGTAGGCACTGCTTGTAGTACGCTGGTTGTCTCGACGTAACGTGTTTGCTGTTTCTTCAGGCACTGAGATCCTTTCTCCGTATCAACACACGACACCTCACAGGGAATCCGCCGTAGGACCGCCTCCTGAGAGCCCTGAGGACGTCTCCGCAGTCTCTGAAAGCAACTCGCGCAGTGATGAGGCTGCCGTACTGGCACAGGGGCCGGATGCCGGCCCTCCGGTCCAACAACACGCCCTGCATGCAGCCGCCAATGAGCCGCAGGGCTCCGAGGCCCGGAGCTTTTCGCAAGGAGATCACCCGCTTTGCTCGGGCGACTCGGTAGCCTCGGACCTCTCCGAGGGCCCGTCAGCCATCATCGCTTCTTCAGTTGCGTCTGGCACCGTTCTGTCACGCACTCAGGAGGCCGGGGTGTTGGAGCCGTTAGCAGTAGGCGGCCCGGAGTTGTTTAATGCATGGCAGGAGGAGGATGGCGTGCATTCGCAGGGCATTGACTCCTTTGGTGCCGTCGCTCGCTCTGCGGGTCCTTCTGCAAACAGCGCCGCTGTAGCTGAGCACGTGGACGGCATCTTTGGAAGCAGCATGGGGCCTCTGCAGCAACCTGTTCGGGAGCGGGCGACGGAGCAGAAGCAGCATACCGTGACGGCTGCCATTGCGGACTTTGTACGCCCCAATGCCGTACACAGTGGGCCGCCATCGTCCTCAGGGTCGCATGCATCTTCGGACCACCAAGGGGAGATTACAGCACGCTGCAGGGCCTTGGACGAGGTGCAGGACCGCAGTGGACATGCTAGCGGCTGCAACCAGCCTTGCCCTGCCGCCGTGCCGGCGGCTGCGTGCCGCCTTGCCGGGGCTGCTGCCCACCAACGACCAGCCATGCCGACCGTCAGGTCTCGCCTGCAGCTGGTGCCCCCGTCGCCTGAGGCTGCTGAGGCGTACAGAAAGCAGCTGGTCCACCACCAGCAAGCTGGCAGCACATCTCTCGGCAGTCCCGGTGCGTGGCCCCAGATGGCGGGCAGCACGCGGTGGCAGCAGTCGGAGAGCAGCCAAGACGTGTCGGAGAACGCCATTGGGGGCGGCGTTGCCGCTGCCGGCTTCACGTCGGACGCGCAGGACTGCTGGGGGCAGCAGAGTGCCGCAGGCGACAGCGGCAAGGAAAGCGGCAGCCAGGGAACCGCGGTCGAGGCAGGGGCATACGTCGACGGGTCATGGAACACAGGCGCCGAGGATGCCATCCCCGAGGTCTCGTCTGAGGTTTGGGCCTCTGGCCTCGTCCAGCCCGTGCCTACTGCGCACGAGGAGCAAGGCGAGGGCCCCGGGTTAGGACATGAGGGTGACTTTAGCAGTCCTATCCACGAGCATGCAGGGAACGGCAATAATAGTGGTTCCGAGGCTGCTTGTTGTGAGGGGATGCCTGAGGGTGAGGTGCATTCTCCGAGTGAGATTGCGCCGGCCGAGCCCGTGGGGTCTCCTCAGCTGCCGCCACCCCTGGACTCCCCAACCGCGTCCGTCCGCAGCGGTCGTCGCAGCAGCAACGGTGACCTGTTCGGAAGCTCGCATGGTGGGCATCCGGCGCCGGAGGCGCCCCTCGCGGATGCAGAGCCGTTGCATGCCGCAACCTCGTTCGAGGAGGTGCAGGGGTCACCTCACCATGCGGGCACCAGAAGCTACGGAGATCAAGGGGACACGGGGGAGTTCAACAGCCCAGCGCAGCAGCGAAGCACTTCCTGGGTTGCCCTGCAGCCGCCAGCCTTCGACGCAGCAGCAACCCACGGCCAGCCGGCGGACCAGGCGTACATAAGTGCTGCTGACTACTCTGTGGAAACCGTTGCCCCCATCTCACCGTTCCCAGTCTTCGAGACGACTGCTGTGCCGGAGGTTGAGGGCTCAGCCGCCGCGCTGCCTAATGGAGGCTTCAGCGACCACTTCCCGGAGGCTGAGTTCCTCGCTGCGATTGAAGAGAAGCAGTATGCGCCGTTCAGCAACACCCTGGAAGAAAAGTCCCCGGCTTCATGCGCTGACCCGCCCATGTCACCGCCACCGCAGCCAACCTCACCCCAGGTTACGCGGCCTTCTGGCGAGAGCGCGGTAGTGACAGCAGCAGCAGCAGCCTCGACCGGTCTTCCGTTGGACAGCCAGGAATACGAGAAGTCCTTTCTCCTGCTGGACAGCAGCTGCAGCAGCAGCGAGGAAAACGGCGAGTGGCTCCTGCAGCACGCCAACAGGATCGTGAGCAGTCCGCTTCCCGGAGTAAGCCAGAACGGTACGCCCACGGGTCCGAAGGGCTACTACCCGCGTTCGGATGGTGCGCATGGCAGCGGCGATGTCGTCGAGGTGGCAGCGACGTCCTCTCCCGCCGGCGATAACAACGACAGGATGGACCCGAGCGCTGTCGCGTCCTCCGCGCCGGGCTTTGGCGATGCCGGAATCGGACTCGGAAGGGAGCCCGCGCTGCATGCAGACGCCGTACACACACCGGGCTTCATGCAGGCTGGTGACAGCAACGCGAGCCACAGCGGCGGCAGCAGCATGGGCGCGCATAAGCCGGTACAGCAGTCCCGGACCATGCCTCCGGCGCCCTTCTCGCCGCCGGCGGACGAGGGCTGGAGGGCGGCGCGGCGGCAGATCTCTCAGTCGACAGGCGGCGCGCTGCTTGAAGCGGCACGTATGGAGTCCAACCATGCGGCCTCACCCTCCCAAGCTGCTGACGCTGGGGTTGCGACGCGAGCAGTACGTGCGGGCAGCACCGCCGAGGATGCGGGCAGCAACCAGCCTGCCGAGCCGGCACGTGTCTCGCTCTTCCCTCCCTTTGGACTGCCGGCTTCGGAGGCAGTGAACCACGCAAGTCCGAAACCCGCGCCGGCGCCAAGGGTGCCAGCGCTGCAGTTGCAAGGCCTGCTTGCCGGCCATTCTTCCAGTCCTTTTGGTGCCGCCGCTAACGCAGCCGGGTCAGGAGCCCTGCCCACACATGCGTCCTGGACTAGCGGCGTATCTGGTTCCGTACAAGAGGAGCAGTACGGCGGCACCGCACGCCTGGCTACAGCCCACAGCGCGACGCTGCCGCCGGGGGTCCCGCTGTCGCCGCTGGCGTCCCCAGGAGGTCATGACGGCTTCGGCTCCCAGATGCTGCCGACTGGAGGTTGGCTAGGCAGGCCCATGTCTGTGAGTGACGGAGGTGCTGTCGCGTCAACGTCGACAGCCATGGCTCAGCAACAACAACAGCAGCAACAGACGCGGCAGGCGGCGCAGGTCCCGGCCGTGGTCCCGGACTGGCGGCGATCCGGCAACTGGAATGACCAGATCCGAACGCTGCTGTGGGGTTCTCCGATCATGCGCACTAAGTAAGTCCGTGCATGGGATTTGGATTGTGCACTGTTGGTTCCCATGGCGTGTTGCTTTTTGCATGCCTTCGTATCCAAGCCTTGCCATGCCCAGACAACTGGCCGTTCTCCTGCGCTTTCCACCCTGCATGCCGTCCCCATTAGCAAGGCACGCCCCAACCCTAATCCACCCCTGCCTTACCCCTCCCCCCCAGCTGGGTACCCCCAAGGCCGGCCGGAGCAACGACCCCATCCTCATCTCGCCCCGGCACTCCCCGCACCCTGGAGGCGGCTGTGGTAGGAGGCAGCAACATGGACAGCATGTCCCTCCCGCTCAACCCCACCGCCAGCACCCCCACAAAACACACCGAGCTCCCCATCTTCCCAGCGGCTGCCCCTGCTCAGCCCAACAAGCCCAACAGCACCCCCGAGCTGGACATCTTCAGCAGCGCCTTGTACCGAGCCTCCATGGCTTCCTTCGGGCTTGGCGCTAACGCACCCCCCCTTCCCGAGCCGCACGTCCCGCCACCGCTGCAGCAGCAGCCAGGCTCAAGGCCTCCGCAGCAGCTTGCCAGCCAGGGCAGCGACGTTCAAAGCGGCCATGGCTTGGTTTCCATGCCCACGTCAGGAGTTACCGCTGGTAGCACACCCGGCTTGCTGCGAGAGGCGGCAGCGGCGGCGGCGGCCTTGGGGAGGCCACCTCTTTCACCGCGGCTGCCTGAGATGCGCGCGGTGTCGCTTGGCTCCGCGAGGATCAACACTGAGCCGTCCTCCTCCCTGTCGCTTGCGCCGTCGTACAGCCCTGCGGCGCCTAGCCCCTCCTTTGCCGTTTACGCTGGTGGGGAGGTACACAGAATGCAGCTGCAGCAGCAGCCGTCGCTGTCCCGCTCATTGTCGTACGGCGCCGTGAACTCCGCGCCTTCAAACAGCTCCAGCCCAGCCAAGAGCTCCCGGCAGAGTTTTGGGTTCCCTGTCGTACGGCAAGGCCCCATGGATTCACCTGCGGCTATCGGCATGAGGTCCATAAGGCCCGCAGCTGCCGGCAACGGCGCTCCAACTCCCCTGCTGTACGACAGCAGTCCTACACGCCTCCAAGGCCTTGTCACACGGGATGCGAACAACACCCCTGGGTTTGGGCAGCAGCCCGTTCAAGCTGTCGATCCAACGGATGCTCACCAGGGTGCAGCAGTCGGCGGCAGCAGCAACGCCGAGGTCGAGGGCACGTCCTCGCCGACCTCGGCCACCTCCGCGGGTGCTAGCAGCTGCAGCTTTGGTGACGACCTCGTCATGGAGAGGGAGGGCGAGGAGGCCGGCCTTCCGGGTGCAGGGCACGGCGGCTGCATGGGCCCGGGACCTCAGCAGGTGGTCTTCCCTCAGCTGCTTCCGGGCGCCTGGGGCGGAGCTGCAGGAGGAGGCGGTGGCGGCGCTGCTGCTGCTGTTGCTGCTCGCGAGGAGGACCGGAAGGAGAACGCGATGGCAGCGGCGGTGTCTCTTAACTCATTGCAACAACCCGTACATGCAGCGTCTGCCAAGCTACATGTGGCTTCTGCTGCTGAGGAAGGGGCGGCTGACGAGCAATCGGCATTGGAAACTCCAAACGCAAGGAAGGCGCCGGGTAGGGTGCCACCTGGCAATGTGGGTTGGCAGCAGCCGGGTCAGCAGCGAGAGCAGCAGCAACAGCAGCCGCGGCCCGTGCATCCCAGCAGTGGAGTTGACGGCAACCGCATCCTCGGTGCAGCACTTCCAGGTGCACCCGCCGCCGCAGTCGCTGCCAACGCACGGTACGGCTGCGGGCAGCAGGCGGACACGGAGGATGACGACAACGTGCTCCTCATGTCAGCGCAGCAGCAGGACCGGCAGCAGCAGCAGTGGTGTGCACTGGATCAGGAGGTGATGGAGGGCAACGAGGCCGTGGTTGGTACCTCGGTCGTTGGTAATACCATTGACATTAGCATTCGCGCCGCCTCCAACGTTGCCGGCAGCGTGTGGGTTGGTGTGCAAGGTCATACCGGCGACAACGGTGGTGGCTCGCGACATGGCGCGACGACCAACGGCAGGAGCGTTATCCAGGTATGTTTAGCTGTACAGGATGGTGAGCCCCTGGCCTGCTGCATTCCGTTTGACACCCGACGGGGACTTTCCTCACAGTTACCGGCTGAAGTGGCCTTAGTCGAAGTAGTCGTTACGTGTATCACACGATGTGCACCCCACACACACCCCTTTGCCCCAGGTTTGCTCCAGCCTGGAGGGTATTCCCGCCACTCCCGGCTCCGGAACCTCCTCACATCAGCGGCAGGTGGAGCGCCGCCTCATCTTTGACACCCCGGAGCACCGGCGGCGCCGCATGGCGGGGGGCTCCCGCTCCTGGCGGGACGGCGACAGCAGCGACCCCGAATGCGCTTCCGACTACGAGCCCCGACCCCCGCTGGGGCAGCAGTCCCTGGACGTCCGTCTCTCCTTGCCGCGGCACGGCGGCAACGCAGTGGTCGAGGTGAGGGGCATGGAGGGTGCGCTATGGCAGGAGGACGCCGCTTGCGATGCGGAGGAGGCGGCGGCGGCAGGGGCGCCTGGCACGCATGCGCTGCCTTGGATGGTGGGTTCGCAGGAGGGGCTGCAGCGAGGTGAGGAGGAGGCGGCCATGGACTTGCTGCTGCCTGACACGGCTGACCTGGACGAGCTCATCGCGGCGACGGAGGGCATGGCGGCGGCAGGGCCGCTGAGGGAGGCCCTGGATGCGGCGGCGGGGGATACGGACGTGGAGTCCTCCTGCGGCTCCGCACCCGGGCCTGCCACCCGTGCAGCACGGATGCGGGATGTGCAGCAGCAGCATGCAGCGGCGCCGCTTGGCACTGCCGCCGCGACGCGGCGGTTCTTGGACGGCTACTCGTTCCTGTCGCCGGTGGGTCCGGGTAGGCGGCTCCCCCACAACGCCGGCATGGAGGGATTGACGGTAACCGAGCCGGCAGCGGCGGGCTCAGCGGTCCCCGTCTGGGTCTCACGCGTGAAGCGAACGGGAGCTGCGGACACAGAGGTTGTTGTCCCCGCGGGTGCGGAGGTCAACGAGGCGGGCTTTGGCACGCCCCTGGCGGCCAGGCGGGACTCGGCCAGGGACGCGGCCGCCGCCATGACACCTGTGCTGATGCATAGTGCGAGCCCTGACACCGCTCTCGAGCCGCGCCCACATGGGCAGCACCACCATCACCACCACACGCACTGGGCTTCCGCCATGCAAGGCATGGCGCATGCAACAACAACACCTGGAGATTGCGGCGGCGACCTTGCAATGCAGCTGCCCCTGCAAGGCGAGGATGACATCGCGGCGGCGCTGTGTAGCAGCGGCGCCAGCAGCGACAGCCTCCGCCTGGTGCAGAGCATTCTCAACGGAGGCGGCGGAGCCAGCAGCATGCAGTACTCGACCGTTTCAAGCATGCAGCTGAATAAGCGCAAGCTCCTGGCTGACTTGGAGGCGGAGCTGCAGCGGCGCTCATTCCATGTAAGACTGCGGTCTTACACGGTACACGGGCTCATGTCGCGGGGTTCCTAAGTTGTTGTTGGGTGTTCTAACTGCCCTAGCTTTGCTAGATTCCTAGCCGTCTTGCTATACGGCAAGGAGTCGCGTCCCTCTCATCATCTTCTGTCTGCCGCAACCGCAGGTCCTCCCCACCAGCAACTCCACCTCGCAAGGCTCCGCATACAGTGGCGGCAGCAGCGGGGAGCATTCGCGTGCCGTCACAGTCTCCGTCGCCACCTCCCCCATGAATGTGGGCGGCCGCTGGACCCCCACCAGCAAGCACGGGCCCCCGGATGTGCCGCACAACACACGGAAGGCCCCCGCGCCGCCGCCACCTCCCCCGCCGCCAGGAGGTGCTCGGGGCGCCGCCCCGCCCCCGCCACCACCTCCGATGCGGCCGCCGCCGCCTCCTAAAGGTAGGTCAAACCCACGCATAAACTGAAGCAGCGCGTTCGTTCAATCGTCTTTATGTGTTGATGCAACACCTGCATGCGTGTCGTGTGTTACGAGGATTGGTTGCGGGTTGGAACGTACTGTGTGTGTGTGCCTCCCTGTGTGCCCCCTTGTCCGCTGCTGCCCCACAGGTTTCAAGCGTGTGACCCCCAACCGCGAGCAGCGGCAGCGGCTGAAGCAGCTGCACTGGGACAAGCTGGCGGAGGCGCGGCCCGGGTCCTTCTGGGAGCTCGTGCAGGTGCGGGTCCCCCTCCCCAGCGCTGCTAGCTGCTTGGGTTCTAGGCTCTTGTGGGGTTACCGGTATAGAGCCCTGTAGAAGCCGCTATTGCAGATGCAAACAATAGGGGCGGCACGCGGCAGGTGGAGCACCACCCGTTACCATACACGTCCAGCCTCTTGTCTGCAAGCCTTGCGACGTTACTCCCAACGCGTCTAATCCCAACAGCCCCAAGCCGATTGCCAGGTTGTCATGGTTCACTGCTGCATGAGAGTTTACCCACGTGCCTGCGGTGTTGTCGCTTGACGTGCAGAAATCCAACCCCAGCCTGGATCCTGAGCGTACGGCACACCTCTGCGAGAAGCTAAACGAGCTGTTCGCTCTCGCGGACAACGTTGCCGTACTGCAGCGCATGAGGGGCGGCGAGGGCGCAGGCCGCGGAGGCCCCGCTGCTGCTGCCGGGGCGGACCCAAGCAGGCCGCCCATCGTACGGCTCCTGGACTACACCCGAGCACACAACACCAGCATCCTGCTGTCCGGTGCGTCGTACGTGCGTGTGAGACGTGACCAGCAGACCGGAACAGTGCAGGGCGCCCAGTTGAGAGCCGCCATAGTCTTCTCACCTCACCTTACGTCACCTCTTGCGTGTTACCCTTATTTTTCAATGACACAGCCTCGTCGACTGGGTAACGGTCCCAAATGTGGTATTGCCATGCAGGCGTCCACATGGAGCCAGCGGAACTGTACGACGCCATTTTGCGGCTGGACTCCTCCCGGCTGGAGACGGAGCAGCTGCGGGCGCTGCTGCGCTGGGCTCCCAAGTCGCACGAGCTGGAGGACCTGCAGACCTACCTCAAGGTGGGGACTGTGCCTTGCAGGTGGCCGGATACTGGTACCGCCCACCGGTAGCAACCTCCGTAATGTGTTGCGGCCAGGGCTTCTGATCGCTTTGACGCCTCCAAATGAACCCAACCCTGGCTATGTACCTATGTTTGGCTGCACACGTGAGGGATGAATGGATCGTATCTTGCTGTGCCCGGCTGTGCAGGGTGCTCACCCGCGCTACCCGGGCCTCTCCGACCCCGCCCTGCTAGCCTCTGTGGAGCGCTACTTCCTCGAGGTGAGCGGCGGGGTGCTATCTGGTTGGAGGGGTTGAGGCATCATGCTCGACGGGGTTTTGGTATCGTGCTCTTTGCCTCATTGGAAGGCCCCATTGGAGTAGTGCCCCCAAGCCTGCTGCATAAGACTTTTACCGGTAAAGCTGCTGGTTGCCGTACTTCTCATATCCGTACTTACCATATGACCGCAGATGGGTCGGGTGCCCTGGCTGGAGCAGCGGCTGAGTGCGATGGCGCTGATGAAGGATTTCGACGCGGCGGAGGAACAGGTGGGGCCTGGCAGCGGGGGCCTGGCGGAGGGGGCATGGAAGGGGGCTGGCAGAGGGGGCCTGACTGAAGGGACCTGGCTGCTTTCTGGGTAACATGTTACGACATATCTGCTTATCATCTCGCCAAGCGCCGGGGTCTACTCATTTTGCTGCCTGATTGCCATGTAAAGGGCCAACCTTGTTTGTAGCTGTAACGCTAGACTGGTTTGCCGAATGACCCATGGGTCACCCATAGGTCCGAGAGTTGATTGGCATCGTGGATCGAGCGGTACGCGGTGTGAGGGAGAGCCCGGAGCTGCGGGTAAGAGGGCCAGGGTCTTGGGAACATGTAGGGTGCACATGGCCGCAGCCGCGGTAAAGACTGGCTGCTTAACAATCGCAGCATACCGGTATATTATAAGCGACGCGGGGCAGGCTGCTGGGTGCTTTGTTACGATACATCCTGCTCCCCTCACCACCGCCTCGCCCCTGCAGACCCTCCTCGGCCGCATCCTGTATGTTGGCAACAAGCTGAACGAGGGGACCGTGCGGGCGGGAGCTGCAGGTGCGGGTGCGGGTGAATGCTGCTGAAAGCTGCCCCCCTTGCTTGGCACACATGGTAGACCCATGGTTCTGTTTGATGTGTCTGGTAGCGCTCGCCGCCGTCTGTCGCCCCAAACTCTGCTGCAGTATCTGCTCCTCTCGATTTACCGGTTTACTGCTTCCCCGTCCTTTGTCTCCTCCAGGCTTCAAGCTGGACGTTTTGCTGACATTAACGGGGATCAGGGCCGCCGACCGCACGTGAGTTGCTGCGCCGCCTGTGCTGCTGCGTGCTGCCGATTCTGTGCTTCTCTGCAGCTTCCAGCTTCCATCCCCTTCCACATCGTTTTTACCTCGCTGCCCCTGCTCATCGCTGCCCATGCTCTCATCACTCCCCATGCCTTCCCTCCCCATGTCATGTTCCCATGTCCGCGCAGCACCTCGTTGCTCCAGTGGGTGGTTTCGGAGCTGCTCCCGGAAGAGCCGCGCCTGTCATCACTGCCAGCGCAGCTCGGGGCGCAGGTCAAGACTGCGGCAAACGTGCAGGTACCGTACACACCGCATAACCACTTTTTGCAGTGGGATGCAGGTTTACGGGTGCAACAACAATCCCAAGCTGCTCCATCACCGCTTACCCCTCACTTCACTTGCACGGCGTCACGTAAGAGACAACCCCCTCACCCTGGTGACGATCACCGCTGACCCTGGTTCTTCTTTTTCCGGACCCCTTCCTTTCACCCGACCCTTCTCAGCTGGGGAGTCTGGCAGGGCTGATCGACGAGCTGCGCAGCGGAGTGGAGCTCATGGCGGGGCAGGTGGAGGTGTTGGAGGGGCTGGTGCCGCAGCAGGGGCAAGGGCAGCAGCAGGAGGAGAAGGCGGACGACGAGGCGATGCAGCGGCAGCAGCTGGCGAACGCGCTGTTCCTGGAGCGCTGTCGCTCCTTCCTGACGCAGGCCCGGCCGCGGTGCGCTGCGCTGGTGTCGCTGCGGGCGGGGTGCATGCGCAGCCTGCAGGAGCTGGCCAGCTTCTTCCAGGTGGGGTTCGGGCGGGGAGGGGGCTCCACATACCGGTAGTGCGCCGCGTTGTACAACGAACGCGATGCAGTACAAACAGAATGCAAAAGAGACCGCATCGCGCATGTTGGAAGGGCTGGGGTACCGGTATGCGAAGGTTGCAAAGTCGCCTGTTTGTTGGCATTGGATGACCAGGAGCTGACCAACGCTTCTCCCATGCTTCACACCCCCCCCCATCCTTGCCCTGCAGGACGAGTTCGTACCCAAGGAGCCCACCAAGCAGCTGCAGCAGCTGCGCGGCTTCTTCGCAGAGTTGGACAAGGCGCTGGCGGCGCTGCAGGCGGAGAGGGCCAGGCAGGCCAAGGAGGCAGCGGCGGCGCGGGCCCTGGCCAGCTGGCGGAGGAACGCCGCAGGGGCCGCCGCGGGTCATGGCAACGGCAACAACAGCAATGCCGCTTCGGGGACAAACGCGGCCGCCGTACATGAGGCGTCTGGTGTTTCTTTCGGTCCCGGGCCATGATGAGACGTAGGCGGAGAGTGTGGTTCCGGGTTGTGGTCCCGGGTTGTGATGACGGCATGCTTTGCGGGGAGCAGGAGTGGTGGTGCGGGTGTAGGGAGCCGTTCGGAAGGGAGTGGGCTAGCTAGCAAGGGGTAAGGACAGCCGTCTTGGTGGTTTGTGGGACTAGCGCCCTGTGCGCGGAGGAAGGCAGGGCTGCACGTTCATTTTGCTGTGGGGTTAGGCTAGTAGGGTTAGGCACATGTACTGAGGGGATGTTTAGGGTCACATTCGACGCGTCCGCATTCGGACCAATGCGCTGCGGATGCCCTTCCCCGCCTGTATGGTGGGGTGTACCTGCTCCTCTTCCATGGAGGCAATGGTGGGGCTCGTCTTGAAGGGGCTATAGGACAATGTAGGTGGCCCGGTGTCTCGTAGCCTGAGGGAACAAGGTGCTAGGTGCAGGAGTGTGGTGAACATGTTGACAGGCGGTGCTCGTAGTATGCCCTGTTGCGTCGCTTTCGTGACAGGGCAGGGAAACATGGACAGGGGCCATTCGCCATCCCCCTTTCGTAGCCTTTTGTAGGGGTGGCGGTAGAAATGGCTCTGAACGTTTTCAGAGCTGTCAAGTCTGCATTGCGGGCAGCCCTTTGCTTGGCAGCGGCACTGTGTGTGGGAGGGGGGTGCGTGCTGACATTTCATCTATTCATGCTGGTACAATACCTTTGGGTAAGACGCATGTCACTTGGTGGGTTTGAAGCAAATTACAAGCAGTGAGACATCGTATACCCGTAAAAAGCAAAGTTCAGAGGAGGCCACGTAGTGTCAAAAACGGTATAGAGAAATACTTCACGCACGCAAAGAGGAGCAAATGCACTGAATGCCACAGCTGCAGGCCTACGTGTGCTCAAGGGTGTATGCGTATGCGTAAAACACAGCATTTTGAGCTGCTCAAAAGAACCAACGGGTTCGTGAACATCCACCGCTCCACACACTGCAAAGTGCCGTACATAGTTAGTACGGCATGACTAACGGCTTGGCGTGAACTACTTGGTGAACCACTCTTCACACGCACACAAAGGATGTGCCGAACGAAGTCACGTTGGCGCTCGCCCCGGGGCTCACAACTATGGTAGACTGCCAACGTGTCATATAGCTATTACGGTGCTTCACACGTGTATGCAGTACACGGGATAACTCAACGTGGCACGGCCATATGCACATGAATGATGAACGTCCCTGACTATGGGGAGATGTCCCGCCGCATGCGCCTCCATACATACGGTACAATCACAATTTCCATTTCAGCAAGTTCTTATCCTTCTATCTGCGTCAACTGAATCTACCTGCTGCGTGTTGCTTTATTAACCACAGGTTCGCACACCACATGCCGCCTCGAGAACGTTACCCTTCACCCCGCTAGCTAAGCAGCTGCGACCCCGCACTTCCTCACCAGGAACATCACCTCACACAGCTGCGACCCTCATGTGCCCCACTCAAGCCCTCCTCACAGCGCCGAGTACTGCGGACAGCAGTTGAGGCTGCGGTCGTACAGCCACACGAAACACCGCTGCAAGCCGCCCGCGCAGAAGTCAGCCAACGACACTCCCGCCGACAGCTCCAAGCAAACCTGAATGCAGCAGGGGGGGGATCAAAGGGAAATCAACGACAGCCAGTAAGGGATAGTGCACGGAGCCATGCAACAAACCCATTTTGCCACATACACACACCCCACCAGTCTTCCCTAAGGATGGCGCCCCATGCCCTTACGGGAAGGCGCCCACACCCCAGCCTCCCCCCTCACCTGCGGCGCGTTCTTGATGACAGCCATGTCCCACTTCAGGCCCAACACCCGCATCAGGTTCTGCCCCCCCACCGCCCAGCTGGCCACTACGGCCCGGTCGCCGCCCTCGGGGCCCTGCTCCCTGAGCCGCACCGCGGTGAGGTTGCGGCGCAGAGTCGCGTTGGCGAAGAACTCCATTTTGAGGACCATCTTGGACCGCCCGCAGGCGCCCTGTGGGGAGCGAGGGGCGTGAGGTGGAGGGAGGAGGAGGGGAGGATGTGAACATACCGGTAGAATGGGGTGGATTTGGGTTGAGGAAAGCGGGTGGAGCTGTTACGCTTGGAGAGATAAGGAGGAAAGGGTGTCGGAGGAAGACCCCTGTGGCGGCGGGGGGGCAGCAATGGGAAATAAGGGATGCAGTGCACGTGACCCCAAGCTTTGTAGCCTATCCAGAACTCCAGAAGAGCGGGGATCAGCCCGAATCCTGCAATCCAAACACGTGCAGTGTACGCCGCTTCGCTTCGCTTCAGGAAGAGGCACCGGTACTCGCCTTGGGGTTGGTGGGCGGCACGGTCCTGACCGTGAAGCAGTAGCCGGTGGCCTGGCCGTCCTGCGTGCTGTACTCCTCCGTGGCTTTGCTGATGGCGAAGGGGGTGGCGTAGGCCTTGTGGTTGCACTGCGGGGGGGGGGGGAAAGGCCGGAGGGGGGGGGGAGGTGGGGGGTTTGAGGGGAGCGCAAGCGGGGTTGGAGGGGCGAGGGAGGTAAGCAAGCAGCAGCGGGGGGCTTTCACGGGGGCAACACTGAACGAGCTGTACAGGCCCGCGCGATGGAACGAGGGCCGGGAGGCTCATGGACTACACGCACGGAGGCGAAGAAGAGCCATGTGATTGTGATCACATAAGGGTGTACGGCTGTACGCTTCCGCACTCGACCCCCCCCCTTCCCCAGCCCCCAGTTTCTTCCCCTCTACCCCAATCCCCATGTCGTACACTGTGCTTGGGGAACATGGAGTCCTCGATATAGATGTCGCAGCTGGGGGTGTACTGCGCCAGCGGCCTCTGCTCCTCGCTCTCCACCGTCACCACAAACTGGTTGTCGGACCCTGCGTCATCAGCATCAACAACAACAACAACGAAAACAACACACAGGATGGGGCCCAAGCGGGAGGAGGGCGGCAGCAGTGGCAGGCAGCCGCATGGCAGACGGGAATGAGTCGCCGCCGGTGGGGGGACAACCCGCAGTCCAGTCCCCCGTCCAGAAGGGGTGAGGAGGCACTCAGGAGGACGAAGCCAAGGAAGGAGCCACACGCCTGGAGGAAGGGAGTGCTGCCGCCCTGCACCGCTGCTGCTGCTGCCCTCCGCGGCACCCCAGCGCAGCCCCCCTCCTGCCCTTCACCTCCGGGTAGCGCTACGCACCAACCCTCACCCGCCCGCAGCTCCCTCTCGGGGAGCTTCCCGCCGCCAGCAGCCACTTCCCCGCTCCCACCCCTTCCCTCCCACCCCCCCTTCACAACACACCAGAGTCCCCTTCTTACTCACATTTAGGTGCGCATGGGCCGCCCTTATCTAGCGACGCCTCCAGCCACATACTCGCCAGCATCTGAAGCTGCACCTGCAGCGCTTCCGCAGCGGCGGCCACGTCACCAAAGCCGCCACACACCGAGATGAGCTTGTCCTCGCACCGCGTCAACGCGAAAGGGCTGCTCAACCCTAGCTCATAGAAGGCTGCCATCCTGGTCAAAGTGTTGCTGATTTCGGATTCGGCGGCGTCGCAGATGTCGGTGGTGAACAGGGATTCACCCAGCTGTGGGGAACCAACGTACACGATTTGTACGTTGATGCACAGTGAAGGATCGGAGGCAGTGGAAGAGGACTGCGATGGGGCTAGGGTGGCGTTGGTGGCAGCAGCGGTGGACCTCCGGTGGACGGCCGTCGCCTCGGCGGACAGGCGCCGGTGGGGAATGTCATGGCGGTTGGCGGTCAGTAAGCTGCGGAATTGGAGACGGAGGAGGAAAGCGTGTCTGCATGCTGTGACTGTAACAGATTAATTATGAAAGGCCAAGGATTAGCTGGTAAGGTTAACAGGAAGTGCGCAATCGTAGTGTAGACCGCATTGACCGTGCACATGCGGCAACGCGAAAAGCCTAAGATGCAAATAGTTTCTCTTCAGCAGCCACCTTAATAGGCATTTCCCACCAGGCCCGGCTGTCTGTCCCAACGTGGATAACAATGACGAGGCTAACCGTGTAGGGCTTGACCAAGCCCCACCTGCCTACCTTGACTTGGAGCTAATGAAACGCGCAGCAACTTGACCCTGGAATCCTAGAACCCATAGAAAGGGTTCGTTCAGTCGGGCATGCGCGGTTGAGAAACCGCAGTCGGCCTTAAACTTCTGCTTCTCGTGAGGGGCATTGTCTAGCTATTGAAGGTGCGCACATCTTAGGCCTAGCCTAAGCCGCGCACCTGAGAGGTGCACAACAAAGACCAGCGCCAATGCCCACAGAAGTCGCCGCGACCGCAGCTGTTCCACCATGGCTTAACGGCGTTGGTAAACACGATGGTCACTTAGAATTTATCAAGTCTTGTTACAACATACAAACCAACCCTATTTGAATTACTGTAAGCATGGGCGAAGCACAGCTATGCAATACAGGCTAATCCACGCAACTAAAGAATCGAAGAAAGCAAAAGCTGTCTTGCAGCAAATGTTGGCAGCCATACAGCTGCGCTGCTTGCCCTGGAACTGACCGAACCGTACGTCGGCGTTGACGTTGATCTTGTCAACCACTGGAATAGCAACAGACCACCCATACTACATTGCTGATCATAATATCCCTCATACACCTGTTCTTCAGGACTTCATAATGTACTTCGGGCCTTAACCTCGGGAAAACCTCGAGTCGTCGAGTGCACCCAGGCGACTTCCTCGCCCGCCCATGCTTGCGCCAATCCCACCAATCTTTTACTCGCTCACCCTCAAGAGCCTGGTCGCACCCGTTTTCAATCCACCAAGATTTCACCTCACCACCCGAACCAACGCTCCTTCATCCACAAGTCTACTCCCTGAAGGTTTGGAGTCACGGCATGGCAGTGAAGCACCTCAAGTCACGAAAATGGTTCACGACAACACAAGCGCCTAAAACCCTCATGACCCACACCCTGTCCACCGTTTCTCCACTTGCTCACAATCATGTAAAAGCATCTCTCATATATTCACTACAGACACACCGACATTCGCTTCCCTCGTTCATTGCAATGACACACAGCAAAAGAAGCCCCCCACTAGCTGCCGCTGCTGCCCCTGGCTCCCGTCACAACTCCCTAATCCCCAGTGCCCCCCACTGCTACCAACCCAATTCGTTGCGAGTAACCCCAGTTTGCACACAGTATCCCCATCAGTGCTACCCCGTCAGTGACGCGCCGCTATCTCGCTATCATCTGAGCCCCGGGCGACCTGTCCACGCACTCCCTAGTTGGCGGGTCCTGTACCACACAACAAAACGCAACAATCTTGTCGTACAGTTTCTCCATCTCAGGAGTGGGCAGCTGCGGGACCACCACCGGCCCCCGCAACCACAACACGGGCGGGAAGCCGCTGCTACTGCTACCGCCGCTGCTGCTGCCGCCAATGCTGCTGGTGGTATTCCAGAAGGGCGCAGAGGACTCTGCCTCCAACAGGGCTAGATCCGCAAGTGTGAGTGTGAGAGCCGGTGACGGGGCAGCAGCAGCTGCAGGTGCCCCCCCACTGCTGCCCCCTCGAGCCTGCAGGATGTCCTGGACCGTGTTGCTCGGGGCGGGGTCCAACAGGGCCCCCCCCGCCGCCGCCTGCTGCCGCCTGGTGGTCTCAAGCCAGTGGTCGAACTCGTGTGGCAGCAGCCCCCGCGGGGACGACAGCGCCGCCCCCGGGTGGGTGCCGCCGCGCAGGCAGCTGAGCTTGTCGGTCCAGGACACCAGGCAACGCAGGCCGGACTGCATGAGGAGGGCAGAGGGGCGGGTCAGATATACGAACCCAACCACTCTCAAACGTCAGTGCCAATCCCACGCTACGTCAGTATGCCCTCGTACCTGCACCTAAACGACCCACCTCCCGCCCCCCTACCCGAGCTGCAGCACACGCAGGTGCTACCCCCTGCCGCAGCCACATCCCAACAACACCTTCCGGCAATCACAGTTTCGGCCAGTTTTCTCAACACCCCCACCCGCCGCCTACCCTTCCCCCCCCCCATGGTGAAACCTACATGTCACACAGCTCGTTAGTTGCATCGTCAGTGTCTCTTTATAATTACCCCCTCTACCTGCAGCGACTTGCTCCCCGGTCCATTCGGAATGGCCACCGTCGTGTTCAGGTAGTCGGACCAGGGGATCTTGTGGCCCGCGGCGAGGGGGTCGTGGGTGGCTCCTTCGCGGCGCAGGAAGGGCGCCTCACAGGGCACCCAGGGCCACACCACAGCGCGGTTCAGGGAGAGGGCCAGACGCAGCAGGCCCTGTACACGAGGGGGGGGCGAAGGGAGGGGTCAAAGAGCTTACCAAACCATAGGAGAGCGTAGGTCGTGGGGAGGTGGGAAGGAGGAGGGGGTGAGGAGAGGAGTTAGGGCGCATGGGGAAGCACCTGACAAGCACCTCCACATCTCGCATGCGCCCCTACCCATGCACATGGCCATGGTGGTGGTGGTGGCTACTGCTACGGTCCTTAGGTCCGCTCGCTTTCTCCACGACGTTGCTCTTCCTGCCTCCCATTCCACACAGCTTCTCCATACTTCACACCCCATGTCGCACCCCGCATCGTTACCCCCTCACCCGCATCAACGCCGAGAACTCCGGCTGCCCCAGCCGCGCATGTGCAACCCCGGGAGCCAGCGCCAGCAGCGGCGGCACCCGCCCATGCAGCTCCGTTCCCAGGTAGGGGGCGGTCTGGGGCGCAATCTTGAGCGCAATGTCGTAATCCCAACCGTACGGCACCTCCACACCGAAATGTACGACCTTGGTGAAATCTCCGCTCGTAAGGCCCGCATGGAGGTGACTAATGGCGGCTGGGATCTCGCCGGTTAGGTGGTCGTTGTACCAACCGTCGTTACCGTTGTTGTCGCGTCCGATGCTGTGTGTGTTTGCGATCCAGGCGGGGAAGTACGCAAAGTTCTCGGGGGGGATGGAGTCGGCGAGGGCGGCTGAGGCGGGGTCGTTGGGGTCGGGGAAGGGCGCCGCGCTGCCGCCTGGGAGGTGGGTCGGGGGGAGGGGTTTGGAAGGTATTGGGCTATGAGGGTTGCACGTGAGGGGGTATTTGAATGACCCCCGCCCCAACTCCTCACCCCGCTCTCACCGCCTCCACTACCGCCCCCCTCCCTTACCCTCCTCCCTTACCCGCCTCCCACCTCCCCCCACCCCAACTCCCCGCCCCCCCCACCTGCCTCCCGAAACAGCTGCACCACCCGCTGCGCCAGCGGCCCCAGCTCCGCCCCGAACGGGTAGCCACCCCTCTCCGCCGGCCACTGCCCATGTGCGTGCGGAATGCGCAGCGGGGCCACCACCATGTCCGCCTCCGCCGCCCCCCCAGAGCCCCGCCGCAGGATCTCGGGTACGGCAACCTTGACATTGGCGTACGGCCCGAAACCCTTGTCACCCTGCGGCCCCGCGCGACGGTAGATGTCCAGGTACATGTCCCCCCACTCTTTGCGGCGGGGGTGATGCCAAAACACACACTCAAATATCTGGAGTGGCGGAGCAGAGGGTGGGGGGAGGGGTGCGGGAGGGAAGGGGTAGGGTTTGGGTAGGGGCTGAGGGAGCAAGACCCAGCTGGGAAGGGCCAGCGCGTGGGGAGGGGGTGTCAGGTGGCGCGGCTCCGTTCGCCGTTGAGCCCTCCTCACACCTCCCTCCCGCCTGGCTCTCTTCCCGTCCTGCTCCCTCTTCTCCTTCCTCGCAGCTCTACTGTCGTCAACAACTGCGTCTTCTTCTCCTCCTCCGTCCCCCAAGCCTGCCGCCTTCACGCCCGCCAAACCCACCCCAAGCCTGCCACCCCCACCCCCACCCTCACCCCCACCCTCATGCGCTCACTGCATGAGTCGGGATTCGGGATTGGGATTGTGCTGTTGCACTTATTTGATTTTTTTTCACCCTCACCCCCAAGCCCGCCACCCCCACCCCCACCTGCGGCCTGCCCACGATGGCCCCGTGCACCGAGTCCGAGAGGCTGAACTGGTCGTTGCACAGGAAGCCGGGGATGAGGCCGGTGGAGGCGTCGGAGGGCGGCAGACCCACCGAGGCACGCAGGGGGGTCACGTCCTCGTACCTGGCAGGGGGGAGGGAGGGGGGGAGGGGGGCGGGGAGGGAAGGGTGAGGGAGGGAGAGCGGGTGGTAATGGATAGAAGGGGAGCACTGGAAGGAGGGCGAGGGTGAGAGGGACAGGGGAGTTAGTAGGCCAGTTTTGCATTTCCTAGCCGTCTCCACAACCCGCAACCCATAACCCACATTTGCACGATACTCGCAGCCATTTTGTTAACCATGCACGCACCATCGCACGTTCTTCAGGATGTGGTCGTACAGCACGTAGGCCACCGGACCGCCCCTGGAGGCGTTGCGAATGTAGTACATGCTGTACGGGGGTTGGGTGCAGAGGGGGCAGAGAGGGCGGAGAGGGACAGGATGTGGAGGTGGGTAAGGAGGAGCAAAGGGGAGGCGAAGAGGACCAGGAGGGAGTGGTGGAGGCAGGAGGAGAAGCAGCTGATGCGGGCCCTACCCGCCGTTGACGTTAAAGTTGCCCTCCCGCTGGTTGTAGAGTGTGATGTTGTTGTAGGGCGGAGAATGGATGAACCCGTAAAAGTCGTAGATGGGCATCGTATCCGCGTCCGAAACCAACACGTTGTAACCCATACGCACAGCACGTGCGCCTATGTAGTGGATTAGCCATTTGTCCGTGCAGCCCTTGCAGCCGCCTTGCTGTTTGACGCTCCAGGCGACTGTGTTGTGGTCCGCGAACCAGCCACATCCCAATTTGTCAAATGCCCCGCGAATCCTCTGACACATTAACTCGTCTGGGAAGACCAAAAGCAGGTGCCAATAGCCAAAGCGCTGCCACCTATGCACCATCTGGTACGCCATATCCAGCTGCGCATGATGGGCAACGATGATTTCTCGCTTATAGGACAGGCCGTCCAAGGCCGCCTGCAGCTGAAGTGTTGTATCTAGTGGTCCTACATAGCTGGTAATATGCTGCTGGCTGCAGTATTCTCCGCAGCGCGGACCGGAAAGTGAAATGGCAGTTGCAGGTCCCGCCAAACAAAATAAGAAAACCTGCACTAAATAATGTAAACGCGTAAAGCGTGTATGTATGGGCCACGCCATCTCGTTAGGAGGCTAAAGAGTTGAACGGCGAGAACCGGCATATGGAAACCGGACGGTGTAGCCACCTACTCTGGGTCTATTGTCAATGCCATAACGGAATTGCATAGTAGCATGCTTACTAGTCACCATAAATAAGCGGACCCGGATGCATTGGCCGCCCATGGAGGGCTGTTACTGTCGTGGCGTCGTGATTGTCCGTACCGGTGTTGGCTACACGGCGACAAGCTACCTTGAACGAGGGCAAACACTGCAGCATGCTCATTAGTTCCGCCCAAGTAACAATCCCTCTTTAGCTTGCTTAAAACCAGTACCCAGTATGCGGATCACGCACCATGCGTACTATGGCAAGCACACACGGCTTGTGCACTCAAAAGGCTGCCCGTCAGGGGCCCTTAACCGGACTGGTTTCTCGTATCTCTCGTCTTAGCCCAGTTGACTAATACGGAAACACTGTATGCGCGTACTGCATGTATAGTTTGCAACTGTGCGTTGGCGTCACAACCGCAATTAAACCGGACGAACATCTCGTAACTAGCCTGCCTGGCTAGACCGGAACGCGTTGTATTCCCTTGCGAATGTAGTCTTGTAAAACGGTGCGCTGGTGTTTACACTCAAAATTAATTGCCAAACAGACCCGTGTACAACAGTTCCGTGTAAGCTCTTGGAGATTCGGACGCACGGAACACTCCCCACAGCAGTCTACAGGACTCCAAAAGGTGCACCGGTCCAACGTAACACACCAGAGTACAGAAGTCAACGAGTACACAACGATAGTCAACCCAGAAGAGTGGCCGCGCCTCAATCCCACGCCTGCTCAACACCCTCGCCTGGTGTGCAGCCAACCCAATTCGCCACAACACCAAACACCCAGCCTCTGCAAACGTACTACCAGCTACTTGCAATCCAACACCTCGCACTGCACACTGCAACCAATGCACGCACCTGACCCGCATAACCCTAGTGTAATCAACGCCCAACCGCCGCCCAGCGCTCCTCCGCCTCCCCCATCATCGATTAAAAGAAGAACTCCCAGTTATGCCTGCGGGTAGTTGTGGTGGTTGTGGTGGTTGTGGCGGCGGGTGAGACGAGGGCGGGAAGGGAGAGAACAGAGGACAGGGGAGGTTATATGCGGGAGAGGGGAAGCACAAGGGGGCCCATGCCAGGAAGGTTTGCAAGGGGTTTCGGGGGGAAGCCAAAATGCACAAAACACGCTGCGCACCCCCGCATGTCCACCCCCCACACACACCATCCCTCTCTCCCTACCCGCAACCCCCCTTTCACCCCGCCCCCTCACCTCCGTCGTCCTCCTCCAAAGAGCACCGCCCCCTGCTGATCCAGGTAGTCCCCCTGCCGCTCGCAAATCCACTCCGCCAGCTCCGCCGCCTTGGTCGCCTTGGTGCCCCCAGGCGCCGGCCGCCACGGCAGATGTGCCGACCGCATGGCGTCCAGCTCGCCCGCGTTGAAGTCCCGAACCAGTTTCGCCGCCACCGCCTCCCGACTGGCCCCCCCTGGCGCCCCCCGGTGCTTGTGCAGGAAGCGCAGCAGCTTGTCATGCAGCGGCGGCAGTCGCGGCTGCAGCAGGGTAAGCAGTGGCTTGGCGGCGGGGTGGGCGCGCAGGTGCTCACCCAGGGCGGACAGGAAGCCCTCCAGCTGGTTGATGCGGCCCACCTCCTGGCTGGAGAGCAGCGCGGATCCGCCGCCGCCCAGCAGCTGGGGGGGTTGGGGGTGCTGGGGGGGTTGGGGTTGCTGCTGGAGGGGCCGACGGGGGTCTTGGGGCTGATGGGGGCCCTGCATGGCGGGTGGCAGGGCAGCAGCAGCTGGGGCTGAGGAAGAACCAGGAGCAGCAGGAGGAGGGGGTGGTGGGGGGTACTTGGCGGGGTCGTCCCGCACGCAGTCGAGGGCCAGGTCGGGGGCGAGGGCGTGCAGCCGCTGCAAGTCGTCTACCAGGAGGGCCTTTGGGGGGGAAAGGGGGAGAGGGGGGGAGGGGGGGAGAGGGAGGGGTGAGAAGCAGTTATGAGAGGCAGTTGCGAGGAAGGCAGCGGTGTGGTCGCGGTGTCGCCGGCAGGTCCCCCTGAGGTATACGGCCACAGGAGGTGTATCGGCAGCACAAGCTGGCGGACTATATCAAGGTCTGCTGGGGACACCAGGGGGTGTTCTAGACCGCCAGCATCCGCACACTGCTAGGCAGTATGCATGTTGCTAAGCCAACGGGCAACGCAGCAGTCAGGGCTCTGCTCCCCTCCCCTCCCCCCTCCCAACCCTCACCACAGCGGGCTCCTTCTCCTCCAGTGGCAAGTCAACTGCGCCTCTCCCTGCAGCTCCCCCTGCTGCCCCTGCTGCCGCCCCTGCTGCTGCACCCCCCACCGCTCCTCCCCCCACCGCTGCTGGCCCCTCCAACATTGCTCGCATCCACTGCCCAAACGGCTGCGCCTGCTGCGGCCTGCCTCCAGCACCTCCTCCTCCCAACCCTGCGGCTGCTGCTCCTGCATGCCCTCCCCCTGCTCCTGCCCCTGCTGCATCTCCTGCTGCATCTCCCCCTCCACTCGTCCTGCCCAGCAGCCATCTGCTGCCCAGCCACACCCGCAGCACCCCCACCGCCAGCCGAACATGCGGGGGGCTGCTCTCCCCCAGCGCGGCGGCGGCGGACACCGCGGGGGCGCCCATGCGGACCTGCCAGGTGAGGGAGCCGGAGGCGGCAGCAGCAGCGGAGGAGGAGGAGCCGGGGGGCAGCGCGCGAGTGCCGACCTGTAGCGCCTGATGCAGGCTGTCCAGCTCCGCGGCCGCCCTCCACCCCGCCAGCAACCTCCCCTCCCGCCGCATTAGCTGCCATACCAGCCGCCAAACCGCAGCAGAGTAGCGGGGGCTGTAGCTGCGGCTGACAATGCTGATGCTACTGCTACCGCCGCTGGTAGGATTGTTGCTGCTGCTACCACCACTGCCGGAAGCCGAGGCGGAAGCTGCAGCAGCAGTGGCTGCGTTCGTTCCGTTGTTTACGTTGTTGTTGTTAGTGGTGGTTGAGGTGGTGGTTGCGGTTTCGGAGGCGCCTGGGGAGGCTAGCGGGGCCAGTGCCGTCGCTACCGCCTCCGCGGGCGGTGCCGCCTGCACCTGCAGGAACCGCATCACCGCCGCGACCCGTGGGTCGTTCTGCGGCAGGTCCAGTGCCCCCACCGCCAGCAGCGGCCGTAACGCCCCATGCAGCGACAGCGGCTCTAGCCGCCAGCCGCTGGCGGGCATGGTGGCGTCGGCGGGATGGCCGCAGTCCTCCCAAGCCTCGTCTACGAGGGCCATGTCGGGAGGGGAGGGGTAGCGGGGGGTGGCGGCGGCTGCCGCCGCCGCCGCGGCGGCAGCGGCAGCTGCCGCTGCCTGGTTGGCTCGGGCGCCACGGCGGCCTCCGGCCGCCGCCTGCGGCGCCGCCGGAGGCGGCGCCGCCACCGCCGCCGCTGCATGCTGCTGCTGCTGCATGGATGCGGCAGCAATGACGGGAATGGCAGCGGGGGGTGCTTTGTACGAATGCGGCACGAAGCCGCCGCCGCCGCCAGCCGCCACAGCACCGGTTTCACACTGTACCGGCAGCAATAGCTCCAGTCGCGCTGGCGTCGGCGATGGCTGCGCATCCGCCGGCGGCGGCGACGCCGCATTGGCCGCCGCCGCGGAAGCGCGAGTCGTACGCCCACTCGCCGGCGGCCGCGACGGCGAGCTATGCCGCGACGACGACTGCCGCCGCAGCTGCTGCGACGACGACGACGACGTCGGCCGAGTGACGTTTAACACGGCAGATGCCGTACGAAGCGCCCCCACGGAGCCCTCCGCCAACGCCAACGTAAACGCCACTCGCTCCACCAACTCATCCGGAAGCAACCAGGTGACACTACCGCCACCGCCGCCGCCACCGCCGCCGCCGCTACCCGCAGGGCTGGTGCTGTTGCTACCGCCGCCTGTAGCGCTTCGCCGCCGCCCCCGCTGCGGCGGCGGCGCCGCCGTCGCCGCCGCTGCCTCCGCTACCTCACATGCCTCCATCCAGCGTTCCAAGATGCTTAGCAGGCCAGCGCGGTACTCGGCACTGCGCCAGGCGTCGTTGGTGGCGAGTGCCGCTGCACGGCCCGCTTCCGGCAGCACACAGCGGGTTAGAAGCGAGTGCGCGGGGTCCAGGAAGGGCGAGCCGGGGCCGTCTGGGGGGGCGAGGAGGGAGGGAGGGACATGGGGAAGGGAGGGAAGGGCAAGGAGGGAAAGGGGCGTGGTTAAAGGCGATTACAAACTCAAGGTTCGTTCGGACAGCGGGTGAGTGCAGGTCAGGCGTTGGGGTGGCAATACACACCACAACATGTGCATCGTCACCCTCCCCTCCCACACGTCCTCACCCGCTCCTCACTCCTCCCCCCAGGACGCCCCCCCAAACACATGCCCTCCTCCTCTTACCCCTCGCCACCACCTCCATCAACGTCAGCGCCAGCGGCAGCAGCTCCGGCCCGCGGAAGGAGCCGGTGCGCTCCACTAGCTGCCGCAACATGACCCGTGGGTCACTCGAGGGCGACCCAGCTGAAGACGACGACGACCCACCAGCAGCAGGCCGCGCGGAGGAAGGCGAAACGTCGCGACTGCGATTGCGGCGCGACCCGCGGGTCCCTCCCGCTCCCGCTGCCGCTCCTCCTCGTCCCTCCCCGCCCTCCACCGCCGCTGACTCCGCGCCAGCCATCTCCTCTAACAGCCTCTCTCCCACCCATTTCAGCACGTGCCATACCCAGGAGCGGTGACCGCTCGCAACGGCTGCCGCTGCTGCTGGCTGCTGCTGCTGCTGGTGACCCATGGGTCTCACCCCGGGCACCGTGTTGCCACCCGCACCCGCACCGGCACCAACAACAACACCGGCGGGCATGGGCGTCCGCTTGTCTTCAATCCACTTCTCCAGCCCTCCCTGCCCGCTACTCGCAGCCAGGGCCAGCTCCAACCTCTCCCGAACCTGCCTCGCCGCCTCCACTGCAGCTGTCGCCGCCGCTGCCACCCCATCCGCCGCACTGGCACGGACCTCCAACCCCAACTGCTGTAACATAGCTCCCGAGTGCGCCGCCACCGCCTCCCTCGCCGTCGCGTCGCGTACCGCCGACTGAGTCGCCGCTCGCTCGCTCGACGCTTCGCCTTCCAGGCTGCGAGTGGCGTTCGCGACGGCTCGTGAGGCGGCGTCGAAGATGGTCGCCACTGGCACTCGCGCGCCGCGAGCCCACTCGAGCAGCGGGATTTTCATCCTGGGGGGTGAAAAGGGGGTGCGGGTTATCGTTTCAAAGTCGCAGTTACAGCTTCAGAAACCCATTTTCGTCCCGGCCTCCTCTTCTTTTCCACCCTTCCCGCCCTTCCCTCCCCCGCACCGCCCCTTCCCCCGCTCACTTGAAGTCCAGCTGCTGCTCCGGCATCCCCGCCACAGCCGCCACAAACGCCTGCTGCACCTCCCTCGCCGCCCCGCGCAGAGGCGCCAGCAGACACTCCCGCAGCGCCCCCACCACCCACTCGCGCATGGACTGCCCGGAGCTGCCGGAGGCGTAGGCGGGAGGCGGGCCGTAGGGGGCGGCGGCGGCGTAGGCGGCGGGGTAGGGGGCAGCGGCTGCGGAGGAGGAGGTGGCGCCTGTGGTGGGGGCGGCGCTGCTGCCGCCTCCCTCGAAGAGTTGCTCCTATGGAAGAGGGGGAGAAGGAGAAACACTGGAGCTTCAAAGCGGGAAGGAGGTAAAGGGGTGCGAAGGGTGTTGAACTAACCCACCCTCTCCCACCTCGCCGCCCACCTCACCCCACGCTATACCCCTCCCAGGCCCCACCCCATCCCATGCATTGCACCCCCCCCACCTCCTTCCCTTCCCACCCCACCCCCCGTACTTACATGCCGCACCTCCCACCTCGCCGCCAGCTTCCCCAGCAGCGACATCACCGCAGTCGCCGCCCCCCCGCACCCCAGCAAACACGCCGGCAGCTCTTGCCGCAACACCAGCAACGTCACCGCCAGGCCCCCCACCGCCTCCCTCGCCGCCCCCCCAAGCAACCGAGGAACCCGCCACTCGCCCACTCCACGCCCCTCCGCCTCCGCCGCCGCCGCCTCCCTCTGCTCCTCCTCCTCTGCCTCCACCTGCTGCTGCTTCTCCGCTCCTCCTCCTGCCTTCGCACCCTGCTTCTCCCCCATCTCGCGTTCCTCAATCCGCCCAAGCACCCGCACAAACACCGGCGCCAGCTCCCTCAAACACCCCACATACCACGCCTGCATTCCCGGCGGGAACCCGCCCGCCGGCCCCCTCCCTCCGCCTCCTCCTCCTCCCGACCCGATAAACGCCGAGTACCGAACCCCCAGCGGCACCACGCCCCTCGCCGCCACCGAAACCGCCGCCTCCTCCAGACCACACCGCGCCAGTGCAACGCCCAAGTGTACCAGGGGAGGGCCGAAGTGATGCAGCGCGGCGAGGGCGAGGGCGGAGAGCACGCGACGGCGGGCGGGGAGGTCCGGGAAGGCGGCTACAGCCCACGCGGTGAGGGGCAGGGGGCTGAGGTGGTCCATTGGGAGGTGATGCTCCTCACCGTTGGGCAGGTAGACGAACCTTTTGGGAGGGGTGGGGGGTAGTGGGTTGGGAAGTGGGGTTGGGGGGGCGAGGGGGGTGAGGGTCGGAGACCCTACGGGTCCATGGGAAACAGCAGGTTACCCCCTCCTACCATTATGGTGGCCGACATCCCCCACCCCCGCATACCCTCTCATTCTCCACTAGCTCCCCCCTTCCCCTTTCTACCCCCCTATACCTCCCCCTTCCCCCCCTTCCACATCCCTACCGTGAGCTCCTGGCCTGCGTGAAGGCGCTCCAAGAGGGCCCTGGCAGCCCCTTCACACACACCTCAACCAGCCGGCGGGGGCCCTCGGGGCGGGGGAAGGGGCGGGCGGGCGGGGCGGACTGCGCGCACATGTCGGCGCAAAAGGTCTCCAGACTGCAGCGGGGGGGGGCCGGGGGGGCCGGGGGGGCCGGGGGGGCCGGGGGGGCCGGGGAGGGTGGGGGAAGAGGGGTAAGAGCAGGAGGGGAAGGGGGCGAGGGCGGTGAGGAGGGGCGCCGGTGGGGAGGAGGGAGGGGTACGTGCGGTGGAGGACGTGTGCATATCCTCCTTCCCCGGTATCCCCCTAGTAGTGCCTAAAGGTACCTAGACAGCACGACCTCCCGCCTGCTCGCCTTAGCTCCCAGCGCCTACCGGTATCGCCCCCTCCCCCCCTCCCCACCCCCCCACCTGCGCCCCGCCTGCACGGACGCCAGCGCCTCCAGCCCCCGCAGCGCCCCCACCATCAGGGGCGCCACCAGCTCGGCAGAGGCACCACGACCGCGGATGTACTGCGGGAGAGGGGGGGGGAGGAATACCCAATGTGTGGTGTGATAAAGGGGGGTAAAGGGGAAGGGAGAGGAGAGCGGGGGAGGGGTTGTACGTGGGGGAAAGGAGGGGGAGAAGGCGGGCGGGTAAGGACAGACCAGGGCAAGGAGGACTGCGGCTCCCCCGCAGCTGCATTGCCATACACACACAACCCCCCCCCACACACACACGCACCTGCGCCAGTGCGAAGAAGCCGCAGTCCGCCGCTGCAGCCTCCGACCGCCCCAGCAGCCGCCGCTGCAGCCGGTAGGCCGAGGTGCGGCACAGCGACACGGCCAGGGAGTGCAGGGAGGGGGGGCTGGGGGCGGTGGGGGTGGTGGAGGCAGCACCCGCACTACCCCCAGCTGCAGTTGCTGCCGCTGCTGCTGCTGCTGCTGCCGCCGGGCCGTCCTGCTTCTCCTCTGAAGCCGCATCACGACGACGTCTGCGTGAGGAGGGGCGACCAGCGGCCGCCTCCGGAGCAGCACCCGCAGCAGCACCAGCAGCAGCAGCAGCAGAGGAAGGTCCGGCACCACCACCACCACTGCCCGAGCCACCACCACCCGCACCTGCGCCCTCTCCCTGCCGCCGGGAGCCGTGCGTGCGGGGAGGACGGGAGGTGGGTGCCGCCGCCGCCGCCGCGGCACCACCAGCAGCAGCAGTAGACGGCGGTGCTGCCGGCCCCTTGCCCTTCTCAGCTCGCAGCCTCTCCCTCTCCGCTGCCTCCGCTGCTGCCTCCGCTGCTGATCCGCCATCCACCTGCATGGCATTTGTCGTCGTCTCCTCCTCCTGCTGCTCCTCCTCGCCCTCCTCCTCCTCCTCCGCCGCCGCCTCCGACTCGCCCCATCCGCCCAACACATCGTCCGTGTCAAGGCTTCCCTCCGAGTCGTCTCCGTCACCCCCACCCCCTCCTCCTCCTCCTCTGCCGCCGCCGTCTCCCCCATCCTCACTGTCGCTGCTGTCACCACCACCTCCGCCTCCGCCTGCTGCCGCATTGTTGTGGTGGGGCCTCCTCCGCTGCACACCCGAGGGCCCTGCTCCTCCTCCTCCTCCTCCTGCTGCTGCTGCTGCGCCGCCTGCTGCCGCCTCCTCTCCGTCTCCCTCCCCCGTCAAATCCACCACCGCCTCCCCTCCTGCTCCTCCTCCTCTCCGCGCCAGCCGCTCCAGCCGTCGCAGCTCCCGCCTCTCTGCCCGCCTCTCCTCCCGCCTCTCTGCCCTCCTCGCAGCTAGCCGCTCCTCCCGTCGGACCTCCATCTGCATCCGCGCCTCCGCCACATGCCGCGCCTCGAGCATCTCCGCCTCCATATCCATCAAGTGCGGATCGCGAAGACGACGGTGGCCGTAGTGCGGGTGCTGGTGCAGGTACATGCCAGGCCCTCCCGGCCTTGCCATGTACCGGTGATACCCGGGATACGCCTGCTCCTCCTCGTCCGTGTAGTAATCCTCCTCATCATCATCATCCTCGTCATCATCGTAGTCATCGAAATCCAGATCGTCATCATGTTCTTCTCCGTACAGTTCCCGCATCCACTGTCGCTCCCGACGCCTCCATCCACCTCCTCCACCTCCTCCGGGCTGAATTCGGGCCGCGCGGTGGGGGACGTAATCAAGAAGCCCACCTTCGGGCGGCCCGCGGTAACCGTAGGCGCCGCCGCCGCCGCCGTAACCATCGTCGTCGTCCTCATCATCGTCCTCATCATCATCATCATCGTCGTCGTCGTCAAAGTCAGAACCCAAATCCGAATCTCCAAAGCCCTGATCCTCGTCGTCGCCGACCTCCGTAAAGCCCCCTTCGTCGTCGGAATACAAGTTGATGACGTCACCCAAGCCAGGAGGGCCCTGCGAGGCGTCCTCCGAACCAACAACCCGCCGCCGCCGCTGTTTCCCCGAAGCAGCACTACCCGCATCAGCAGCGGTCCGCAGCAGTACCCGGGCAGCGGCCCGCTGCGCCTCCGGACCCGCCGCCACCGCCACCTCCAACCAGTGGGCTAGCGACTCGGGGGAACTGCGGCGGGGGGGGGAGAGGGGGTGTTTGAGGGGGGGAGGAGAGGTGGCACAGGAGGGGTGTGGGCGTGGGGGGGGGGAAGGCAAGCATGGGGTTATACGGTAGTGTGTGTTTTGCAGCGACTACAGAGCTTCCTTCCTTCCAGACCTTGGTATTCTCCCCCTCTTTTACCCCCCTCCCTTCCCACTCCCCCCCTCCCCCCCCTCACCGCGCCACCCTCATCCCCGCCTCCGCCAGCTGCCCCGCCAGCCCCGCCTGCCCCCCCGCCGCCAGCAGCTCCGGAACCAGCCGACCCAGGGACGGCCCCGGGTCCGCCCCCGCGGCCTGGTGCGCGCGGTAGAGCAGCAGCAGCGCGCAGGTGACCGCCTCCAATACCGCCTGCATGGGGGGGTAATATGGATGAAGATGCCGCATTATGCTGGATTTTAGGATTGCGCATAGTCATGGGGGGGAGGGAAGAGGGTCTTCACCGACAGCTTGCAGCGGACTGAAGAAGAGACGAGCAGCCGAGGAGGCATGCAGTGACCCTACGTGACCTGCCGCCGGCCCCTCACCCCTCCTTCATATCCGATCAGCAATGCAGCATCCCTTTCCACCTCCCAACGCCCAAGCAGGCTACCAAACACACCCTCCCCAAAGTACAACCCCCGGCCCCCCCACCCTTCATCCCCCCCACCTGCAGCTGCACCCGCTCCGGCATGCACTCATCGCACAGCCCCCCCAGCGCCCCCTCCACCCCCTCCAGCAGCGCCAGGTAGTCCGCACCGCGCAGCGGGCGGCCCCGGCGAGAGGCGGCGGAGGCGGGGTGGGAGGCGGGGAGGAGGGGCGGGGGGAGGGAGGCGGAGGAGGGGAAGGGCGGGCGGGTGGTGGGACCTCCTGCACGCCCCTCCTGCCCCTCGGCTTGCTCTTCCTCCTCCTCCTCCTCTTCCTGTCCGGCTAGTGCTGCCATGAAGGGGCGGAACACGGACCTCACCACCTGCACTGCCAGGCTGGGGACGGGGCGCAGGGAGAGGCCGCGGGGGGGAACCAGCGGCACCACCTGCGGGGTGGGAGCGGGGAGCGGGGGAGGGGGTTGTTAGAGAGGGTTGGGCGCATTGGCAGAGGGGTGCCGGGTGGACTTCCCCCGCCCCTTGAATCATCGTGTCGTACAACGTGCCACCCTCTTGTCGCTAGTCCCTGTCTCCCCTCCTCCTCTCCCCATTCCGCCCCTCCCCAACACTGTTGTTGCTGTTTTGCTCCAACCCGTGCAGGTTTCCTAAAAGGTTCGATATGTGGTGTCTTGACTCACCCTGTTAAACGCCCGCAGCTCCCGCGGGTCGGTCATGAAGCAGCTCTCCTCGGGGGCCAGCCGCCCGCACTGCACCGCAGCCGGGGGCATCTCGCTGTGCAGTTGCGCGGCTGGGGGGGGAAGGGGGGGCGGGGGGTCAAAGACCATACCAAACCATAGGAGACCACAAGTTAGGGAGGGGGGGGGGGGGAGGGAAATGATTTTGAGCCATGTGCGAGTGGGGTGTGAAGGGGTTAGGTTCTCTGCCATGCGGGGGTGGGGGTGGAAAGGGACAATGGGGTACAGGGGAAGTGAGGTTACGTGGGTTGGGCTTTAGGGTTACAGGACAAACAGGTTCGGGACAACACGACGCATGCGCTAGCGCCCCAGCCACAGCGCTGCCCCTCGTCCCTTCTCTCGTAGTATACGTAGTATAGGTGATGTGCACGTTGACAAAGTAGAAGTGCGTAGTAACCTTAGGGCCCTCTCCCACCCCCACCCCCATCCTCTCACCCAGCCGCTCCCGCCGCTCCCTCCGGCAAGCCTCGCAATCACACCCTGCGCCAACTCCTCCTCCGCCGCCTCGCCCCTGCAACCCCTCCCCATGCATCCCCCCAGCTCCTCCTCCTCCGCCGCCTCCTCTAACCCCCGCAAGCATCTCCGCCGCCCGCCTCAACGCCGCCTCCAGATTCACCGCCTCCGCCCCCGCCAGCTGCCGCGCCCCCTCCAGGGCAGCTGCGAAATGGTCCACCTCCTCCTCCCCCAACCCCAATTCACGAGCTACGTTGGGTAGTGCCGCTGCTGCTGCCGCTGCTGCTGCTGCGGCCCCACCGGGGGGCATCAGCGGAGGATTCCTTCCCGCTGCGGCAGCAGCAGCAGCCGGTTGGGAGGGGCCGGCGCCGCCACCGCCACTGCCGCCTGCAGCGCCTCCATCCACCTGCATGGGGGACGATGTGCCGGCTGCAGCAGCACCAGCAGCACCAGCGGCACCAGCGGCCCCTTCCTGTTCTTGTTCAGGGGAGGTAGGCAACAGGCCGGCATCGCGCAGGGCGGCCTCCTCCGCCCGCCATTCACGTTCCTGAGGCGGAGGGGGAGGGGAGGGGCGGCGGGGGGAAGAAGCGGGTAAAAGCGGTGATGTGCTTCGACGGCGGGTCCCGATGCAGCAGCACAGCACAAGAGGAGGCGCGGGATTCCCCTCCCCTCCCCTCCCCTGGCCCCCCCCCATTTTAGTTGTGTTGCACTTATTACATAACTTTCCCCCCTCCCCCCCTCCCTATGGTCTCCCATGGTTTGGTACGGTCTTTGACCCCTCCCCCCCCCCCCCCCCCACCTGGTTCCCCTCCCCCCCCACCTGATTCTCCGCCACCAGCGCCACCACCGACCGCAGGAGCGCGGTGTAGGGACTGGCCCGCGCACCCGCCACCACATCCACAACACCACCGCCCGCTGCTATGATGGCTACCCCTGCTCGCTCTCCTGCTCCTTCCGCCCCTCCTTCCGCCCCTCCTCCTGCCCCTCCTCCTGCCCCCGCCCCAATGGCCGCCGCCAGTGCCGCCGCCGGGTTGTGGCAGTCCAGCGAGCGGTTGAAGCGCAGGAAGGAGAGCTCGAAGGAGGAGAGGGGGGACACCTCGGAGGAGCCTGGTTGGGGGGGAGGAAAGGATCAAACCATGCATGGGTGTGCGGGCGGGAGGTAGCGAGAGAGGTGTGGCTTGGGGGCAGGATCGCAGCTCTTGCTACTGTGTTGCGAACCGAGACAGGTGATGGCAGGGGCAGGCATCGTCGTCTTGGTTCCCTTTCTCTCCGCCCCCTCCTCTCACCCCACCCTCCCCTCGCTGCTCCTTCCCTCCCTTCCCCTCCCACCCCCCACCTGGTCTCAGGCAGATCGCCGCCCGCACTGCACTCAGGAACATGCGCCCCGAGCACCCCGCCACAAAGGTGGGCGGCAGCTGAGACACCGCCGACCCCACCAGCGACTCCACACCGCCTCCTCCTCCTGCTCCTGCTGCTGCTGCCTCGCCGCCACGACCTCCTGTGACCCCCGCAGCTGCAGCCGCAGCAGAGGTTGAGGGCCTCGCCCCCGCTGCTCCTGCTCCTCCCGCCCCCGCCGACAGCACCTGGTGCATCAGGAAGCAGGCCTGCTGTGCCTTGGCTGCGGGGGAGGAGAGCCGCTCCACGGCTAGGCGGCAGGCGCGCTCCACATCGGACCTGGGAGGGGGGGAGGGGAGGGGGGAAGCAGGGGGGAGGGAGGGGGGGCGTTAGGAGGGCTAAACCTTCCGCGTTTGGCTTGATTATAGGAGGGGCCGGGAACGGGGAAGGAAGGAGGAGGGAGAGGGGTGAGAAGAGTGCATGCGTTTGAACAAGGCGGGAGGATTGGAAAGGGCACATGGGCGGGCAACTGACCTCGCCTGCATCCCTCCCTTCCCCCGCCCTTCTCCCTAACCCCCCCTCCCCACTTACTTTCCGCCCCGCCTCAGCAGCATCTTGATCGCCTTGCTCCACTCTCCCGCCGCCACCGCCAGCGCCACGTAAGGCCCATGCAGCCCCCAATGCCCCAGCCACTGCAGCCGCTCCGCCACCTCCACCGCCCCCGCCCCTGCAGTGTGCGACACACCCTGCAGAGGAGGCGGCGCGTACGGCATAAAGGGTAGTACGGAGGAGGAGGCGGTGGCAGCTGCATTGGGTCCCGATCCGGCGTTTAGCGGCATCACCATCATTCCGCCCAAGCGCCCCGCTGCTCCTGCTGCTGCTACTGCGGCGGCGGCGGCGGCGCTGACAGCGTTCGCTGCCGTCGCTGCTAGCTGCTGTTGCTGCTGCTGCCTTCTGGCGGCAGCCGGGTTGGTGGGCAGCAAACCGTTCCACGCAGGCTGCAGGTCAGGACGAGCCTGGCCAGCCACCTTCACAGCAGCAGCAGCGGCCGAGGCCCCTGCACCTGCCCCTGCCACCACCTCCCCTCCATGCTGCTGGTGCTGCTGCATGCGGCCATCGATGCCACCCCCGCCACCACTCCGGCGTTCCTTCTCCACCCCCTGCTCCTCCTGCAGTCCCAGTGCCGCCACCACATGCCCCGCATCCCACCCATCCCGCGCCGCCACATGCGCCGCAGTCAGCCTCGTCAGCAAGTACGGCAGCGAACCGCTGTCGCACGCCGAGCTGCCGTACGGCATCCCCCCGCCTCCGCCGCCGCCGCCGCCGGGTCGTTTGCTGCCGTACGCAATGGCGTCCGCGAGCTGCAGCCGCCAGTGTCCCAGCTGGCGTGCGGTGGCGGCGCGGAGGTAGGGGGGCAGGTCGCAGGAGAGGAGGAGCCGGATGATGGCCTGCATGGGGGGTAGAGTGGGGGAGAGATTATAAATAAGTGCAACAACACAGTCCAAATCGCGGATCCCGACTCATGCAGTGAGCGCATTCATGCAGTGAGGGGGGGGGTGAATACCCTGGGACCAGACAGCAGCAAACCACAGTTAGGGCAGGGCAGGGCAGGGATAAGTTACAATGGGGATAAGTTACAGCCCGCTTCCAGTAACCCTCAACCCACTCCCCAATACACACACGCCCTCCCCCCCCCCCCACCTCCACCACCATCCCCAGCCTCCTGGCCAGCGCCCCCTCCACCTCCCACACATGCAGCCCCAGCCACACCACCCGCAGCAGCCCGCACAGCGCCCCGCCGGGCCCCTGGCTGCCGGGGGGGCGGCCGGGGGGGCAGGCGGCCTCGTCGAAGGCGGCGAGGACCACAGGGGGCCAGCTGGGGGGGTAATATGGATGAAGATTCCCCCAGCTGGGGGGGGGAGGGGGGAGGGAGGGGGAGAGTGGGTTGGCTCTACGGCAACCCGGCAGAGATCCTGACAGAGATCCTGACAGAGATCCTGACAGAGATCCTGACAGAGATCCTGACAGGCAAAATTTTGTTTCTCATACGGGTGTCCTAGGCCCCTCTGGCTGGCTCCTGCGAACACACGTTCCAACACGTTCCGACTGGAACTGTTGACAGATTGTAGCAGATTGTAACTGTAACTAAGCTACACCAACCCACCACCACCCGCGGCCCGTAGCCCCACCCTCCCGGCCCAGGCAAGCCATCATCCCTCTCCTCCACCATCGGCCCCCTCTGCCCCTCTCCTTCACCCCTGCTGGCCACCTATCTAACCCCTCTCCCCCTCCCTCTCGCAACCCCCCACACTCACGGATCCGCTGCCGCCTCCGCCTGCCCTCCTGCTGCTCCTGCTCCTCCCATTCCCACCCCCGCTCCCCCCGCCTCTCCTGCCGCCGCCCCCCGCTGCCCTCCCGCCTCCCCCTTCTGCGCCACGAGCATCCCCATGCGCGCCTCCCACACCGGCCCCCGCTCCGCCGCCCGCGCGGAGATGTACCGCTCGGGGCTCTCCAGGGCCGTATTGCCGGAGGTGGAGGTGGAGGTGGAGGAGGGGAGTTCCAGGCTCACCAAGCCGCCGGCTGCGCCGAAGGACCAGGTGGGGGGGCTGGCGGCTGCAGCAGCTGCTGGGTTGTCGGTGTTGGGAGCGGCAGCTGCAGCGGCAGCGGCTCCGTTCAGTGGGTTGTTGTTGTTTGGGTTGTTGTTGTTGTTATGTTGCGGGGGCAGCAGCATTCGGAAACTATCTCGGAATATCCTGTGCGAGGGGGGGGGGGGCAGCAGGTGAGAGAGCAGCCGGGAAGGGGGGGGGCAGCAGGGATGGGTTGGCAGCAGCGGGCGCAGCAAGGGCGCATGTGAGGGAAGGAAGGAGAGGGCGGTTGCTGGGGCCGTCACGAGCACCCGTGTCCCCTCCCCCATGCATACTCAGTTCCTTCCCTGTCATGCCCTTCTCCTGCACTCCAGCCCCACTCCCCATCCTAGCCCCCCCTCCTCCCTCCCTCCCTCCCTCTCACCCCCTCCCCTCGCCCCTCAGCCCCCCACCCTGCCGTCTCATTCCCCCATTCTTTTCCCCTAATTCCTCGCTTCCTATGGTTTGTCACCCTCACCCCCCCCACCCGCACCTGTCATGCCCTATCACCAGCGGCGCCCCCCCTCGATACCACCCCGGGAAGGCGCCCCGAGCGGACCCCGAGGGGAATGAGGCGGCCGTCAGTCCCCCCGCCCGCACCGCCACCGCCGTCTCCACCCCCGGGGGAGTCGGCAGGTGGGGGGCGGGCAGCGGAGGGGGCGCGGAGGAGGTGGCGGAGGAGGAGGAGGAGGCGGCGGCCCCCTCCTCAGGGCCCTGGGTGCAGCAACTGGGTATGAGGTGCGGACGAAGGGCCTCCGGAACGGTCCTGGGGGGGGGGTTGCATGCAGCGGGGCAACGAGGGGAAAAGGGGATTGGGACATGCGTCTTGTGGTAAGGTGCGGGGCAAGTGCCTCTAGTTGTGAGTTGGCTCCTGTTTGACCCCCACCACCGCCTTGCCCACCACCCACCCCCTCGTCAGTTTCCTATATGAATGTCCCCATATACGGTATAGAATGCGACCCGGACCGCTCCCTTGCCCTATCCCCAAACCCCCCTCCCACCCCGGACTCGGTATCGGTAGGGACCGCTAACCCATACTTGTTTTTGTGGCACCCTGCCGCTCCTATTCCCATTGTCTTGCCCCAACCTGTGGCTTCCTATGGTTCGGTATGGTCTTTGACCCCCCACCTGGGGCAGTTCAGCTCCCGCCGCAGGTCCAGCGGCACTCCGGGGCCGGGCAGCAGCGAGGGAGGGGCGGGGGCGGGCGGGTCCTGCAGGGGGGGGCGGGGGAGGGTGGCGGGGTTTGGGTGCGGAGGCGCCATGCGGTTAGGACGTCAGGAGGGGGCAGGAGGCGCAGCGGCAGGCGGGCGCATGAATCGGTGGGGGCTGTGGGGTCGCATGAGTTGGCGCATGCGGCAGGAGCGTCGAGGAGGGACATTGGCACACGCTGCGTCTCCCTCTTCCCCTCCCTCTTTGCTCCCCTCTCCACTTCTTCTCCTCCCTCCTTCCCTCCCGCCCCCCCCCCGCCCTCACCACATGCGTCGGCCCCAACACCAGCGCCCCGCCCGACACCGCCGCCAGCAGCCGGGCCACTCGGGGAGCGCACGGGCACCCCTCATCCCCCTCCCCCTCCCCCTGCTGCTGCATCATGCTGATGAACTCCAAAGACTCAGATGCAGCAGCTGCAGCTGCACCCCCTGCTGCTGCTTTCACCCCTTCCTCCTGCTGCTTCCCCTGCCCCTGCTGCTGCCCTTCCTGCCCTTCCTGCTGCCCTCCTTGCTCCTGCTCTTTCCGGCCCCTCTCCACCCTCCCGAGTTGCGCCTCCAGCGCCACCGCCGCCAGTCGCCCCCAGTCGCCCTCACACAGCACCCCCGCCCCCCGCCCCATGCGCGCCGCCAGCATCACCGCCGCCACCCCCGGGCACAGCTGCGAGTGCAGCGCGTCGTACCCCACCCCGCAGCAGCTGGAGGAGCAAGCCAGCAGCGACCAGTCGGAGGTACGGAGGAGCACCTGTACGACATGGGTGTATCGCTCGGGGGGGTCGCAGGTGCCGGCTGGGGTGGTAGAAGCAAAGAAATGCTGGGCTGGGGTGGTGGGGGTGGGGGTTGCGTTACCGTTAGATGGAGGGGAGGAAGGGCCACGGGCTGCGATGGCTGCAGCGGCGATGTAGGCTGCGTTGGGTGTGCCCCCGAAGCAGCTGCAGATCTCTGGGGTTTGCGCCGCACGCGCGGCTGCTGCCTTGTCCTTTTCCTTTTCCTTCTCGAGTCGCGTTTGCTGCTCGGGTGCTCCATCGCCTGCGTGCTGCTGTGGGTGAGGATGGTGGTGATGCTGATGTGGGTTGGAGGAGGAGGTGGGTGGTGGAGGAGGAGGGGGCAGGTGGATGAAGCTGCGGAGGAGGGCTCGCTGGCCGTCTGCGCTGTGTTGGATGGTGAGGGAGTGGATGGCGCGGCGGTGCAGCAGCTGTTTGACGTGTGGCCAGGAGAAGGGGGAGACCTGCAGAAGGGGGCAGGCAGGACAGGGATTAAAGAAATTGCAAGCTTTATTACCATTAACAATCTTGGCAACCGTGTGTGGATATTAGTTATAGCTCCCGTTACCGCTTTTTAGAACCACATGCCATGGGCGACCTACCCGCTGACGGACGTCCGCAGAGTTAACGACGATGTTGAGTGCATGAGCCCGATGGAAAGGGCAGCAGCTACAGTCTGGTAGCTTAAGAGCCTCTAGCCCCGTCTCCGAAGAGGGCTGCTGGAGCCCACTAGCGGAAGATCCGACGTCAACGGTGGCCAATACGTCGTTATGCAGAAGTGAGGCAAGAATGCATTTAACACGCGCATCTGCCGCCGACAGCACCTGCGCACCTGTGCAAAGGATACAGCGGGGACCACCGATTTGTCCGAGGGAGATGTCGCAAGTGCCGACTGAACGCAAAGCATCTCATGCACGCATACGCCTATCTGCTATGCTTACCAGCTGTCTTGTGGCGCTTCTCGCCAAGGTCCTTGGCCGACGCGCCGCGTTCTTGGCGTTGCCGTTTATGCATTTCCTAACCCAAACTCAACCAGGTAGGCTTCCTTTCTCCTATGGACGACCAAAAAGCTTGCTGATCATTGCTATATTCCGCCTGAAATACAAGACAGGCAGGAAGAAGTAAGAAACACGAAGAGGTACGCTCGGATGAACGAACGTCTTCACTGTTCGGGTAGTAGAGTATACTATTTCATCAGGAAAGGAGGTAGACAGCAGCACAAGGCTCAAGCAGGTGCACTCGTGCTGTATGCGGCATGCGTGCGGCGGCGTTGCCGTATGACATGCGCATCTGGCGGATCAGGGGCATCAGACCCTTGTGCAAAGACCTGGGCGCCTAATGAAACGAAAACATAGAATTTACATCTACTGATTTTGATGCCTAGCAATTGGACAAGTACTGGACTGGGGGGCTCGTAGCGTCCTAGCTAGGTCGGCGATAGCTTGATTGTAGGTAGGCCAGGCTACAAACCATGCTCCCCCTTCCTTTGTTAGTATAGTCGTCTACTGCTTACAGCGCCCACAGTCCAACCGGGCAAACGGGCTGAGCTGCCCATGACTGATAGGTAATTGGGTTGTAATGCATGGCCATGCATCTCAGTGCCGCTTGATACAGAATCCCAGCTCTCTATGGTTTCAAGCCACAGCAGCCATTTAACAACTCATAGTAAAGCCTTTGCCAGCCCGGTATCCGGTAGTCAACCCAAAACAGCCCATGCTCGCTTTTCGCGCTGTTCACGTCACAGGATATGCCGTTGCGGGACCGCACAGGCGGTGCCCTGCTGCCCAAAGATCGTGCGGCTGCACCTGCCGGATATGCCAGCTGTATGCATGTGCCTGTACCGCTGGACCGCTGCCGGGCCCTGGGCTTGGGGGAGCCCGTCTGGTTTGGGGAGGTGTCACATGTGATGTACCGGTAAGCTGCTAGACCCTGCTGGAGCACCCCCTCATAATGCGGCTTGAGACCACCACCCCGAATGCACCCGGCTGTTGTGGTAGTCCATACTGGTGGCACCCGGCTGTTGTAGTAGTCCATAGAAGCGGATGCTCCCACCAGCTCCCACAGAAAGTAAGGCAATGATCCTGGTGCCTTTCTCATCATGACAGATGCCGCATCTGCGGCATCTCACTTGATGAGGGATGGCGTGTGTGCTGCAAAGTGGTTTGACCAAACATGTTGCCCACAGTCGGTTTCTAACATGGCATGGAGCCTGTGATTGCGGCGGGTTGTTTGTTGGTCGGGGGCGGATGACTCGGGGCGTACAAGATGGCGAACGAGGCCGAAAGAGACCCCTAACCAGCAGCCTTTCCTTGCAGGCGGGAGCCCCCTAACCAGCAGCTAACCTGTTCCAATGGCGACAAAAGGATAGAAGTCTTGCTTGATTTAGGGTTTTGCTGGCGTGTGCAATGCCGTGAGTGGCCGGGTGTAGCTTGCAAGCGAGGAAGTTCCGGCCAACTTCCAGGTACTCTGGTGCTATCTGGCCGTTTCGGCTTGGAGCCTTACAGCTCAGGCTCAAAACTCGAACGAATCCGCATATGCGCCTTCTGTTACTGATTAATGCACCGTAGGATTACCCCATTCTGATGGGTTCCGGGGAGAGATGCAATGCGGTAGATGTACGGGTTGCTTGTAGCTCAGGGAACCGTACAACGCGAAAATGATCGCGATCACCCACATGTGCAAAGGATTCAGTAACTCCAGTAAAACCACTGTCCTTACACTTTTCCACACCGTTTACGGAATGCACATCACTTACTCTGGCCGCACGTGGGATTAGAATGAAAGGAGTCCTTTTTGAGCCACGAGCCGAGGTCAATCCTGACGACTTAGTTGCACTAGTAACTGTATTTATCTGGGGCCTGGTATACTCCTACGCCGAGTACAAGCGACGGAGCGCAAGGTACCGAACTGTCGGCAATGCCCGCTGGTCGTCTTGGACCCACCACGTTCACGGCCATGGAAATGTTCGAAACGTTTATGTTACATGTTCCTGGTGCTGCTGTGGTTACAGGAAGAATGCCACTCAAGACTTGGCGGCAACACGCAATTTCGCAATCTCGTCAACTGGATTGCAGCAAGATGGTCGTTTTGGTGAAGTAAGTCCACCTCTTCAATACGGGCTACAGTATTGCCGCTCGCGTTTTATAGTACACGCACAGTGCTGGACTTGCGAACGATGCCGCACCAAGACATCGACGCTTTTTGACATATGTTGTCGCTCTTGGGCGTCTGATCCGTAGGTCTATTATCGACGACTCGAGGTGACAACATGCGCGCCAATAGGCTTGGTATCCGTGCTGCCCACCGTTGGTCTGAAGGCGCTCCTAATCACGCCCACCGATGGCCACGGGGCTGATGGCTCAGGGCATGACATCAAGGAAGCTTGCAGCAACGGTAGCCATGCAAGCCCTGTCTGGCAGGTACGCTAAGGAAATGTTAGTGTGTTTAATTAGCCCTTCTCTGCCCTCCCTCCAAAGCATCCTTCCAATCCATCCTAGCGCTGCTACACCAATGCCCTTTACTCACCGCCATTATTTACACGCCCTTGACGCCATCACGCGCCATTTTTACTCATATTTCTTCTTGTTCACCCCCAGGACGGCGGCAAACCGCTCGGCTGCCTACCCAGCTGCACGCAAGCTTCTGCCGGCAATGCCAGCGGCAGCAGCTGCGGAGGCTGCGACAGCAGCAGCAGCGGTGGCGGCACCGGTAGCAGCTGCGGCGGTAGCGCCAGCAGCTGCTGCGGCCTCAGCAACAGCAGTAGCACCAGCGGCGGCCCCGGCAGTAGCAGCAGCAGCTGCTGCCCCGCCACCACCTCTCTTCGGGACCAGGACCTCCTCCACTGCAGCTCCACCACTTCCTCCTCCTCCGCGCCAGCAGACGGTATCCCCCAGGACCCATCCTCAACATCAGCCGATGTGCCGTACTGCAGGGCGCTGCCGTACGCCCTGATGACTAATCTGGTCTTCAACTGTACGACAGCGCTGCCGGAAGACGATCCGGCAGAGCTCAGTGACCCAGGGGTCGGTGGAGGGGCGACCCGCTGGATCGTCGGCGGCACCGGGCGGCGGCGGCAGGGCCCCTCCCGCGCCTCGCCTGGTCCTCCCGCGCTTATGCGTAGCGCGGGTCGAAGCCACGGAGGAGGCGGTGTCACGGCCACCTCAATTGCTCGGCCCGGCAGCACGCGACAGACCCATGGGCCACCCGCTTCTTCGTTCTCGCTCTCAGCCGCCTCGTCGTCAGCCGCTGCCGCCGCCAGCACTGGGCTCGCAGCTGCCACGAGGCAAGGCAGCGGCGGGCTGGCGGTTCCGGGGTTCGATCGCTGCCGAATGCGGAGCAACATGTCCTTCGTAGAGGAGGAGGAGGAGGGCGGGGAGGGCAGCGCCGGCCGGGGGGGCGTTCAGACGGGCGCGGAGGGTGGGCGTGCTGCTGGAGGTGGCGGCGGCAGGCGATTGGTGGCGGCGGCCCCTCCTGTGTGCGAGGGAATATACGAGCTGCGCAGCTTGAGGCTGCCCGTTCCTCCACTTCTGGACAGCGAGGGCGCTGTTGTGGTCACCGCTGCTGCCGCTGTTAGCACCTGCATCAGCTGCCCGCTACCTGAGGAGCACCAGCAGCCCCAGCAGCAGCCCCAGCAGCATCCGCAGACCCAGCAGCAGCACCCCCAGCGGCCGGTGCTGAAGTCTCCGCGGGGAGCCAGCACTTCCCCGCCACCGCCTGCTGCTGCTGCTGCCGCTACCACCACCTCCCACTCCTGCTCCCCCTCCCTGCTGACCCCACCACCTGCCAGCACCTCCACCATCAACTCGCCTAGGGCCAGGTCGCAGCCCTCCCCCCGCAGCGCCCAGCCCTCCCCTCGCCCTTGCTGCGCATGCGGCGGAGAAAGAGGCGCAGCAGCAGCAGCAGGAGAGGAGGATGGGACCGAGGGGGCGCTGCCCCTACCGCCATTGGAGCGCTGTGACTCGCCCCGAGACCTCCTCCTGAACCCCGCGCCTGCTACTGCTGCTACTGCTGCTACTGCTTCGGTTGCGACTGCCACTGCCACCGCTGCAGCTGCTCCTGCGAGTTGCGCCCAGATGCGCACCAGCACAGCAGCCCGGCGCTCCCTCTCCCGCATCCCCGTCCCCCCCACCTCCGCCTCCACCTCCGCCCCACCCACCGCCCGGCGCTCCCTAGCAGTCGACCTGCTAGCAGCCAGCGGCAGCAGCACCACCACCGCCCTCCCCGCCGCCCCTTGCACCTCCGCCTCCTCCTCCGCCCTGCCCTCCCCCGCCATGACGCCGCGTTCCAGCCTGAGCCGCATTCCGCCCTCGCCCTTCGCCGCCTCACGAGACTTCTGCCCCTCCGCACCCTCCACCCATCGAGGCCCGGGCCCCTGCCGCACGACCACGCATGCGACCACCTCCACCTCCATGCGCGCCTCTGCCTTCGCCTCGTCCCTCGCAGCAGCAGCCGCAGCTGCGGGCTCCTCCTCCTCCGCAACCGCCACCGGCACTGCAGAGGAGGAGGATGACATCGTCAACAACGGCAGCCCCGGCCCCAGTCCGCAGGCCTCCTTCACCTCCGCCACCACCACCTCCTCCTCCTCCCGCTCCTCCAACGGCCGTCGCCTGCAGCAACTCCAGCACCTGCACCAACAACAGCTGCAGCAGCTACAACTTCAGCTCCGATCCCGTCGTCTTTCCTCTGCAAGTGCCCTCTCCGCCTCCACCTCCGCTTGCACCTCCTCGGGTCAGAACTCCTTTAGCGCTCGTTCCGCCGGTAGCGTTTACCGAAGCAGCTACAACCACCACAACCACCACCACCATCATCATCACACCGTTAGCGGTAGCGGACACTACCACGGTCACGACCACGAGGGCGGAAACGGCATCAGCACCACCACTCGACATGCCTCGGTTCAAACCCACCCCAGCCACTTCCCGCGCTCCCTTCCCGGGTCCACTCTAAAGGCCAGTGCGGCTTCCGGCACCCCCGCGGCGCTAGCTGCGGCAGCGGATGCGAGTTTGACGCTGAGTCGGCGGCGTCAGGCGAGGGAGGCGGCGGCGGCGGCGTGCGTGGGCGGCCCGACCAGCCCGCGGTACCTGCGGCCCACCGCTGCCTCGGCGGCCAAGTCGACGTGTGTGTCACCGCAGATGGCTGCGTTCCTGTCCGCAACTCCGTCGCCTCGGTGAGAGGGTGGTGGTGAGGTGCGGTGATGAGGTGCGGTGCGGTGCGGGAGGAGGTGCTAACGGGACAGATTTACCGCGACATCGAATGTGACACCACCACCACCACCAACAACAACAACCTGTTTGTTCGTATGCCGCGACAGTGGTGGTGGTGATGGTGGTGATCGACTCGCTTGTGACAGCTGGCGGGTGTGTCGATTAGAGTTGTGTGGGCGTGCAGCAGCTACGGTAACCGGGGAACACGCAAAGGGCAGGGGCATTGCAGCCCCCCTGCTGCTGCTGCTGCTGCTGTTGCTGTGATTGCCGTGCCGTTGTCATCAAGGTATCGAAGCACGACGTTTTCTTTTCTTATAACGTTTATAGTTGGGTATATGACGCATACCTAAATGAAGCTTTCATGCGCGCGCCCGACACAGTTTATGTACTTTTTTTCGTGCCGCACGGCGTTGCTCGGATGAAGCTGGCCGTGCGGATTAAGATAAGCTAGCTAGCTAGCCGCTAGGAGCCGGTGCGTGTGTGTGTGTGTGTATGATGATGATGTAAGACACCGTGTATGTGTTTTCTATTGCACCAAAATATACTTTGGGCAAACCTGTAGACTCAGCTCGGCGTTTTGCGCGTTTACGGTTGGGGAACTAATGGAGAGGGGAGAGGGAAGCGCGCGGGAGGGGGGAATTAAGGGTTGGTGTTGGGTTATACATATATCGGTGCGATGACGTCCGCTTTTTCGTCGTCAATAACGGCCCTTGCGAACCCTTCACTCGTGTTACAAGGTTGCGCTTACGAATACCTGCATGTATGGGCAAGTCGACAAAGAGACATGGCTTGCATCCTTCCTCAACTTATAATGCCACAGTTGTGGCATATGTGCTTTCTAATATCTCAATACCGTACAACCAACTAACTCTTTTTAACGGTATACGCTCATCATACATGCGCACGTGAGAGCGGTGGGGACAAGCTGACCCGTGGGTCACTTGGAGGTGTGCGATCTGTGTAGTTACACATGCGCGCGCATCTGTATGAATTTGTAGCTGACGACGAGGGGGTTACACGACCGACGCTCGCATAGTAAATGAAAGACGTTCCAAAGACGAGGATTTATGACTTCCGGTGGGGCTGCTGTGCAGGTAGGGGTCTTCTCTGGTGGTTTCTTCTCTGGCTGTGTAGAGAAGGCTGGCTTATGTGGTGGTTTCCTATAGATTTGAATCGGACCCCGGACTGCTAAGGTTCGTATGTTGTGACTGCCACTGTTGCTGCCCCATACGTTGCAAAGACATGCATGCAACGAAGTGGCAAGGAGAGGCAGGCCGAAGGGAAGTTGGGCTGTGGAGTAAAGATGTCATATAGCGTGTATGAAGCTTTAGGGGTATTGCAACAAAGGTGGTGATGGCGATGATGGCCACTTCTCGGCTTGTTTGTGTACGTTGCCCGTTGCGTAGTTGTTGTAGATAGTTGTTGTTCCTTGTTAGTTGGTACGGCAGCAGTTGCCTGGTCAAACTTGCCACCCGGGGTTTAGCGGGTGTAGTTTCAGGGGCTTTGGGCCGTGTATGCACCGCGGGCCGTGTAATGTTCGTCTTCAATGTACATGCCATACATACTTAAGTAACCGATTGCGTGTAAGGCAACGCCATGTTTAACCCCTGTATGTATGTAAGCTGGATCTTCGCATGTACGGCCAAACTCATGCCTCGTTTCGCACACCCCTTTACGTACTATCAAACGGGTGTACGGCATCTCTCGACCGCACATGTAGGACCCAGGCACCCGAGGGCCCTAGTTAACGCGACCTGTGTGACACTGAACGGTAGCTCAGTTGTGTCGCAACGTCGCTGTTCATCATTCATGTAGATCCTTAAATGTAGGTCCTTAATTAGCTGCATGCACATCTGTCCCAAGCAGCTGTCGCTCGCCGCTCCGCAGAAGAGCCCTCAATCAGCCCCAGGTGTCCCCGGAGGGAGAGAGGCACCCAAACCTTCCTCCCTCCCCACAGCGACGCCACGATTTACCCATCTTACCACCACCCACCACAACACCCCGCCACAATCACAGTCAGCAGCAGCAGCAAGGCCGCCGCAGCCCCACCCGCATATGCATGTGGCCGCCCTCACCCAGAATCGTGTACGGTCATTCGTCTTATCTTCTCCCATTGATCAGCACCCTCCGTCCAGACACCTACCGTCAAAACCACGACGCACCATCCCACCTGCCACGCCACAAGTCCCCCACCGTTTCGCGCCCCTCATGCATGTACCCCTCCTGCCTCCCGTCCCAGCGCGCACACCCTCCTCCTTCACCCAGGACCTCTAACCACATCCCAACACACATCCGAGGGGCCCGGAGCTCCCGGCCTCCCCCTTTCTTCTCCTGCCTCCTCCCTCCTCAAAACACAACACACCGGATATCCTTCCCTCCTCCCTCCTCCCCTCACACCGCCGCCCGGCCATCCTCCACAAACGCCTGCTCCGCCAGATCGATTGCGCGCCCCAGCGCCGCCGCCTTGTTCACCGTCTCCTCATATTCCGCCTCCGGCCGACTGTCCGCCACAATGCCCGCCCCCGCCTGCAGGTGCACACTCCACTCACGGCGAGGGGGGCAGGCGGGGCCGGCGGGGGTGTCGTACTTGTACAACGTGTCCGCGGCGGCGTCGGGGATGATCATGGTGCGCAGACCCAGGGCCATGTCCATGGCGCCTGTAAACGACACGTGTCCAATACCTCCGCCGTACGGCCCCCGCTTGTTCACCTCCAGCTGGTCAATGATCTGCATGGCACGAACCTTGGGCGCGCCGCTCACCGTGCCGGCGGGCAGCGCGGCCCGCAGCGCGTCCCATGCGTCCAGTGCCGGCAGCAGCTGGCCGGTGACTGTGGAGCTGATGTGCATGACGTGGCTATATCGCTCCACCTCCATCAGCTTCTCGACAACAACACTGCCGGACACGGAGACCTGGGGGGGGGAGGGGGTGAGTGGGAGGGTGGGGAGGGGGCGGGAAGAAGGGAAGGGGAAGGGATACAACTATAGGTGGTTTGTCCGGTCAGTATTCAGTAGACCAATTTTGGTTTTCACTCCCTCCCTTGCCCCCTCCTCCCCCCTACCTTGCCCACGTCGTTCCGCCCCAGGTCCACCAGCATCACGTGCTCCGCTAGCTCCTTCTGGTCGCCCAGCAGGTCGGTCTGGGGGGGGGGAGGGGGAGGGGTAGAAGGAGGGAGGGGGAGGAGTGGGGTTGGGTTAACAGGGGGCGAGAGGGCGAGGATAGGTACCGGCAGCTCTCACACAAGTGTAAGTGTTGGAACAAGTGCGAGCAGAGTGCAACACAGGGCCAAGACACTCACACGGCGCTCTGCCGCCGCACCCCCCCCTCCCCGCCCCTATACACACACACCCTCCCCCGCACCTCCAGCTCCCTGTCCGCCTGCACATCCGCCCCCCGCGGCCGGGTGCCTGCCAGCGGGCGGTTGGTGACCACTCGCTTGTTGTCCACCCTACACAGGATCTCGGGGGAGCTGCTCACGATGTGGCAGCCGCGGGACTGGGGGGGAGGTGAGGGAAGGAAGAGGGTGGTAAAAACAAGGAAACGAAAACGGAGACACGACACGAACCCTACATGTACTTGGCAAACCCCCCACTTGCTCCCAAGCTGGTGGTAGGTATCACACATCGGTAAGTTCATTCGTTGTTTCGGTTTTTGACTAATTCGGGTAGAGTGGGATGGACTGGCTATCATGTTTGCACCCCATGGTGAAGCCTACATGTCATACAGCTCGTTATCAGTTGCATCGTCAGTGTCTCCTTATGTTTACCTCCCAAGCCCCCCACCTATTCCTTATTCTTACCCCCCCCCACCTGCATGTAGACCATGTAGGGTGAAGGGTTGACCACCCGCAGCGCGCGGTATATCTCAAAGGGGCTGGCGAAGGTGCGCCGCTCGAAGCGCTGCGAGAGCACCAGCTGGAAGATGTCGCCAGCCTGGATGTGCTCCTTGGTGGCGGCCACAGCAGACATGAACTCCTGGGGATTCATAGGGATGAAGGTTCCGCATTAGTCTGGATTTTAGGATTGCGCGTAGTCACACTTGTTTGGGGGGGAAGAATAATATGTGAGGGGGTGCGACGTGCGAGGGGGGGGGTGGGGGAGTAGTAGGAGGGGGAGAACCGAGCGGGTCACCCCAAGCAGTCTCTCACTACCCAATGAGGCCCGACGACTCCTTAGCCCCCCTTCTCCTCCCCCCAACCCAGGGTATGGCCTTTGACCCCCCACCCCCCATGTTGCAAACCATGATGACGCCTCATCACACGGCCAGTTAGTTGTTTCCTCTTAACCACCCTCCCCTTCCCCTCCTTCCCCTCCTCCCCCTCCTCCCCCCCCACCTCCTTGCTCATGTTAGAGCCCTGCGGCAGGTCGGGTCGCTTGTTGAGGTCCAAGCTGATGGCCCCCGGAGTGAGGCTGGCGGCGGGCGGGGGCGCGGAGAGCCGGGCCGACAACCGGGCCAGGCGAGCTAGGCCGGCGTCGTAGGCGGCACGTAGGGCGGCGGGGTTGGAGGCGTCCTGGGGTGGGGGGAAGGGGGTGGAGTGGGGTGGGGGGAAGGGGAGTAGGCGTCCAGATGAGGGGGTGGCCAGCCCGTTCCGAGCATGGAGACACACATACCGCCCCCATACCGCCCCAGCAGCCTACGTACCTGTGGCTTCCTATGGTTCGGTCTGGTCTTTGACCCCCCTCACCTGCTCTCCCACCGGCACCCAGGCAATCGGGTAGAGCACCTTGGTGGCCTGGTCGAACACCGCCACGTCGTAGTAGAGGGCGAGGTGCAGGTCGGGCAGCTGCCGGTCGTCTGGGGGGTGAGGGGCGGGGGGGAGAGGGGGGAAGGGGAGGAGGGGAGGGAGGGAAGGCTAAGGAAGGGAGGAGAAAAGTATGGTAGACAGTAAGCAGGCACGTGCCGCCTGTTCTCACAGTTCCCCCCCTCCCTCCCCCTGCACCCCGGCTGCAATACCCGCCACGTTCCTTTCCTCCTCGCCGCCAGTTTTCTTAGCACGCTTGAAGGCTTAACACACCCGGCCAGTTTTCTTAGCACGCTTGTTACACCTCCCCCTCCTCCTTCCCAAACCCCCCTCCAACCCCCCCCTCCCCCACCTTCCGGCGCATCCTCGAACGGCAGTTTGTTGCCGTACACGTACCGCACCGTGTCGTACCCCGCATACCCCACCCAGCCGCCCGTGAACACGTCGGGGATGCCCTCCACTCGGGCTGGGCGCCAGTTGCGGCTGAGCGACTCGGGGAGCTGTTAGGAGGGATGGGGGAGGAGGGAGGGAGGGAAGGTGGTGGGGAGAGGGAGGTGGGAAAGGGGGGGAGAGGGAGGTGGGAGAGAGGGGAGGGGGAAGGAGGTGGGGAAACGAAGAAAACCCGATGTGTTGTATGAGGGGAGGGAGGGAGAGGGGAGGGAGGCGGTAAGGAGAAAAAAGCTAGGGCCGTGTGACATCGCACCCAGGCCCCACCAAGGGGGGTGGGGGTTGCAGGGAGGGGTGGGTCCGGAAGTGGCCCCGGAGGAGGAGGGTAGGGTGTGGTGGGCGGCAGCGGGGCCGCTACACGCCGCTGCTGCTGGGCTGGTGCTGGAGGGCTGCTGGTGGGCTGGGCTGCCACCACCGCTGCCACATTGCTGACGATACCGGTACCCCCCCTCGCCACGTGTTGCTGCTGCTGCTGCTCCCTCCGATGCTGCACAGCACTGATGAGCGTGCTGAGGCGCCTCCACCTCGCCACACCTCTCACCTGCAAGCGCCTCCGCTCACCTGCAAGCCGCCGCTCCCCATGCGGTCATGCATGCCGCCCCCGCCCCCCAGGTGGCTCCCTCCGCCCACACACACATGGCCATGATGAAACCTTATCACACCGTGTGCCTACAGCACGCTCCGACTCGCGGCCAGTCTTCTAAACACCCCACCCACCTGCATGGGGTCCTGCATGCTGCTCACGGTGCGGGTGCCCCCCACCCCCAACACCCACCTGCATGGGGTCCTGCATGCTGCTCACGGTGCGGGTGCCCCCCCCCAACACCCACCTGCATGGGGTCCTGCATGCTGCTCACGGTGCGGGTGCCCCCCCCAAACACCCACCTGCATGGGGTCCTGCATGCTGCTCACGGTGCGGGTGCCCCCCCCCAACACCCACCTGCATGGGGTCCTGCATGCTGCTCACGGTCCGGGTGCCCCCCCCCCAACACCCACCTGCATGGGGTCCTGCATGCTGCTCACGGTGCGGGTGCCCCCCAACCCCAACACCCACCTGCATGGGGTCCTGCATGCTGCTCACGGTGCGGGTGCCCCCCCCCAACACCCACCTGCATGGGGTCCTGCATGCTGCTCACGGTGCGGGTGCCCGCCACGTGGTCCAGCAGCACCACCTGCTCCCGAGTGGCCACCACCTCCAGCGCGGGGGCGGACCCCAGGAAGGAGTAGCGGCCCTGCTGGTCGCCGTTGACCACCGACTCAAGCAGGAAGGAGGGGAGCTGGGAGTCGGATTCGGGGACAAGGCAGCTGAAGGAGGAGGGAGGGAGGGAGGGTGATGTGGGTGTTGTTGTTCATCTAGAGTAGGAGTAGGGTGGGGTGGGGAGGGCAGGGCAGGAGGGCGGGAGGGAGGGCTTACCGGTAGGCTGAGACGGGCGTGAGGTGGTCGGAGAAGATGCGCTTGCTGAGGGGAATCAGGTTGGCTCCGCTCTTGACGGCATCCAGGAACTTTTGAAATCCAGCGTCCTGGGAGCCGCAGCAGGAGCTGCTGGCTTGTTGTTGTGATGAAGCGCAGGGCTGATGGGCCGGCGAAGGATCTGCCAAACAGCAATATAATAGGCAATTGCACATAAAGTAAAGTTAACTTTGCGTGCAAGAAGCAAGAAATACATTGAAGGCACACAACCTGCAACACGCACGTGGCTAGAGTCATGCTAAGAGGGGCGTGGGTGCAAGGCACCAAACTAAACTACATGCTACCTTGTCAGAAAGTTATTGGTCAACGCGTCATTCTCACCTGCCCGGCTAAGGGTCGACGCGCTCGCATCCTGCGTCGCTGTCGACCTTACGGCCACCGCACCACGCCCAATCGGTGCGCGAAAAGCCTACATGACGTACGCATAAAATGTATGCAAAGTAACTATTAGCTCACGGTTGTAATCTGCCATATGCGGCGGCTGGCATGCACTTGGAACCAACCCGAAAGGGCGCCAGCAGCCTACGCTGTGCTGAGACGGAAGACGTCTCTCGCACATTTACTTGCTGGCGCTGACCGAGAAGCGACATGGCTATCGAGTGACAATTCGTATTGATGATGGAGTAGGGCTATCGATCAGCGTTGGTGCGGCATGAAATCTTCCTTTATTACAGCAAAAATGTATTTGGGTGTGCTGAGATTAAGACTCTACCGAACTTATGCAGTTGCCGTTCGGGTACCTACAGGCCACGTGCATGCAAGCAGATCCCGCAGGCCGCATGGCTTTCGCCAATCCAGTACCGAAAGCCAGCCCAGTTGACCCTTATTCAAAATCACACGAATACCTTGATGCAAGCCTACTGCACATGCGAAGGCCTAACCAGCTGGGCAGTTGGCGTGGGGAACCCTAACCTAACATAATGCCGAGCCTACATGCCGTCCTACCTGTGCATGCCCTCAACTAAACCCCGACCAATTCAAGCAGCCGGTTACCAATTCAAACAACCGCGCAACCTTGCGGAGTGTCCCGCCTCTCTTGGGCTGCCAGACTAGGAAGGGAAACAAACTCGTTATGGGGGTCTTCATTCAACCAGGTTGCGGACCACGGCCCCCTGCAGCACCCCACAGCGTTGGACTGTTTCATGACGGGAAATGTCGAGAACCTGTGGGTTAAAAGTTGCTCAGGCGGTCGGGACAGCTGGAGCCGTCGGTTTGCCCGGCACGTGCCGAACACACCCAACAGTGAGTTACAACAACCTTACAAGAACGAGGATGGAGGGACATGACCCCGTTGCTGCGTCCCTTGCGTTCACACAGCATGGGTGCAGCGCGGGTTTCATGGTTGCAGCGCCCTCCAGCTCTCACCAACAACACCACCGCCACTCAGCGCCCTCCGGAGCTGCCAACATGCCCGCAACTGCAGTGAGCAACAGGAGCAGACGCTGCGACACATGCACGACGCCCAAACCCGCACCGGAAGCCGGTCGGCAGACAAGCCAAGGCTCCAAGGGCCAAGCCAGCGCGGCTCCCAAGTCCCAACCCTGCTCGCCCACTGACGAGGAGGAGAACCCTAGAGACAACAAAACAGACGGAGATGCCCCATGCAGCGAACCTATAAACTAACCTCTAACAAACGTTGCTTAAGATGTTACGACGTGGGAAATGTCGAGTGCAAGGGATGACTGCACACGCACACCTCGAAACTGCAAACCCGCCCGTGCGCATGCTTATGCTCCTGCCTGCTCCAACAAATGCCATGATGCGATAATCTACAAGCAACCCCATAGCGTATATTGTACATCATGTGTCGAATGCGCAAATGCATGTCGCCACTCCAGCCATTGCTCCGCATAAGGCCCGCCTGAATCCCACTCCTACCCTCTGAATCGGACTTCTGAGTCACCAATCCTGCGACTGGTGGCACGACCGGCCGAATCCGGCCCCACACATGAGCCGAAGGTACTGCTACAAATACCCTCCCCGCTGTTCCCTCCACACACCACACCGGAGGGGTTAGATAAACTGAGCCGCGGAAACACCGGAAACACCGGAGGGGTGGGCGAACCCATGCGACCACCCCCACACCCCCACATCACCATCCGCTTGCCTACCCACTTACAGCGGCGCACGTTTACCACGTTTCTCACGACGTCGGAGGTCAAAAGACACAGCAACCCCTGCCGGGCTCCATACCCGCCCGCTGGGAGATAAGCCGTACATACATACTAACAATCAAGAGACCGCATCGCAACGTGTGCGCCCCACGACCCCACACCACCTTCCATCTTACACCCACGTACTCGCACTGGATTTGAGCCCAGTTGACTGGACACTACTCGCACTCACTCACACCGCGGGTTAGCTCTCGTACCGACCAGCTGTGCATGTGGCTCTGCTATATAACCACCGTACCGCTATACCCTGACTGCCCTGACGGTGTAGCACGAAGGTACGGCTACGACCGCGCTCGAAATAGAAAGGGGAAGCAGCGCGCGTTTCAGCTGGATGCCTCCGTTCCAAAAACCCCGGCCACCCCGCCTCCCAACCAACAGAACCTTCCCAGCAACCATTCCGCACCCATTGCACGCATATGGAAGAGCCCCGTCTCACAGCACGGGCGCGTACTGCTGCTGCTGCTGCTGCTGTTGCTGCTGCTGCTGCTGCGGCGACAGCGGCAGCCCCAGCTGTACCCCACCCCCACCCCACACCCCCGCCCCAGTCACATCGCCGTCGTCGTCGCCACTGCTCCCACCACCGCACGCACCGCACGAAAATGCCGCCGGCGCCACCGCTGTTGCCGCTGACACGGAGGATGACGTCAGCAGGAAAGCCCCGTTGTTACCGCCGCCCATGACGACATCCCCCTTGCCTTTCATTAGCGGCTCCTTCAAGCCCTCCTCACCACCACCACCACCACCACCACCGCCGCAGTAGCCGCCCTTGCCGACACAGCAGCCACCTCCTCCTCCGCAACCAGCACCGCTGGGGACGCTGTTCCAGCTGTTGCTGCATTCAAACGCACTGCCGCAAGCAGCCCTCACCCTGTCTGCAAGTGCGCTGCAAGCCGGTCCCAACCTGTCAGCCACAGCGTTGTAAGCCGGACCCACCCGGCGGCGATACCCGTACAGCATTGCGCCGAACAGCACTGTCAGCGACAGCACCGCAAGCAAGCCGGAGGAGCAGGAGGAGGAGGAGGCAGAGGAGGAGCCGGAAGAGGAGCCGGATGAGGAGGGGCTGATGGGCGGAATGGTGAGCTGCTGGCAGGTGTTGGACTCGTGGGAGGTGTCGCAGTCGAAGGGTCTGAGGTCCTTGTCGACACACATCCAGATCTGCACGCCGGGGGGGGGGGCGCCAGGCGGGGCGGGCCGGGGCGGGAGGCAGGGAGGCGGGTCAGAGATATACCAATACCACAGGTAGGCAAAGAGCCGGGGGAGGCGGGCAGGCGGAAGTAGCAGCAGGGGCGGGTGAGGATGGTAGTAGCGCAGGCTGGCAGAGGGGAGGCAGGCATGCAGGGGCCAGGGGGCCGGCAAGCAGGGGGGTGTGAGGCGGCAAGCGCGAGGAGGAGTGCAAGGGGGACGTGACCCTGCAGGCAAACACCGCCCCTAGGTGCACCGGTATCCCGCAACCCGGCCTGCAGTCTACAAATATTCGTGATGCCGCCTGGCCAGAGCTTCAGGGCGCATGCAGTGGCAGGCATGCTGACTCACCTCGGACAGCTCCTTGCCGTAGCAGTGTACGAGCGGCCGTACGCCGTACATGTCCTTGATGGCGGTTACCAGGTCGTTGGCGTCGTACACCGCATTGCGGCTGGGCAGGATGTTGGCCTGCTTGAGTGCGGCCTGCGTGGGGGGGGGGGGGGGGTGGAGTAGGTGGGGTGGGGTAAAGAGGAAACAACTAACTGACTGAGGGATAAGGCGTCAACATGGGTTGCAACAAGTGAACCAGCCCGACCCGCCCAGCCCGAATTAGCTAAGCCAGTAGGTGGGATGGGGTGGTAAAAAATATATATATGATGAGGTGGTGGAGGGCTGGTGGGGTATATAGGGTGGCTGCCTGGCTGGGTGCCGGTGGCGGAAGGTGGGGTGGGATAATGCAAGGAAGGAAGGAACAATGATGCATGTTCGGTGATAAGGAGGAGCGCGAACAGGAGCTGCCCACATGTGTCGCCCATGGTGCGTTACGGATGGAAAGGGCAAACCCTAGCGCCTAGCAAGTGAGGATACAGTCGACTCACCGTAAGGTCGTAGCGGCGGTGCAGATCAAGAACGGTTTTAAAGAAATCGTGCTCGCTAGGCATCACGTCAAGCGCGCAGGTGCCATGCTTTGACCATTCGTGGTCCCAGAATGTGTCGTCGTCCCCCATAAAGCTGGGCCATTCCTCCTCAAGTTGATCCTCGATATCGCTAAGCTGTCGGTCGTCAAACTTGTAGTGAGCGTCGCAAAATTGCGGCCACGTGCCATCGTTGTAGTTGGGCCAAAGTCCATGGATTGTGAAATGGAATCTGCAAGTATCGAAAAATGACCATGAAGATAGTAGGGGCCCTCAGATGAGGGCGCAGGCTTCTTTTCGGCCAAGCCGCGAGCGAAGGCACAAGTTGGTTAGGACACCTCTCACCCTCAAAAGCAGTAAATTTTCAGAAGTTTTCCTTACCCACGGTTATGGAGGAGGGGACATGAGTGCTTGGAGCAGTAGTTGCCTGGCCATTGCCTGCGGCATGTTGCAGTTCGCTTCCGTGTCCATACAAATTAGGATTTACTACCAGGATCACCGCAGCCCCGCACCTGACAAACATGAAATAGTCGAACCCCCGCGCCTCGTTCTTCATTGCCCTCACCGACGTCAGCTGACGACCCGCGCTTGCTATTACCAGCAGGGAGGCTAGGATCGTTACACATGTTAATATCCTCATTGTAACTGGCAAGCGCGTGCAGCCGCTCGTCGCCGTGTGAAAAGAGGCCGGGAACTTCACGGAATGGGAGCCAGTTAGTGGCTACTGCATTTCCTACTTTGAACTCTACACTTCAGGTCTATAACGGTAACCAGTGCGAGGTGCCGCAAAGGTGGAGGGATAAGTTGCAAACGTACCTCAAAAGGGTACCGGTACGATGTGCCTAGATTGGTGAGGTGTACGGCACAGACGAGGAGGCCATTACCGGCGACGCAGGCTACGCCAAGGGATGGTCATCATCCACAGGTACATTTAGAGCTGTGAACCGATGCATTTAGCAATGAAGATTTACATGCATTTGCTTCGCCGCGCCAAACACAATTGACAATGACATGCGGCTGACTGCACCTGTAACACCGACTCCTTCCAGCTGACTAACTGAACTGTCCACGGTTGCATCTATACATCTAAAGTTGTTCTAGGGCCAATGCCAACATTCAATCTTCAACTGCCACATGCCATCCAATGCAGCCACAACCGGCAGCCTCCTTAAATCGCGCGCTAACGTCGCCAGTCTCCAGCCCTGTTCTATCCTCACAAACCAGATACAACATCCAGCATTCCCCAAACACGACCGAGGGTCGGCCGTGCGTGATCACTGTCGCTCCCAAGGGTGTCTAGATGTACAGCAAGTCAACCGCACAATTCTTCGTACACACCTGTCGTACACACCATTGTCGACTGCTATTATACGCATGCCTCGCCAACGGCTTGTCAGTCTCACATCCTCGCAGTTCAGCCCCACTCCTACCCAGCTAGCTCCCCAGGTACCTCCACCAACCGAACGGCTTGGTTTCTTCTTTGACCCCAACCCCGCTAGCGCCCCAGGCACCTCCGCCCCAGGCACCCCCGCCCCGCTAGCGCCCCCGCAGGAAGAAGTCCAGTCCCTCCTGAAGGATGGCGGGCGGGATGGTGTGGCCGCCGCTGAACCTGTGTGTGTGGGGGGGGGGGCAGAAGCGGGGGGTTGGAGCAGGCAGCGATGAGAAAGGGGGCATCGTATACACAAAGTTATAGCTTGCCAATATGGCTGCTGGTACGGCCAGGAAGATTGCCCCCCTTGAAACCTCCAGCCGCCCCAGCTTCCACCTCTCCCCACCACCACCACCACTCACTCTCGGTACAGCACCTCGCAGCCAATCTCCTGCAGCCGCGGCACGATGCGCCGGCAGCAGCCCACCGGCAGCACCACATCCCCCGTGCCGTGGCTCACGTACACACGTGGCAGACCCCGGGAACCCCCCGGCCCTCCCCCCGCCTCCCCCGCCGCCCCCGCCTCCGCCGGGGGTCGCATGAAACCCGGTGAGAAGGCGACGATGTGCGAAAACAGATCTGCATTGGGCAGGCCGAGTGAGAGGGCATAGCTGGCGCCGTCGCTGAATCCCGCGATCGCGATGCGAGTGGGGTCGACGGAGGCGACGGAGAAGACGCGAGCGAGTGCGGCGTTGATGTGCGCCACGTCGGGTCCGAAGCCCCCCCGGATGACGTCCCATGTGCTGCCTCGGCTCTCGGGGACGAGAAGGATGCACTTGCTGTTGGGGGGGAGGGGGCGGTGGAGGGGCAGGGGAGGCGGGGGGGCGTGGAGATGGAGAGGGCGGATGTCGTTGCATTGGAAGGAGGTGTACGGAAAGATAAGGAAACTGTACGGAAAGAAGTACATGTGGAAGAAGAGAGAGTGGAGTGCAACACATTGACGGTGGTGGAAGGAAGGGATTGTAGGCAGTGAAGGGAGACGGTGCAGCCGCGAGTGACCCATGGGTCAGCCTTCCCTTCCTTCACACCCTCCCCTCCTCCTTCCTCCCCCAAACAATTACCACCCACGTACGCAGCCTACCGCCCTGGCCTACCACCCTGGCGCCACACCTACCTGGCTTCCATCTTCTCCAGCCCCCCCAGTGTGAGAAAGGGGTCGGAGGGCGCCGCCACCCCGCCCGCCCCATGCAGCATCACCACCAGCGGAGCAGGCCGGCCGGGGTCCACGGAGGATGGCACGTAGAAGAAGCCGTCTCGCACCGCAGCAGCACCGGCAGCTGCACCGCCGCCGGCGCTTCGGCGCTGACGTTGCGTGGTTGCGGTTACAGTGGTGGAGGGGTCAGCTACATGCAGGCGCTGGATCTTGCCTTGGATGGTTTCGGGGCCGGAGGAGGAGGAGTTGAAGGTGGTGGATTTGGGTCCGACGTCGGAGGGTGGCGCGATGTCGGATGTGGAATTGGAGCCGGAGGAGGAGGAGGGGCGGGAGGTGAGGCGGAAGGTGTGCGGGAAGTGGCCGAACATTGGGGGCGAAGGAGGAGAGGGAGGAGGAGGAAGAGCGGGAGCTAACGGTGAGGGTAGAGCGAGGAGGCAGGCAGTGAAGAGCGGTGCACGGAAGCGCGGTTGGATTGTTGCTAGGATTGTTGTAAGGGAGTGTAGGCCTACGGTGCTAAGAGTTGCGATGCGCTGGAGTTGCGGCGGATTCGTCCAAGCCGAAACGTTGCTGAACCCCACTGCTAGGGTTGCAACACTGCTATGGCGCTGAACAAAGAAAGAGGGCGCAGCAAAGCCTTTGGGTTAGTACAGATGAGCACTATTTAGCCAAGCTATAGAACGTATATGATGTTGTGGACCGAACGGTGTTCCGTGATTCCGTAATTGCTGATTACGGGATACGCCGGCTGGGTGCTGACTCACATGGTGCCTTCTCTAGAAGATCTCAACCCATTTCCTCCAACAGCGACCATTATACAGCTGCGTTATGGCACAATCAAGCTTTTATACATTTAGATAGCCCGCAATTTAGTAAAGGTGCGTCAATGGCAACAAGTCGCAAAAGCCTCAAGTTCGTATCCACGCTCGAAAACGCGCGCCAAGCCAAGTGTGTGTTGCATGGCGGACGGGCTCGACTCATTTTTAATCGCTGACACCCCCCTTGCGGCTGACACCCCTTCATCCACCCTCTCGCGCCCGCCCTGCCTTATGGGAAATGGGAGTGTCAAACCAGCCGCCGCCGCCGCCGCGTCTTCTCCCAAGCATCTGCCTTCCCTTTCCTCCTCTCCTTCCTGCCGCAACTGCATCCTAACCCCTGCTGCACACCGATAGCTCCCACCCGCGGTGCCCCTCTCGCCGCCGCGTCCGCCGCCAGCTACTACCTCGCGTACCTCGCATCACTCTTGCGTCCTGCCCTGCCCTCCTTGCGGTTTTCACTCCTGGCACTCCTGACCCTCACTTCCTCCTGCCCCCATTCCTGCCCCTGCCGCTGTCCCCGCCTCATCTCCTACACCTCCGCTGCTGCCCCCGCCTCCGCTGCTGCCCCCGCCTCCGCTGCTGCCGCCCCCGCCTCCGCCGGCACCTTCCCTCCCCTCCCGAACCTCCTGCTCAGCCTCCGCACCGCCTCCGGCAGCGCATCAGGCGGCACCCACGCCCAACACACGCGGAAGAAGCCCGGCTCGGCAGCATGACACTGCTCGCCTGGGCGGGGGAGAGGGGCGGGGAAAGGGAAGGGAGGGAAGGCGGAGAAGGAGAGGGAAGGGAGGGAAGGCGGAGAAGGAGACGTAAGGGTTCGAGTGAGAGGGATGAAGAGGCATGCAGGATGAGATGCAGTAGGTTTAGAGAAATGCTTGTGCTCCCGGAGGAGCGACCCATGGGTCACAGCCCTCACTGCCTCACTGCGGTCATCACCTCACCGCTCTCTCATCGCTTCCTACACCTGCGCTTTGACCGGTTCAATACCCAGCCAGCCAGCCCGGTACGAGCAAAGCCCCACCACGTACGGCATACTCCTTGTCCTAGCCTAGCCTAGCCTAGCCTAGCCTAGCCTAGCTTCCCCTATCACAACAACCATGCCCACTACACACAGTGTGTACAATCAGCCATGCAGTCCCTGCATGCACGGTAACTAGCTAACTACCCCCCGGTCAAACCCCCCCCATGTCAACCCCCTCCCTCATGTCAGCCCCTAGGTACGTGTTTCATCGTGTGTCAGTCTGTGTTGTTTTTTATGAGTGCTCGTGTTGTGCTGTTCCTGTTGTTTGCCTATGCCCCACGGCGCGGTGGGTCTCCAGCTCACCTTCAGCAGCCTCCACACATGCCCAAGCCTATGGTAAGGTTCCTCCATAATTGGTAAGTTCGGTAAGTTTAGCTCGCTTTGCTTTAACCACCATTTCGGCTCGACTCACGGTTGATTCCACCAGGGATTGTCAGCAACTTCTATTATCACACCACACTTTGGAATTTCTTTTTTTCCCCATGTCAGCCCCCCCCATGTCAACCCCCTCCCTCATGTCAGCCCCCCCCAGGGGATATGGGATTGGGGCTTTAATTGCTTCACTTAGCTTTAATCCCCCCACCCCCCAACCCCCCAAGTCAGCCCCCACCCCCAAAGGCCTGCTGCGCTCACCCGGTGTGAGCAGCACACCGCACTCGCCACACAGCGCCGCCCACAGCGCCGCCTCACCCTCCCAGGAGCGCTCGGGTAGCCAACACCTGCGGAGGTAGGGGGGGAGGGGGGGAGGGGGGAGGGGAGGGGAGGGTGAAAGGGGGAGGGGGAAAAGCAATGACTAAGAAGTGAAGCAACCAGAGTTCCAATCCCATGTCCAGACGGGAGGGGAGTCCCCCCCCCTCCCACCCCCCACCTGAGGTCCACCCAACCCAAACCCCCCCTCCCACCCCCCCACCTGAGGTCCACCCAGCAGAACATGGCGCTGTCCGCCCTCACGTGCGGGATACCCGCTGCGTCCAGGGAAGCTGGGGGGGAGGGGGGGGGGGGGGGGGGGGGGGGGAGGGAGGGTGGGAAGGGAGGGAGGAGGGTGGGAAGGGGCGCCACAGGGACGGGATTGAAGGAACGATAGTAGCTTAATAGCTTGATAGGACAATGCAAGCGGCGGGTCATCTTCTACATGTTCCCAAAACACAATCACGCCTCTGTCGTACTGCTGCCGTACCCTCCAGTTTGCCGTACGCCTCCCTCATCCGCTCCCTGTTGGTGCGCAGAAAGGCTGCCCGCCACTCCCGGTCCTCCAGCGCGTGTATGAGGGCCCACTGGGTGGGGTTGGGTAGGGCGCAGAAGTACCCCAGGTTGTCTAGGGCCTGCAGCGGGGGGGGGGGGGGAGAAATGGGGGGAGTGGGGGGTAAAGTGGGGGGGGGAGTGGGATAGAAATAAGGACATGGAGGGGCGGAGTGGAAAGGGGGGAAGGGAAGGATGGGGCAGAGAAAGGGGCTTGGTTGTAGAGAACGATACCATGTAGACAAACGCATTCGCGGACGTCCTCAGTCGGGAGCTTCATCTCCCAGCAAAACACAGTACAACGTTTCTGCTGGCAGCCAGCCTTGTGGACACATACCGGTAAGATGCGTGTTTAGTTCCCCCACCACCTAGTTCCCCACCCCACCCACTCCACTCCACCCCACCCCCGATGTCCCCCCCACCCCCCGAGTCGGGATATGGGATTGGGACTCGTTGTTTCACTTGTATAATTTTTTCCCCACCCCCCGATGTCCCACCCCCACCCCACCTGTCTCAGCGCCCCGTTACGTGTGTGCAGGCAGCCGCACCTCAGCCCGCTGGCGCACAGGTCCTTGGACAGGCCCCACACCACATGGAGCAGCTCGGGCAGCAGGTGGGAGCGGGGCAGGGCTGGGGGGGAGGCGGGGGAGGCGGGAGGGGCAAAGGAGGGAAGGGTGAGCGACAGGGCGAGATACTGAGATACGGTGGCGACAGGCAGCGAGGAACGAGATGAAAGGTTGTGGGAAGGGGGAAGTTGAGGGAAGGGGGGTGGCGGGAGCACCAACCGGTGCCAGTGCACGAAGGCCTGCTCCCCTCCATGCTTGCACCCCTGCTCACACCGCTGCAGGCATGCACACACCCCCTCCCCCCCCCTCCCCCCCCTTACCCGCCGCCTGCTCCCCCCGCGCCAGCACCTCCGCGCTGATGAAGGTCGCTCCGGGACCAAACACACTGTTGCCGTAGATCTCGTCACTGGGGGGGGGAGACCATACCATGCCATAGGAAACCACAGGTTCGGGTTGGGGAGGGGGTAATGGGGGTAAAGAAGGGGTTAATGAAGAAACAAGACGACCCACTGTGTATGGGAGGGGCAGTGCGGTGGTGCTACTAAAAACACCGAGGTGACCGCTTGGGGGAATGGACGTCTGACCCATGGGTCACACCTCTCTCCCGCTCACATGGGACATCTTTCTCTCCCTCTCCCTCTCACCTCCCTCACGCACCCCACTCACCTGACCAGGTGCACCCCCCGCCCCAGGCACCAGCGCATGAGCTCCAGCACCGTCTCCTCCCTGTAGCGAGTGCCCAGCGGGTTGTTGGGGTTGGTGAACAACACCGCTGACACCCGCCGTCCCGGGGGCTGCTGGGAAGGGTGCTGGGGGGGTTGGGGGGCTTGCTGCTGCTGATGATGCTGATCGGGCTGTTGGCCGATTGAGGCGCCGTTGCTAGCGCCGTCAGAGCCGTTGCAAGCCCCGGCATCAGGAGAGGTGGAGGTGGGGGTGGGGGTGGTGGGTGGGAGTCCGGCAGTCATTGCAGCCATAGCAGCAGCAGCCGCTGCGTCCAGTTGCGGACCCACGGGTCGGTCCTCGTCCAGATGGAAGGGCCAGGGCTGTACGGCACACTTGACTTGGAGGTCGTTGTCGAAGGCGGGGTAGTACGGCGCGGGGATGAGTACGACATCTCCTGTGCGTGCGTATGTGTATTTGGTTAGGGTTTCCGAGTCATAAGATCTTCACCAGAGTAGGTGCGGATACGAGGTGATGCGAGGTAGGGCGGCACCCGCACCCGCACCTGCACCTGCACCCGCACCTGCACCCGCACCCGCACCCGCACCTGCACCGGACACCCTAGGGGTATCACCGGAGCTACGCCACCTAGCCTCCCCGCCCCTCCCCCGCCCTCCCGCCTCCCTCCTCAGCTTCCTCTTTTCTCCCCCCTCCCCCCCCTCCCTCCCCCCACCTGGCCCCGCGATGCAGTGGAACAGGTTCTCCAGCACCGCCCCCGCCCCCGCACTGACTGTCAGGTGGTCGGGATCCACGGAAATACCCTGGGGAGGAGGGGGGGATGTTTACCATGTTTGCACCCCATGCTGAAGCCTACCGGTACATGTCACACAGCTCGTCAGTTGCCTCGTCAGTTTCCTCACTTTTACCCACTCACCCACCCCTCCTTTCCCCTTTGCCTTGCCCTAAATTGTGGCTTCCTATGGCCTGGTATGGTCTTTGTCCCTCCCCCCAACACCCCCACCAGCCCCAACCCCCTCCCCCCTATACCCTGTGTTGTTGCACTTATTTATAATTTCCCCCCGCACCCGCATGAACGTCTCCTCCAGCATCTCCGCCAGCACCCGCCGCAGCCGGGGCAGCCCCCGCATGTCCGCGTAGCTCAGGGCGGAGGGCGGGAAGTCCGCCGCGGACTGGGCCAGACGGTCCTTGGGAAGGGGGCGGGGTGGGGCGGGGAGGAAAGGAAAGCGGGAGAGAAGGTGAGGGAGGGGAAGGGTAAAAAGAAACTGACGAGCTGTGTGACGAGGTTCCACCATGGGTTGCTAAAGGTGAGGGAGGCTTGTGGTGATGTGGAAAATGGGTATATTATATGTTTGCATCCCGCATATGCGATGGCGGAGTACTCAGGTGGGGGAATCGTAAAGTAGCATAGCGCAGTTTGCTGCGAAATAAGAAAGCGTGGTGTCATGGTGTCATGCATCACACTCACCCTGACCATGTCAGCGGTCAGCCGATTCTCCGCAACGCTGAGGATGATGTTGCCATCCGGGTCCTCGGGAGACCACTGTCGCGACTGGGCCTCCAGGAACGCTTTGAAGTAAGAAAGCGCCGGGCGGATGGCGCGTGCGGCCCGCGATGAGAGGTGCCCGGGCAGCAACTGCGCTGCTTCAGCATCGGCCATTGTTATAGGAATATGAAGTTAAACAACTGGGCACTGTGGCCTCCCAGGTCGCTGCTGGGTTACGATGCAAGCGAACGTCGGATGTAGGTTTGTAGTGATTATAGTTCGCGGCCTAAGTAGCTCAAGCGTGCAGTCAATTTCACACGGCTTCCTGTCGTGGAAGATTTTGCGCAGCGATATCAGCCTCGCACAGGTTCTTGTCGTGGATGGGGAAGGACAACGACGACTGCGACCCCCCACGCTAGTTTATAGCATCCCGCGCTAAATCAGAGCAACGCTAGCATCAGCTCGCCGGACAGAACGATGCGGTTTGCATCGAAAGCGGTTACGGTTGGTTACGCCGTACTATCAGTACAAGCTGCTGCCAGTGTTGTTTCTCTACTCGTCCGCCTCGGAAAGTCTTCCTAGAAGCTGTTTGCACTGCTGAACGAGGGGTTTGACAAGTTAAAGTTAAAGGCAAGCGAACTAAGGCCGGCACAGCTGATGAGCTTGGCACTTTGTACTACGTGCGGCATGCCAGGGCATCGGTAAGTAATAGCTGCGATTCCTGTGATACGCATAACGCGAAGCTAAACATGATGGCACAGGGGGTTGAGCATTACTGTTGTGTTGCTTAAGGACAAGCAAGCGACTGTACGGATGCGACTGCATGTGCTCGGCACTCCCTTGTGGCCTATTAGAGCAACACCCAGGAATGGCAATCTGTCTGGGGTCAGCGGAGATTAGGGTAATCCGCACAGCACTGGGGTCGGGCTTCGGGATCTCTGCGCCCAAGGTTACGCGCCCAGCATTCATTGCCCAACGGCGACCGTCGACGGTTGCCGCAAGGTCACAATCCTGGACCCGTGGAGCTAGACCGCCCTGCTGATCAGATCTGTCCAATCGGCCAACGGTAACACTGGCAGCAGCACCACCAGCAGCCCGCATGCAAGGGCAAATGCATCACCTGCTGTCCTTACATGCGTGCACATTGGCCCATTGTCAGCAGGGCGCAGCGCCGACTCTGGGATTTGCGTGGCCCTACGGCTGTATGATACAGATGCCATCAGATACGTCCATGTACGGAACTGACCGCTGCGAATAAACGCAGCGACCACCTCTCGTCACTGGAAAAGCTGCACCCCATCCCCTCAACTTGGATCCTCCTTGTTAGCAGAGCCGGGTACACGCACATCACCACAATCAGTTGGCCCAACCGTCGCCAATTACAACGGATAACGGGACACATACAAACGAGATGAGCAGCCCGGCTTGCGGATAAAATGCACGCGACAGCTGCGGGCCACGGCATGCATGCCCCCTGCATGGCCAGCCCATGCCAGCTAACCGCAAAGCATGGCTGGGCCTTGTTTAGTTTGGTTTCGAGCTACTCCGGTGCAAGCACACCCCCGCTCAATGTCAATCACTACTACTACTACCGCCTAAATCCCTCTGCTGTCTTCCTCTCTCGTGTTCGCAAGCCACCTGCCCTCCATTCCTAATAGTCAAACAACTCCTCTTCTTGTTATTGTGTTATTGCGACTCAACACACACTACCAGTATGCGTCCAACATCACACCTCACAGGCAGTATGGCAAGTGAGTTGTGATTGTGAGCGAAGCCTTGTCGAAATGCCGCCCTAATTTGCAGGCCAACCCCTTCAAGTCATGTCCCTAGGCCCAGTCTCGATGCAAGACCTTCGCGGGATTTTAATTCACCCATGCCCCAACCACACCCCAGCTGCCTACCACACCCTGCGTGCCGTCAACGTTAAAATCCACCAACATTCCCCCAGCCGTTCCTACCAATAGAGACACCAAGCAATTAGCGGGAAAGGAACAAAATACCCGAGCACCTTGCCTGGCGTTTGGAAAGGTTTGGAAGGGCCCGCAGAATGGCCACAGACAGCACCTTAGTTGGCCTGCTGCTCGCTCTTCTTCAGCTCATCCCACTTGACACCCACAAGAGGCTCCGGCCTGGAGCTGAACTTCCCGGTCGCGCCCTTCCACAGCCCGAAGTTGAGGGAGTAGCCCCAGTCGGACTGGGTCTCCAGTTCGAGGTCAGATGTCGCGCGAGTCATGCAGAGAAGCGACATCCCTTGCTGGAGCTCATCCTCATCGAGGGTGAAGGTCAGGTCAGGGATATCGGAGGCGTCTACGGTGCCCTTAAGGACCTTGGCTACGCAGGCGCCGCAAATTCCACCACGGCAGGTGGCAGGCAGGTCCAGGCCAGCGGCTTCGGCGGCTTCGAGGATGTATTGATTGTCCGGGCAGGCAACTTCGCGCCTCTCGCCACCAGCGCCGATAAACGTGATTTTATAGCTGTGACCCTTTGATTCGACGTCCGAGCGGCCCAGCGACACCTTATCGCGGCAGAAGGCATCGGCTGCTTGCACGCGAACGCAGCGGAGACGGCTGGGAGCTGCTCGGCAGACAGGAGCTGTCCCTGAAGTGCTTGCCAATTGGCAGCTGCGCATCATAGCGATAGGCGCCATGGTCGTAGTTTTGTGGAACCTCGGGGAATAGCCAAGCACTGGAGAAAACACGACCCAACCCTAAAGCAAGGGTAACCTGCTTATATCCCAAAGGGTCTGAAAACTCAGGCAAAGTTGAATTTGAGGCATAGCCTTAGCAGCAAGCCTGCCCTCAAGTCTCTTCAACCGTACGGCAGCCAGGGAGGGAGGATCATCTTGACAATAGGTCTGTTTCCAATCTCGACAGCCACAGTTTGTCTCAACACCAAACTAGCAATCATGGCTCTCAACGTGCGTACTATCCCCAGCAATGTTGTGGCCCAGCGGCAGCAAACTGCCCGCACGCCGGTGCGGGTCCCGATTAATGCCAAGTCTGTGGTGGCCCTGCGCGTCGCACCCTTCCAGGTGTGCAACTAATAGGCTAGGCACATGTATAATTAGTTACGTCTTAGATCTACCTTAGAACTACCTTTAGAAAATGACGCTCATGTCCCGAGCCGTCCTCCTTGCAGGGTGCTTCCGTTGCCGCCCAGCGCGCAGCTCTTCAGGGTAAGGAACCTTCTATCTTTAATGTTACCAATTGTCAAAAGGATCTACCTTCTGCACCGTGGTGACATACTTAACCTTGGCCGCTGTGCATGACCTTTTTGCAGTTCGGGCCGCTGCTGCGACCGAGGTCAAGACCGAGAAGGAGCTTGGTAAGCTTTACCTTCGCTACATGGCGCAACAAAACCTTTACCATAACGCAACATACTTTGGGGCATTAGAATTCAACCTTGCTTGCATATTGATACCATGCAGGCCAGGCGCGTCCCATCTTCCCTTTCACGGCCATCGTGGGCCAGGACGAGATGAAGCTCGCGCTCATCCTCAACGTTATTGACCCCAAGATCGGCGGTGTCATGATCATGGGCGACCGCGGCACCGGCAAGTCCACCACCATCCGCGCCCTGGCCGACCTCCTGCCCGAAATGAAGGTACGCACCCAAAGCACAAACACCTCCTTCCCGCCCGCTCAACCCCCTCCTTCCCAGCATGCTTCTCCCCACACCACTCCCCAGCAACTTTTGATCCCGATCTCCTCCTCCAACAGCATCCAACTTGCATTTGCCCCTCGCCTTCACCTCCCCTAACCCCACCTCCTCCAACCCCGCATCTCCCCAACCACGCCTCCCTTACCTCACCTCCCACCGCCCCCCAGGTTGTCGCCAACGACCCCTTCAACTCCGACCCCGCCGACCCCGAGCTCATGAGCGAGGAGATCCGCAACCGCGTCAAGGCTGGCGAGCAGCTGCAGATTGGATCCAAGAAGATCCCCATGGTGGATCTGCCGCTGGGCGCCACCGAGGACCGGGTGTGCGGCACCATTGACATTGAGAAGGCGCTCACGGAGGGTGAGGGAGGGGTTAGGGGGCAGGGAGGGAGGGAGGGGAGGGAGGGTGGGAGGGGAGCAGGGAAGGCGGGATGGGGCAAGGGTTGGGGGTGAGAGCAAAAGCTTGGAGGTAACCAGGTAAGAAACCCAAGCCAAGGCAAACCGTCCCGCCTGGGGGAGGCGGTTTGAGGTGCGGTGGCCGCCGCGACGTGGTTCTTTGGCAGCAACACAGCGGCATTGCGGCAACACATGCAGCACCTGGCAGTGCAATGCGGGGCGGGGCGGGGCGGGGGGGCGCCTGAGGACGGCATCTGCCGGCTGACGAAGCCTGCGAGGAGGGAAGCGGGAGGTGCACGCAGCAGTGTGCATGGGGGCTGCCTAGCAACAGGCAGCTAGCTAGGTGGAGAGGCGCCCGCAGCAGTAAACAGCGGCAGCAGCAGCGTGTGAGGCGCTCTGGGCACTGCTCTTGTGTCCACTTATCTGCTCTCCTACACGCATATCCCCCCCCCCCCCCGACCACCACCACCCCTCTCCTTTCTCCTTCCAACGCCATCCCCCTCTCTTCCCTCCCACCTCCCGCCCCTTCTCCGCCCCGAAAGGTGTCAAGGCCTTCGAGCCGGGTCTGCTCGCCAAGGCCAACCGCGGCATCCTGTACGTGGACGAGGTGAACCTGCTGGACGACCACTTGGTGGATGTGCTGCTGGACTCGGCGGCTAGCGGTTGGAACACGGTGGAGCGCGAGGGCATCAGCATCAGCCACCCCGCGCGGTTCATCCTGGTGGGGTCAGGTGAGGCGGGGCAGGGGAGGAGGGAGGGAGGGAGGGGGGGGAGGGGGCAGGGGGGCAGGGGTAACGAATAATGGGATACTGGCGAGGAGGGAGGGGGGTCAAAGACCAGACCAAACCATAGGAGACCACAGGTTAGGGCAGGGGGGGGGAGTGTAGCTAGGCTATAGTGTAAACGAGTCCAGAAAGGAAGGCCTCCTCACGACATCTCGCGTGAGGACGTCTAGGGCGGCCTTTGTTACAGCGAGGGAGGGAGGGAGAGGAGAGGGATGACGGAGGAAGCTGACGAGGTGTATGACGGGGCAGCATGGGTTGCGGCGTTGTGGACCTGGTCCATGCCACCCGGGAGGGGAGGAGGTAGGGAAACGGAGGATGGCAGAGTTGAGTTGAGGGGAGGAGGAGAGGGAGGTGGATGCAGGGGGAAGATCAGCATGGGGTGCTGAATGCGTCTTGCGCGAGGACCGAAGGGAGGAGGGAGGGAAGTGGTAACATGAGGAAATCCCGGATGCAGGTGGAGGAGGTGGTTGGAGGAGAAGGAAAATGGAGAGGCTGCTGGGCTGAGGCGGTGTTGGGGGGGGGGTTGTCCTGCGTTCGACGCCTGCACGGGGACCACCAACGTCCCCATCGTCCCGCCGTCTCCATCCCCTCCCCCAAACTTGACTGCCGGTAACACTCAATCCACCCTAGAGTCCTGAAGCCCGAGGGGAGTATGTAGTCCACCTCCCACATCCGCACCTCCCACATCCGCACCTCCCCCCCCTCCCGCCCCCCCAGGCAACCCCGAGGAGGGTGAGCTGCGCCCGCAGCTGCTAGACCGCTTCGGCATGCACGCGCAGATCGGCACGGTGAAGGACCCCCGGCTGCGGGTGCAGATCGTGTCGCAGCGCGCCACCTTTGATGAGAACCCCGCAGCCTTCCGGTGAGCGGGGTGGGGGGGGCGGGCTGGGGAAAAATTGAAAATTGCTGGGTGGGGGGGGTCAAACATCGTATACCAAACCATAGGGAGCCACAGGTTGGGGCAAAGCAGTAGGGGTAGGAGACGGTGGTTGGGGGTAGAAGTTGGGAAGCCGAGTAGAAGCACGGGTGGGTGAGGTGGCGGAGTGATTACCTACATGGTGTGTCGGCCTCGCCGTGCGTGGCGCCTCCATGTGTGCGGGTGTGTGTGCGCTGGCGTCAGCAAGTGTGTGTTAAGGAAACTGGCCGCGAGTAGGAACACAGATGGCTGTGATTGTGTCAGCAGGATGGATGTGCGTGACAGCACCAGCAATGGCATGATTGGCAGGTGCTGTTGCTGTTGCTGTTGCGCCTATGGTTATAAGACTTGAAAAGGGCTGATCATTAGGGACATCTGAGCTTATTGCGCCCTGTGTTTCTGGTATATCTTTGGGACCCCCTTTTCACCCCCACTTCCCTCCCTCCTTTCCCCCACCCCTCACCCCCACCACTTTCCCCCCTGCAGCAAGGACTACGATGGCAGCCAAACCGCCCTCACCGCCCGCATCGTGGACGCCCAGAAGCTGCTCAAGCAGTGCGATGTGTCGTACGACTACCGCGTCAAGATCTCCCAGATCTGCAGCGACCTCAACGTGGACGGCATCCGCGGCGACATCGTCACCAACCGCGCCGCAAAGGCGCTTGCTGCCTTCGAGGGGCGCACCGAGGTCACGCCAGAGGACATCTACAGGGTGATCCCGCTGTGCCTGCGACACCGGCTGCGGAAAGACCCGCTGGCGGAGATTGATGATGGGGACCGGGTACGGGAGGTGTTCAAGACGGTGTTTGGAATGGAGTAAGGAGGAGGAGGTAAAGAGGAAACAACTAACTGACTGAGGAGGTGGTGGTTGTGGCACGTGGTGTAAGGACAGGGAGGGAAGGACGGAGGGGGGTGGTATGTGGAGTGAGGGAGTGTGTTTAGTATGAGGGGGGGGCGGAGGATGGGGCAGGGGAGCAAGGGGTGTAGTGAAGAGGAGTCGGAGGGTTGGTGTCGTGCGGGTTGGTGCTGTTGTGGTGCTACAGAGTTAAGCGTAGGTCTGAGACCTGTTTAGACGTGAAGGTGTATAAACTTATTGACATGTGGGCGAATGGGCGGTCGCAAGGGGCCAATGTGCACCATGTTCCTTACGTGACAGGTGCATGCGGATGCTAGATGGTGTGTTAGCCCTGTTAGGTGGTAGGCCTGGCTTTGCGGGATGGAAGGGGCTGGGACACCCAAGCCCGCTCATGGGCTAGGACGTGCCCTCAGGAGTTGCATTGAGCGGGCATTGCTTTACTCGGCAGCTTCTGGAGCGAAGGGACGTTCTGAAAGACGTTCCTGGGACCAAAGCTAAATGAGTTTTTCTCAGAGAGATGAGGGCACCCCCACATGCTGAAATGCGGATGGTTGGCCGTGTTTGAGTTGTGCGCTGGCCTTGTCGGAAAGTTAAGGTCAAACCTGCTTCCAACATTAACGGCATTTGGTGAAGGAAACCCAACTTGGTACGGGATTTTGGTTAACTGTTGACAAACTGGCTTTCCCTGTGCTACAGGCTAAGCACTCTGCATGGTGTAATAGCTCGCCGTTACCGCTTTCCACGTCTTCAGCTTTCCCCGAGATTGCACATCAGAATTCCAGCTAAAATAAAAGGATTAGCATCTTAGCGCATATTATATGTGTCGCAGAATATTGTGGCATCTGAAGTACCGGTACGACACAAGCTGCGACATCCAACTAGGAGAGCCACGTGTCGTACCGATGATGCCTAAACAGGGAATTCACACCCTGACATCAAGCCTAATATAGCCTTATATGGCAGAGTACAGGTGCATGCATATGCCCTACAGCAACCCGGCCTCATCCTTCATCACCCTCCTTTACTCTTCACCCCTGTCACCTCAGAACCCTCACCCCTGCCACCTCAGAACCCTCGGCCCTGCCCCCTCAGAACCCTCGCCCCTGCCATCTCCGATCCCTCACCCCTGCCACCTCAGAAGCCTCGCCCCTGCCACCTCCGATCCCTCACCCCTGCCACCTCAGAAGCCTCGCCCATGCCACCTCAGATCCATCACCCCTGCCACCTCAGATCCCTCGCCCCTGCCACCTCAGAAGCCTCGCCCCTGCCACCTCAGAAGCCTCGCCCCTGCCACCTCAGTACCCTCGCCCCTGCCACCTCAGTACCCTCACCCCTGCCTCCTCAGTGCCCTCGCCCCTGCCACCTCCGATCCCTCACCCCTGCCACCTCAAAAGCCTCGCCCCTGCCACCTCAGATCCCTCGCCCCTGCCACCTCAGAAGCCTCGCCCCTGCCACCTCAGAAGCCTCGCCCCTGCCACCTCAGTGCCCTCGCCCCTGCCACCTCAGATCCCTCACCCCTGCCACCTCAAAAGCCTCGCCCCTGCCACCTCAGATCCCTCGCCCCTGCCACCTCAGTGCCCTCGCCCCTGCCACCTCCGATCCCTCACCCCTGCCACCTCAAAAGCCTCGCCCCTGCCACCTCAGATCCCTCGCCCCTGCCACCTCAGAAGCCTCGCCCCTGCCACCTCAGAAGCCTCGCCCCTGCCACCTCAGTGCCCTCGCCCCTGCCACCTCCGATCCCTCACCCCTGCCACCTCAAAAGCCTCGCCCCTGCCACCTCAGATCCCTCGCCCCTGCCACCTCAGAAGCCTCGCCCCTGCCACCTCAGAAGCCTCGCCCCTGCCACCTCAGAAGCCTCGCCCATGCCACCTCAGATCCATCACCCCTGCCACCTCAGATCCCTCGCCCCTGCCACCTCAGAAGCCTCGCCCATGCCACCTCAGATCCCTCACCCCTGCCACCTCAGATCCCTCGCCCCTGCCACCTCAGATCCCTCGCCCCTGCCACCTCAGAAGCCTCGCCCCTGCCACCTCAGAAGCCTCGCCCCTGCCACCTCAGTGCCCTCACCCCTGCCACCTCCGATCCCTCACCCCTGCCACCTCAAAAGCCTCGCCCCTGCCACCTCAGATTTCGACCTAGCACGCGCCGACCTAGCACGCGCCGACCTAGCACGCGCCGACCTAGCACCCGCCGATCTAGCACCCGCCGACCTAGCGCCCGCCGACCTGGCACCCGCCGACCTGGCACCCGCCGACCTAGCACCCGCCGACCTAGCACGCGCCGACCTAGCACGCGCCGACCTAGCACCCGCCGATCTAGCACCCGCCGACCTAGCACCCGCCGACCTAGCACCCGCCGACCTAGCACCCGCCGACCTATCTAGCACCCGCCGATCTAGCACCCGCCGACCTAGCACCCGCCGACCTAGCACCCGCCGACCTAGCACGCGCCGACCTAGCACGCGCCGACCTAGCACCCGCCGACCTAGCACCCGCCGAACTAGCACCCGCCGACCTAGCACCCGCCGACCTGGCACCCGCCGACCTGGCACCCGCCGACCTAGCACCCGCCGACCTAGCACGCACCGACCTAGCACCCGCCGACCTAGCACCCGCCGATCTAGCACCCGCCGATCTAGCACCCGCCGACCTAGCACCCGCCGACCTAGCACCCGCCGACCTAGCGCCCACCGACCTAGCACCCGCCGACCTAGCACCCGCCGACCTAGCACGCGCCGACCTAGCACGCGCCGACCTAGCACGCGCCGACCTAGCACGCGCCGACCTAGCACCCGCCGACCTAGCACCCTTCGACCTAGCACCCTTCTACCTAGCACGCGCGGACCTAGCACCCGCCGACCCAGCACCCGCCGACCTAGCACCCGCCGTCCTAGCACCCGCCGACCTAGCACCCACCGACCTAGCACCCACCGACCGGGTGCTAAGTCGGCGGGTGCCAGGTCGGCGGGTGCTAGGTCGGTGGGTGCTAGGTCGGTGGGTGCCAAGTCGGCGGGTGCTAGGTCGGCGGGTGCCAGGTCGGCTGGTGCTAGGTCGGCAGGGTGCCAGGTCGGCGGGTGCTAGGTCGGCGGGTGCTAGGTCGGTGGGTGCCAGGTCGGCGGGTGCTAGGTCGGTGGGTGCCAGGTCGGCGGGTGCTAGGTCGGCGGGTGCTAGGTCGGTGGGTGCCAGGTCGGCGGGTGCTAGGTCGGCGGGTGCTAGGTCGGCGGGTGCTAGGTCGGCGGGTGCTAGGTCGGCAGGTGCCAGGTCGGCGGGTGCTAGGTCGGTGGGTGCTAGGTCGGTGGGTGCTAGGTCGGCGGGTGCTAGGTCGGCGGGTGCTAGGTCGGCGGGTGCTAGGTCGGCGGGTGCTAGGTCGGTGGGTGCCACGTCGGCGGGTGCTAGGTCGGCGGGTGCCAGGTCGGTGGGTGCTAGGTCGGCGGGTGCCAGGTCGGTGGGTGCTAGGTCGGCGGGTGCTAGGTCGGCGGGTGCTAGGTCGGCGGACGCTAGGTCGGCGGGTGCTAGGTCGGCGGGTGCTAGGTCGGCGGGTGCCAGGTCGGCGGGTGCTAGGTCGGTGGGTGCTAGGTCGGCGGGTGCCAGGTCGGCGGGTGCTAGGTCGGCGGGTGCCAGGTCGGCGGGTGCTAGGTCGGCGGGTGCTAGGTCGGTGGGTGCCAGGTCGGCGGGTGCTAGGTCGGTGGGTGCTAGGTCGGCGGGTGCTAGGTCGGCGGGTGCTAGGTCGGTGGGTGCTAGGTCGGCGGGTGCCAAGTCGGTGGGTGCTAGGTCGGCGGGTGCCAGGTCTGTGGGTGCCAGGTCGGTGGGTGCCAGGTCGGCTGGTGCTAGGTCGGCGGGTGCCAGGTCGGCGGGTGCTAGGTCGGCGGGTGCTAGGTCGGCGGGTGCCAGGTCGGTGGGTGCCGGGTCGGCGGGTGCTAGGTCGGCGGGTGCCAGGTCGGCGGGGCCAGGTCGGCGGGGGCCAGGTCGGCGGGTGCTAGGTCGGCGGGTGCCAGGTCGGCGGATGCTTGGTCGGTGGGTGCTAGGTCGGCGGGTGCCAGGTCGGCGGGTGCTAGGTCGGTAGGTGCCAGGTCGGCGGGTGCTAGGTCGGCGGGTGCCAGGTCGGCGGGTGCCAGGTCGGCGGGTGCTAGGTCGGTGGGTGCTAGGTCGGTGGGTGCTAGGTCGGTGGGTGCCAGGTCGGCGGGTGCTAGGTCGGCGGGTGCCAGGTCGGTGGGTGCTAGGTCGGCGGGTGCCAGGTCGGTGGGTGCTAGGTCGGCGGGTGCCAGGTCGGCGGGTGCTAGGTCGGCGGGTGCCAGGTCGGCGGGTGCTAGGTCGGCGGGTGCCAGGTCGGCGGGTGCTAGGTCGGCGGGTGCTAGGTCGGCGGGTGCCAGGTCGGTGGGTGCCGGGTCGGCGGGTGCCAGGTCGGCGGGTGCTAGGTCGGCGGGTGCTAGGTCGGCGGGTGCCAGGTCGGCGGGTGCTAGGTCGGCGGGTGCCGGGTCGGCGGGTGCCAGGTCGGCGGGTGCCAGGTCGGCGGGTGCTAGGTCGGCGGGTGCTAGGTCGGCGGGTGCTAGGTCGGCGGGTGCCAGGTCGGCGGGTGCTAGGTCGGCGGGTGCCAGGTCGGCGGGTGCTAGGTCGGCGGGTGCTAGGTCGGTGGGTGCCAGGTCGGCGGGTGCTAGGTCGGTGGGTGCTAGGTCGGCGGGTGCTAGGTCGGCGGGTGCTAGGTCGGTGGGTGCTAGGTCGGTGGGTGCCAGGTCGGTGGGTGCTAGGTCGGTGGGTGCTAGGTCGGCGGGTGCCAGGTCGGTGGGTGCTAGGTCGGCGGGTGCCAGGTCGGTGGGTGCTAGGTCGGCGGGTGCCAGGTCGGCGGGTGCTAGGTCGGCGGGTGCCAGGTCGGCTGGTGCTAGGTCGGCGGGTGCCAGGTCGGCGGGTGCTAGGTCGGCGGGTGCTAGGTCGGCGGGTGCCAGGTCGGTGGGTGCCGGGTCGGCGGGTGCTAGGTCGGCGGGTGCTAGGTCGGCGG